GATCCGGGGGCTGGAGTCCGGGGAAGTGGGGGAGACATCGGAACACCGGCTGGACAAATCAAAATTGTTTCCTGGTACACCGGAGATGATCCAACTGAAGCTACGGGGACCGATTGCTCATGGAGAGTCCATTGGTTTAAGAATTATTGGGAAATAGTGTCAGGGAGAATATGCAACTGGCCAGTAAAATGAGATGATTCGTCACATAGGGTATGCGTAGGCGAGGCGGGATAGCCACAATGACTGCATGAGACACAGCTGGAACTCTCTACTTGCCAATTATTCTAGGAAAAATGTGGATCGAAAAGCACGAGCAAGGTGAGTTGCTTCTAAGCTAGTAGCAAGAAGTACTTCCCTGATGATGAACCGTTTGAGGCTAAAGATTGACTAACAAAGAATGACTAGTACAATGGAGGCTGATAGCCTGATATTATCTAGTTCTGACTAGCTGAGAACTGGAAATAGTCCCCTCACAAAACTGTCTCTCCCAAGGCAAGCAGACCACATATATCCAAATTTGCATGCCGTTAACTAGTGAAAGCGAGGCTTGAGGTGTCCACCACCAGGCAGGCTGACGGTCTTGGACTTGAGCCACGCGTTGGAAGCCACAGACGGATTGTAATATATATTGTAGCCCCTGGAACGGATGTTCTTGTTGTTTGCGTCGGCATTAGTAAAGTTCTGCACACTGACATCCCGAGTCAGAGTCCAGGTGGAGGTCTCATCAAGAGACACGGCAAAAGTGGCGGTGCCCTTGCCCGCAGTGTAGGCAGATCCCGTCCAACTGGAGTGGTCCGTGAGACTCCAAGAGATTGAGCTGCCATTGTATGCGACGATGTCACCCTCGAGGGCAGACTCCGCCACAGAGACAGTAACCTCAGCAGGCTGAATGGACGAATTCTCCTCCGATCCGGCAAAGTACTGGAATGCCTGGGTTACCTGGGAGGAATTGGCAATGACGAGGATACCCGAGGCTGGGTCGAGCTCCGTGGCAACGAGAGTAGCGGTGGCAATGACGTTACCAAACCACAGGGCAGCCATGTCCTTCCTCAGAGTCGTGAGTCGAGAATTTTCAAAAGATATCGAGGCCCCGCTCTGCCTCTGCGAAGAGGAGAACATGACGGTTCCGGCCAATAAACCAGCAGTCAGATCGACGTTTTTGAATACCGCCTTCTGCGCCCCGTCGCTGAACAGTGTAGGCGCCTTCTCAGCCAACCCAACGACGTCGGTACCGTAGATCTCACCGAGGGCGTAGAAGATGGCACTGCCAATACCCGCCGTGTGAGCAACCGAGTCGCTAACATGGAGATAGCCGGCCGGGCCGTCACCGGAAAAGGAGGAGCAGCGATTTCCGCCAGAGTAGTGGCGCACATTCGACGCGTAGATGGTGCCATTGCCTGCCGCGTAGAGGCCATGGGCAACAGGTCCGGAGCTGTAGAGATTCGTGTTGCTCACATGGACGGTTGTCCCAGTACCATAGACAAAGATGTTGGCCGCACCATTGTGCACGGTAATGTTGCTGTCCTCGATGTATGCAGTGGATCCGTTGGCAATGTTGATGGCCGCGTTGACGCCGAAAAAGCTCGCCTGGTTGAGCCAGGTGCAGTATCCCTCCTTGATCACCTCCACATGGGACAGATTGACATTAGCGCCCTGCGTGGCAACGAGCACACTCGTATCGTTGGAATTGACCGTCAAGGTCTGGTGGTCCAGCTCCGCGTCCGTGTCAACGTAGTAGTAGGGACCGGTGATGTTATAACTCAAAGACATGGGACCACCGTTATCAGTGGTGTAGTCCGCCATGATAGCATTGTCCTTGGCATCCGCGGTCAGATCGGCGTAGTTGCTAGGATCCACGACGGAAACTGAGCCCAGCACAAGGGAGCTGAGGGCCAGCAAAAGAAGAGAGTGAATGGCCATTTTGTCAGAACGGCTTGCGAGGCGAACAGGTGTTTTGAAGTCTTCTAGTCCGAATTGCTGATATGGTAGCTGTATGTACACAAGCCCAATTTATAGGTTTCTCTGCCATATCCTTGACGCGACCAAGCGTACGAATTCATCGTAGGATCAGCATCATCAACAACCTTCCTCGTTGGGAGAATGAATACATGCAAGAAACCTGGGGTAGGTGGAGCCGTAGCGCCTTGTCGTTTCTCCTCAAGCTTTAATTGAGACGGCGGTCCCGAATAGGAGGGGAACGAAGCTATAATGAGACCGATATTGGGGGACGCGTGGCCTGCAACTTAGTGTGCATATGAATCGCTTTTGGACCAGTACGCCTAGTAGTCTCCTTTACGGCCTAGATGACCGCCAGTGAAGGAGTAGAATGATTACTCCATTTTATCGTAACATCCTCAGAGAGCAGTGGCCATTTGGACTGATTTCCTGCGCCATATATTCTCAGGTGAAGGAAACCAGCAATGATGGGATATAAAACTCATTCTTCGATACTACCCAGCGTCGGGACCCATTTTTACCACAGATCTACAAATAGAACAACCTTGATGGTTAGGATCACATATGTGGTGATATCTCATGTCGAGTTCAATATTGAGATCGTGAGAAGAAATTAGTATATTCTCGCTATCAGCTAAACAAAGTAGTAAAAGGCCGCGGCAAGCTATCTATTCAATTGGCCTCATTCCCGAAACATCGGGCACTCCCTCTCCCTCCACCACCCTGGCACTTACAATCTCATATACCGGAAGTTCTGCGAGTCGCGAAATGACATGATGGAGTGTAGGCAGCTGCTCCCAGTCCAGCGGGTCGATTTGGAAACTGGCCTTGGACGAGGTCCATACCTTGTGTGGACGGGGGGTGGGCACAGCCTCCGAGAAGGGATCAAAGGCCGCATATTCTTCAGCTGCTTTGTTCTTGTTCGAACGACCGGTCTGCGGGATATATTTGTATACCAGGATCCCATCGTCAGATTCTCCACTGAACCCTCCGGGAGTCGTCGCTGGGTCAACTTCGACCAGATCTTCAAGCAGGAAATGGCCCCAGAGCGCTCCCTGCCACCCTGTACGAATCCGATACGAGTTTGCCCGACGGTAGATGTCCACCGAAGTATACAGCTTAGGAGCGCCCAGCTCTTCTCTTCCGGACACGATGGGGTCGGTCAATGATTCGAAGAGGATGGGCAGGTAGGAGCCTCGGATAACAGTGCCGTCCTCCTTGACGTACTCGACGCCATGAACATACAAACCGATGTGAGAATACCCTGAGCCACCCAGCCACTCCATCTTGTTCAGTGTGGTCTGCGAGAAGGACGCATATGCCACGGTATCAGGGGCGCTGAATCGCCACCCACGACGGTCCGGGGGAAAGAGGTTCTGAAGTACGGTACGTGAGGTCTTGAACTTGATCGAGGCAGTGGTGAAGGTGGATTTGGTGCCATCGCGGGGGACGCCCAAGTGGTTCTGACGCGGACCGGGCATGGGACCAAAGGCGATGGGCATGCGCCAGTAGGGATTGGGGATGCGTTTCCACGTCCATTCGCGGAGTCTCTGCGTCGAATTATCCCACTCGTCGTGGCCAAAGTTGTAGTTGGTAAAGCCGTACACTGAGGCAGTTAGTGTGGTGTTCGAAGGAAAAAAGCAGAAGACTTACTGTCAGCGGTTTCCTGTCCATCGATACGATCACGGCCGGCCAGCCGAGAGAATTGTTGTATGCGGGTAGCCCGTTCATGACGGATCGCATCATACAGCTGGAGACGCTCGGGAATTTCCTCGACGGGCGTCCCCAGAGGCAGCACTACGGCCAAGGCAGCAGCGTCTTCTATCGCAACGCCCGCTCCCTGGCCTTGATGGGGGAGGAAGGGATGGGCGGCGTCACCCAGCAGAGCCAAACGACCCTCGTACCACCGCGGGATCTCCTCCATATCTAGCAGCTTCCACACTCGCACACTCTGCGGATCCGCCTTGCTCACCAGCTTTAGCACTGCAGGGTCAAACGAGGAGAAGATCTGGAGCATCTTCTGTAGATTGCCTGACTGGCCCCAGCTCTCATCTGCCTCTTCCGCCGACTCCTCCTCTGGGTGAATCAACACGAAGTTCAACACAGTGTTTTGCGATGTGGGATAGAGCACAATCCGCCGATCGGCACCGTACCAGATGGACAGCTCTCCCGGACGCTCGACCAGAGCGGCGGTCTCGGGATCGTCCAGCGCTGCTTGCTTGGATACAAGGAAGCGAAAGGCACTCTTGCCGCAGCAGGAAGCCTTGACATTTCCGCCTGGAATGGCACTGCGGGTGACGGAGTGGACTCCGTCGGCTCCAACCACCAAATCACCCTGGAGTCGGGTCCCGTCTTCCAGGGTGATGGTGGCTGTCGCTGGGTCGACCTGTACCACCCGACTGGCGGTTCGGAAGGGGATAGCCTCGCGGTCCGCGTCGCCGCTCATCGCTGCCCTCTTAAGTTGGTTATGCAAATCAATGCGATGAGCCAGGAGCCATTGCTGGAAGTGGTTAGAATGGTGCCCTCAAGACGACTTGGCAGTGGTACTCACATGCTGCCATCTCTTGTTTTGCTCACCAAGATCGATGGCTCGTTCGATGTGGCCCAGAGAGGTATATTCAACGAGCTAAAGGGTCTGATTTAGTATTTGAGATTTCGATCAATAGCATGATGCGTACCCTCTCCATCAAGTTTGCGCCAAACTGCTGCGCATCGATGCCCAGTCGCTTAAGGATCCCATTGGCATTCGGGGCAAGATGGAGTGCTGCGCCGGTCTCAACGGCCAATCGAGATTGCTCGAAGATCTGCAATGGTCAACCGTCTTTTGTTGTCCGAAGTAGGTCGGATAACACACCTGCACATCATGGCCTTGCCTACGAAGGGCAATTGCGGCTGTCAACCCACCAATGCCACCTCCTACGACTAAAACCTTCAAGGAGGACGGACTGGTTGTCTGGTTTGTCGCGACTGTTCCGTTAATAGCTGCCATTGCGTGGGATATCGACTGCAAGTAAAGAAGAGACACAATAGTGGATAGGTAGCGCACCGCAATGATAATTGCAGTTGAGGACCTTTTGTACGGAGTAACGATTACCTTTCTTCAAACAACCAGCAGATAATACCAGGTGGGGTAAGGCTTCCAGCTTCCTCTTACGTTTGGTGTCAGCAACCACAGACTTCGGGACCACCGGGTGAGGAGGTGGAGGGGCTGTCGTCTATCCGAACTCATAACATATGCATGCTCACATCGTTTGGTCGTCACCAGGGAGACCGGGATCGTCTGATCTTTCGCACATCAATGAACTAACTGGTTATCATTATTGGCTGATTTAATTTGGGGACTCGGTGGCGAGGGATCTCTGGGACCTTTGAAAAGCAGCTGCAACAAGTGGGAGAATACATCCAAGACCACATCATCGCCATGCAAAGACATGTTGAGAAGATACTTCTTAAATCCTAGTACCTTGACTCGCAAAGTCAACTGTAAGCTTGTATACAAGATCATCATAGGACCGGCAGGTTTACGGATAGAATTCTTATGAGGAAAGCGTCGAAAGATAAACAGCGCTATTCGGAAACCGAGATGAAGCAGAAGTCTAACAACATATAGAGAAGCATGGGTTATATAGGATCAAGTACACGAAGCTTCACCATGCATTGACTCGGAAATGTGAAATGGGCGCCATTCAACTTGTATATTGATTATCCTACTCCTCTACCTATCTCTCTGAATCCATTCAAACTGATCACCCAGATAGTTGTAAGCCCGAAGATCGCCAGACCGTGCATGACCCTCAAAGTTCTCAGCGCGTGCTGCTCTTCCACACAGTCGTCCCAATTCTCCGCTTGCCTGACGGCTGGTAACTTCTTGATACGTCACGGTGCGAAGATACTTTCCTACCCACAGGCCTCCGGTATATCTCGCAGCTTTCTTCGTGGGAAGGACGTGGTTGGTGCCAATGACCTAACTTGGTCAGATTCGAATATTTCTAACTTTCCTCAAGGACATACCTTATCACCGTAGGAGACACAAGTCTTCTCTCCAAGGAACAAAGCACCGTAGGCGGTCATCTTCTTGAGGGCTTCCCGTGGTTCTTTGGTGAGGATTTGCACATGCTCGCTGGCATATTCATCCGCCAGCGTCCACGCCTCGTCAATCGAGTCCACGACGATCACCTCGCCGAATCGATCCCACGATGTCCCTGCGAGTTCCGCAGTGGACAGGTTCTTCAGTAGCTGCGTAATAATCCGCATCGACTCGCGGCCAACAGCCTCGGAAGTGGTGATGATCACCGCGGGCGAATCAGGCCCATGCTCGGCCTGCGAGAGAATGTCCGTGGCCACCGTAAAGGGATCGGCCGTCTCATCAGCCACAATGAGAATCTCCGTCGGGCCCGCAAAAAGATCAATGCCAATTTCGCCGAACATCTGCCTCTTCGCCTCTGCCACAAAGGCGTTGCCGGGCCCTGCGATGAAATCCACCTTCGACATGGTCTCGGTGCCCAGGGCCATGGCGGCGATGGCTTGCACTCCTCCAAGCAGGTAGATCTCGTCTGCACCAGCCAGGTGCATGGCTGCGATGGTGGCATGAGGGATCTGGCCCGCGATAGGAGGAGTGCAGCCAATGACTTTGGGGACACCGGCTACCTTGGCCGTGAGAATAGTCATATGGGCGGAGGCGAGGAGGGGGTATCGACCGCCGGGGATGTAGCTGTCATTAGTTAGTCCAGACTGCTCATTCTGCTCTTTTCGGAGTACATACGCTCCAACTGTCTGGATAGGCAGATTTTTCTGGCCAAGAAACACGCCCTGCGTTTGTCAGTACAGCTTCAAAGACCCGGATTGGACACTCTTACAGGCTGGATTTCGTACTCAAAATCTTTGATCGAGTCTCGTTGCGCTTGTGCAAAGGCTCGCACATTCCTCTGGACCTGCTTGATATCCTCGATTGTCTGCGTAGGGCAGGCCGCGATTGATGCCTCAATCTCCTCTTGGGAGAGCTTGAACGAGGCAGGCGACCATTTGTCAAATTTCTCCGAGTACTTGCGCACCGCTGCGTCTCCATTTGCGCGTATGTCGTCGATCACGCCCTTGACAATGGAACTCACGTCGACTTGGGGCGCTGTCAAGTTCGATGCGGCATCTGCGCGAGTCTTGAGGTAATGTCTTGCCATTGTGTCGTTGAGTCCTGTTTATGGTAGAGCTGAAGAGTGCAGGCTAGAAACTCGTATATCTGTAATTCAGTTGCCATAGTGAGAATACATATAGCCGTAGCGACGCTATGTATTGCCATACAGCTTCTTTCGGCTCCACCCGAGCCAGCGTCGGCCACAAGTCCGAGAGTCCGGCCTTGACTGCGAACATGGAGAACAACAGAGATCTTCTCGGGAGGACTGTAAGAGCGCCCTCGGGTAATTCCTAACCCCATAGAGGAATCCGGGGCTATTGTGTCAGCCCTCTTCCAGCTTGTCCACCCTTCGTCTCAACCTTCTCAACCAAGAACCGTCAAACCTGTACTATCATGACTTCACCAAAGGTCGCTTTGATTACCGGCGCCTCCAGAGGCGTCGGCGCAGCAATTGCAAGATGCCTGGCCGAGCATGGCATGAACATCGTGATCAATTACAACTCTGACCCTGCCCCGGCCGAACGATTACTCCAGGAGCTGAGAGCTTCGAATCAGGCCAAGGGACCTGGCGCAAATGGTTCTCAATATACAGCAATCCAGGCGAATCTGGCCAACCGAAGCGACATTCAGCGGCTCGTGCAGCAAACCATCCAGACCATGGGCCGGTTAGACGTGGTGGTTTCCAACGTCGGCTGGACGCGAATGACCGACTTTATGAACCTGGAGGAAGCAGATAGCGAGGCGGACTGGGATAAATGCTTCTCGATGAATGTCAGGAGTCATTTTCAGCTTTTCCGGGCTTGTCAGGAGCATTTAGAACGAAGTGAAGGGGGGTTTATTGCTACAGCTAGTGTTGCGGGGGTCAAGCCTAGTGGAAGCTCATTGGTATGTATCTCTTGAATTGATATATTAATGAGTTCAGAAATGGTGATCTGACGATACTAGCCATATGCCGTGACCAAAGCGGCACTCATACATCTCGTCAAGAGTTTGGCCATCATTGCCGCACCAAAGATCCGAGTCAACTCGGTGTCGCCAGGGGTGTTGCTCACAGTGAGTGACTCCATGGACTTTTAGAGCAGAATCTGACAGACCAAACCAGGACTGGGGTCTTCAGTTCCCGGAGGAGAAGCTCAACGCCGTGAAAGGAAAGAACTTGCTTAAACGATTTGCGACTCCAGAGGTATGTCCCTCGTCATAATGATAGCTCTCTTGCCTGACCGACTTGATAGGACGTTGCCGAACAAGTCAAAGTATTCGCTACGTCCAGATCCATGACGGGGATAAATGCAGTAATAGACGCAGGTTTCTCGCTATGAGCCCTCCTTACGAATTAAGTGAAGAAAACAAGTTACAAAGTCATAGAATTTATGTACTAGATATATTTGCTCCTTATCAGTCATTCATACATTCATATATTCATCCCGCCAATATCCCTATACCGCCAAATAGTTCTGCGCCGCGTCACAAGTTATTTGCTGGCATCTCGCAACTTTTCAAGAAGATGGACCAAATTATCCACCAGCGGCGGAGTCTGCGTGAAGGTTTCATGGTGGTGATTGTGTTGCATGACTTTGATCATCGTTTCCAGAACTGCCTGGGGATCACCGACAGAGACCGCCTCTTCTGCATGGCCAACACCCTGCAGGACAGGTATCCCGCGTTGCAGGGTAATGAACCGCTGCGTATTCTCACTTTCTGGCCCATCCAGCCAGACCCTCTGCTGCAGTGCTGGACCAGCCAGCTGCTGACCATGAGGATCCACAGTATGGAAGAATACCACGCCGTAGGCCCACAAAGTCAGACTGGCATGGTACAGCGCAATCGCCATGAAATCCCGCAGAGCTTGCAACGGAAGAGCTTTGATGGCTCCAACGACCTGGCCCGCATGCCAGATGGCGTGTCGGGACTGTTCGCTCCTGAACCAGTCGCTCAGAGCAGGTTGAACCCACGCGCGACTGGGATCATCCGAGGTAGCCAGTGTCTCAACCTCCTCCAGGGACATGTACATGTGCATCAAGATAAAGTGCAACTGCACGGGGGCTTCGTCCCGGTATCCCATTCGAAAGCATGCGAGTATCCTGCTAAGCTGTCCATGCCGAGAGGCCATGAGCAGATCATTATCCCAGTAGCGGCTGTGTCCGTTCAAAAGAGAGCTCAGCTGGCGGTACTCCCATACGAGGCCCCATATACAGTGCAGGACTGCACCGCAGGTAAGACGGATGTCCGCAATCCGACGGCTGGTTTCCAGAAGATCCAAGTTCGCCACGCACTCGCTGACCGTGGGAGTTCGACCTGCAGAGGACATGAGCGATGAATGATAGGCTTCCTTCCATTGCGATGCGGAACTAGCTTCCCAGAGATACGAAGGAGCAGGGAGAGGGGGGCCCATTTCGGCGTAGGTAATCAAAGGGGTGGTAAAGAGAGCCATGGAGACTTGAGCCTCCAGTCGAAACAAGCGGTACACAAGCCTCTTGTATGCTTCTTTGTACGCCCAGCATCGCCATGCATCTTCCAAGCTCTGACCAGACTCTTCCAGCCGCGCTGGCAGGGGCGGATAGGCTGACTGGTGAAAATTCCCGCCGCGACGAACCATGGTCAGCAGAGGTTGGCGGAAGGCCTCTGAGATCTCGATCTTGCGGCTATTGCCACTCCATAGGCCTATTTCTAGATATAGCAAGTATGCTTGATGAAGGTGAAGGTCACGGATGGTGGTGTTGTTCCCCTCGAACACCGAAGGCAGCTGCAACCGGACGACTTCCTGCATGGCAAATCCCAGTTTACGTAGCGAGGGATCCGGTGTCAAGACGGCCCCAGCTGCGGCCATGGCTAGAAGCAGCTCTGGACACACTTGCTGCGGTCGAAAAGTCCCCCGATGGATCCAGGAACTGGCGGTAGAGAATGGGGCGGTCAGGTAATATCGGATCAGGCTGTCAAGAAGCTGGACCGACGGGAAGGATGACAGAACGGCCGAGATAGGCTGTTTCATCTGACTGAGAACAATGCCCAGGATCTTATCACGAGAGTGGAGATCGAGACTTTGGTCCGTTGTCGATTGGCTGTTCACGCCTTCAAGGCTCTGGGGAGTCAGAGTGGATGCGCCAGTCGCTTCGTTGGCTAGTAAAAGGTTTTCGTGCTCGCAATAGCCATGGTCTTGAGGAGCAGGGACGAAGCGCCATCGCAGTCGCTGCATAGACCGTGAGCCTCGGGGATTTCTCTCGATCGGTGTTTCGCGGGTCTCGTAGGGCGAGCCAGACAGAGACAGACTTGGTGCTTGTTCATCGAACTCAAACGGTACGTGGCTATTGTATGACTCGAGGAAGCTGAGATCGACCATGCTAAAGTCGAGATCGGTCTGCAGGCCAAAGGTGATCAATCCCCGGGGTGTACGTACGCCACTAGGCGGCTCTGTAAACAATGCACTTGTGAGCTCATCCCTGATCCCCGATGGAACGTAGTCAGGTGGCATATGGCTGTCAGCTTCCAAGTCGATAGACTGCGAATGGTCCGGCTCTTGTGACCAGGAGTCGCTGGCTGGGATCTCCATCGGAGGAGTGATGAGGGCTGGTACTGTATCTGTTTCTTCTCTCCTTTCATCTGAGTTATGGCTGCCGTTTACTTCCGTGCCAACCCGACTGTCCCGGTTGGTCAAGCGGATCTGAACGCCGTCAGGGGACTTGGAAGGAACCACGCAGGCAATATTTCGCCTGCGGCATCGGGCGCAGGGCTTTTCTTCGTCGCATTTAAGATGGTCTTCTGCACAGGCGCTGCATGCTTGGGAAGCCCGGATGATGGGGTTCGCGCTGCCAGTACGAGGACGCTTCTTGAAGGCCTGCTTACTGCCCGTGGTAGTGTGCAGAGCAGAATGCCGACGGAGCAGATCACTAAAATCAACATTAACTGGAGTGATCAGGTAAGATTGCGAGGGAAACAGCACATTCTGCCAAACCGCTTGCTACAGACAGCGCACTGGTGAGGCTTTTCCTGGGTGTCTACCGTAGACTGTCAGCGAGACCGACAAACGACGCCACCGCCAACTGGCAGCCGCAGTGACCTACGCGAAAGAACATGGCGGCGCAGATGGTCGATCCGCGAGTACGACTGGGAGCATGTTCCGCACTGATACAGGTTTCGCTGCACCGAGTTGCCTTCCGGCACCGAATCTGGCTGCGACTGTGGTGTGATCATGGTGCCGAACGCAGCTCCGAACGTGGGGAGCGATGGGTGGGATGATGCGAAAGCACATTGTTACCATATATCAAGGGGGCATACTCTAGCAGATTACTCAATCTGCCGGACTTTGACTTTTCCCCCACATCAAATAGCGGGGATTGAGATGCCCTATGAGTCTAGACTTTACACAGCGGAGACACCCCCGCAATTCCCCTGAAGAAAGCTTGGAGAGTGCAGGTATATCTACCAGTATCCTGCAGTTGTTGCTGTTTAGATCGAGCTTATCAAGTCCGGCCTGCTGTCCGACTCATATCGGCGAAAAAGGCTCATGATTTTCTTGATATCCTGGAGGTGAGTGGCTATGGAGATTGTCGGGAAGGTGGGGGACAACCATGTTCTCCACATAATATCCGATCAGCGAATAGCTTCCTACATATACCAGGTTCAAACTTTGTTCTCTAAGGACATATTACTCGATCTGTCTGGACTGCTGGTGCCTACCCGTCTATTGGACAAGAGTGAGGCAACCTGAGATGAGGTTTTATAGCATTCTCAGCAGAGACTACACTCTTCCCACCGCATACACGCCCCCGATGAACGCTCAAGTCACATCAGGCGATGGGCAGTATAGAGCAGTGACTGTGCTCAATAGGATTATGTTCTGGTAAGATGGAGAATGATGCATGTGGCGAGATGTGGGTGGCCACATATACTTGTCTGCGGGAGCATTGCTAGAACATATACATCTACTGTTGAATTTCGAAAGACGACGATTCTGGGGGGGTTAATCCCCGCTTGCTGGAGGGCAAGAAGAAGTGTTATGCTGTGTACATCGTGTATGGACTAGCCTCTGTGGGAAGCAAGTACACAATAGAAGATCTACAGACCGGGCCGTCCTTCAAGTCCCCTACCATGGCTCTTCGTCGCCATCATACTTGAACAATTTTCCACTGTGGGTTTTGCGAGTAGAGGAATCGATCACCTTGACCACCCCTGTGGCACTCTCTTCGACAGTCATCGCAGCCTTCTCGAAACCGAAAACATCAGCCCCGCGGTTGCCAATGTCCGTCTGCACCCAGCTACACCAGCAAAACCGATTAGTCTTCAGCCTGATGGGGAAATAATCATACCTGGAGAAGGGCTCACCCAGGGTCAACAGGAAACGCGGTCAGCCAGGGGTCTTCAGCGGAGATGGCCTTAGTGTACCAATGCTGAACGGCCTTGGTAGGGGCGTAGGCGGCATTTTTCATAGGGATAAAGTTCCTACAAGCAGCGCGAGAGTCATTTTCTATATCTTTGTATCCTAGGAGAGATTCTCTTACTACATCATGAAATTAGCCGGATATATCTCTCGCAGTAGACTGCAAAGCTTACCGTGAAGAATGCCGAGCTCGACCCAACCGTCACCCACTTAGGATCCTCGGCCCGCTTGAGAAGATTCCGGAAAGCTTGATATAGATAGATGAAGCCGTAGACGTTGACGTCGATATGTTTCTGAATGTCCTCAACCTTGACCTCGGCGACCGTAGGCCACAAGAGGGCGATGGCCGCATTGGCGATAAGAATATCGACGTGATGGATTCCCTTGGTAGCAAGCTCCTTCACGGCAGCTGCAGGGTCGGTAGGAGATGTGGCATCGATCTTGACAATTACCAATGTGGTGCCGTCGGCTCTTGGAAGGTCGGCTAGAGCCTGAGAAGTTGGGTGGCTTGGATCCCGGTTGGCAGCGATGACGGTATGGTCCGGCTTCTTCAGGTACAGCTCCAAGATTCCCTTGCCAATACCGCGGTTGGCGCCGGTAATGAGGACAGTCTTGGGAGCCATGATCCAAGTTCTAAGCTCGGGCTCAAGAGTGCTTGTGGCCAAATGGAATGAAGGGGCGGAAACAGGAGACAAGAGACACATATATATCTGAGAAGAACTCCACAGTTGATTCTTGATAGGATGTGCTTCTAGGACATGGTCATACCCTCTCTAGCTAGAAAACGCAAGGATTACTATTTATAAGCAACGAAATAAAAGTCTATATCTGATTGGTCAAATGAAATTGCACACGGAGCAACATGCAGGGTAAGGGTAAGCACTAAGCATGGCTTACCCTACATGGACTGCCGTTGCGTCCCGAAATACAGTTCTTTTGTTAACACGAAATAAGCAATCTAAAACCTTCCATGGATTGCTGCGAGAGACCTCGAAGAGCAATGGTTTACCTGCAAAAGTCTCACTTCAAGGCTCGAACTACTGCTGTGAAACCGTGATATCATGGAAGCTCCTCACCTAATTGCCAAGAACATATACTGTTCGGTGTTCTGCTAGACCGTCATTTGGGTAGGATATGCAGATATTGTCTGTGTAGTCCAAGACCCTTATGCGAGACATGGCATGGATCTGCTACGTGCTCTGTGTTCGTTGTAGATACCTCACGTCAGGGTCTGCCCTGTCTTGAATTTGTTTTACTATGTAGCTTGTCTGGAAACCAAACCATAACAAGTAGCTAAATCAATCACAAACACTGGGAATACCACGCGTTCTGCACCTGGCAGGTATACGGCGACGCACAGGTCGTCGGGCCCGTCCATCCTTGTCCTCCACACTGACCATAATGCGCCGCGACGGTAGTGGAAGCGGCATTCGTAGTCGTCGTCTTCGTGGTGGAGGTTGTAGCCTTCGTTGTCGCCGAGGAAGAGGACGAGGTACTGCCACTTAGAACCACAGTCACCATTGAATATCCGGGGACATTGACACTGGCTGCTCCTGCACTAACGGACGGGGTGGTCTCGCTAATCCGATTGTGGCTGTTATCCGTGAGATATGCTTTGGCCGAACCAGCAGCAAACCCGTTGACAGTGACCGATGTCGCCGCAGACGCAGTGTTGATCATCTGCACCGCAACAGTCCCATCCGTATTCTTGAACGCAGTCATCTTCAACGTCGAAGAGGACCCAGAGACGGCCACCCGCACCGCTCCGGGTCGTACAAACCGACTCCACTGGCCAAACGCCCACAATCGCCCCGATGGGATCACATTTGTTCCATCGGTAATCACCAAGCACGAGTTCGTGTTACTATCCTCGAACCCCTCCCAATAGAGATACGCGCTCACCCCGCCCTCCGTGATCGCCGTGTAAATCTTCTGCGCCCAGGTAAGGCCCTCGCCCGCGCCCCCGCTGGAGTACCAGGTCGTCTCCCACGTGCCCGCGGCCGAGAGGTCCGCATTCTCAGTCTGCCAGACGGGGATTGAGGCGCCCATAGAGCTGGTCGGATCAGACGAGTACGAGTGCGAGGTGATCCGCGAGAGAAGGTTCTCAACACCGGCAGAGATGAGTTGTGCGGTGCGAGTTTTCTGCGCGGACCAGGCCATCGCGTCGCAGCAGTTAATGCCCACGCGGCTCAGACCTGCTTTCTGCAAGGTGGGATACAGCACCTTGATAAAGTCCGCGGCTTGGATCCCGTCCGACAGCATAGAGGAATAGGTTGTGCTTACGTATCGTCAGTATTCTACATGGCTGCCGGGCAAGGCAAGGGAGACATACTTGAAATCCGGCTCGTTCAAGAACCCCACGTGCGTGATATCCAGTCCCAACGCGGCATAATCCTGGATATACTTGACCAGGTAGTTTGCATACGCCTGTGTCCAGTTGCCGCTCGCGCAGTTCGTTCCCGTAACACCACACAGATAACCCCCATTCCCCTGGTCGTTGTTCGTCTTCATAAACCCCGGGGCGCTCCACGCGTCCGCATAGATGGTCTTCACCCCGTAGGCGACGGCCTGCTGCGTCACCCATACCTGCTCCGAGTCCGTGCCGAGGTCCTGATACTGCGGCGTGGCGTTCGGGGAGCCCGGGGAGATTGGCAAAATGCTGTCGCTGCTACTAGAGCCGACGCGGTTGCGCAGGATGGTCATGCCTGCGCCCTTGGTGGGACTGAAGAGGAGGTCAAGGGCGTATTGGCGCTGGCTCGAGTTCAGGTTGTACAGATCGTAGGCGCGGCCAAAGGCCTGCGAGAAGCCGAACCCATCCATGGTTTGGTAGGTTTGTGCGGTGTTGACCGTCGCCGTGAGGGCGTTGGCAGCGGCTGCCAGGCCGGTCAGGAGGAGGAGAGTCATTTTGCCGTTGGTTTGTCGTCCTGTCACATTTTCGAAGGTAGAAGAGAGTTATAGGTCCTTATATAACTGTAGATCCCGCTGGATTGGCCTCGGAAGTCGCCCCGAACTGCCGAGACAGTATTCTGATAAACTGGCTTCTGAAATAGGATCAGCCTCCTGTGGGGTAAAGCTTGGATATTCTTAGCTGAAGAATAGAGGACCTCCACATTTGACGGCAGTCACGGCAGCACATAATTTCATTTAGACCGGCGGGGAGCCTGTGTTGGCTCTATAGATGAAACAGCGTTTACTAACGCTCCTTTCTCATTCAGGATTAGAGTCACAGATTAAATAATATGTGGGTTAGACTGGTCGTGTTGAACAGGCTTAAATATCACTTTATTATGGGATGTGCCAGATTCCTGCAGATTTTAAACTATGGGCAATCGCGGAAAGGCCATGGTAATGTGTGGCTTTTAGACCTTTCCACGCTGTGAATCACTGCGTTAATAGTATAGATCAACTATACTTAGTTTACCTTTGCTTGCCTCCTACTTAAGTTAAGGATATATATAGACATGAACAGGTCATTGACTGATTGATATCAACCTCCCGCGCCCATCTTAAACACTCTCGGAGCTTTGTTCAAGGGAAGCTCTGCCACAGGTGCAATAAAACCAGGAGGAGTAGCATACATTTGAGCGTTTGAGACACAGTTTACTCCGAATTGTTGATTCTCTTGTAGTCTTCGCTGATACCTCTGTCGTTGGCACCACAGGGCGCCTAATAATGTTATAAGACATGCACCTAGCCCAACACCAGTGCTAATGCCAACGACCATTGGTTTGGAATCTGTGCACTCTGAATTACTCAAAGCAGCTGCCTTAGCGGTTGCATGTTCTGTTGTAGTAACAGCAGCCGTCGTGGTAGTGGTGGTGGCGGCGGCGCCTGTATTTACAGCACCAGTAGGAGTAGCAGTGGTAGACGGAACAGCTGACGAGGTATTCAAGAGCATCAGCTGGCCCATTTGCAGCTTGAACGCGTTATCACAGCAGTTTGAGCCATTGGCACTACAGCACCAGTGGTCATTGCTGATCTCAGGACACGGCAGGACATGAATCCCGTAGCTTCCTTGGATTGCTGTTGGTAAGAGCATTGTGTTAGCGGTCCGTCATCAGACAGGATATCGAGTACCATTAAACCGCGCACATTTAGGACAGATGCTCGGACAGCCATTACTCTCCCATGTAGGATCTGTGCACCCATCTAGCAGGATGAGACCAGTATATGGTGAGACCTGGGCCAGACAAAGCCCGTTAGTCAGGCAGATATCATTGGGGTCTCTGTTTGTTTTATTGATTGCACAGCAAGCGCTGTTAGTCTTGTCGGGAAAGCAGGGTTGCAGCTCTGCTAAGCCGGGGCTGCCGTCTGTAAAGTAGCATTGTGTTGCAATTGCGATGGGAAGGAGCGCATTCTGGATCGTGAGGCTAAGGAGTACTTTCTGTAGAGGTAGTCGGAAGAGTAACATCTTAGAGCGTGGGAGGCCAGAGTACGGCGATCTTGAAACTGTAGGGAAAATATCAGCTGTAAGAAAGAAGGATCAGGACTGTGCTATATAACGCAGTGCGATGAGGCCCATATTCAGGCGCTTATATCCCTGTAACAAGAGGATCAATGAGCTGTCGTGTTATAATAGGAATGGTGACTAGCATCGACCCTAAGCGCCAGACTTTTACCTGTGAGATGTACATTGCAGTAATAGCAGCAATAGTGTGGATATAGTACTGAATGATTGTAAGAGTATATGCTCGGAAGTACACATTTCTCAATATTATAAATCAAATGCGCTCAAATTTGAGCATCAAAACCAAATGCAGTCTGAGGCACTAATGATGTTAGAGCTAGTATACTATATATATGCTGGTTAGGCATGCAACTGCGAAATGGTGCCAGGGTCATATATATACTCTTATGACTGCTTTCCAAACTCTGATGCATAACAAACTGAGCTTTGCTAAGGAAAGCTTTGGATGATCATATTCCAAAACAGGGCCAATACCTTTATTGGGCTGTAAACAACATTGAATCGCAGGGAACTTGAATCTAGCATATCAACTTTTTAGGGTAGGAAGCCTACTCTATGTCCATATGCATGGCACTCCCTGAAAGCTAATATGCCATTAACAAACTGATAACATGAAAGCGTAATTTGACAGCTCCAACATACAGAATTTCATGTGTATTGTGAATAATGTAAACATAGATTATCTTAATGCTGGATCGTCAGATGCGCAGGTGCAAGGCTGACAGCTGTCTGCCTTCAAAAGCATGAAAACACAGCACTCCTTAACCGTCTATTTTCTTAGAATCATAATCAATACTGTGAGCGATTTGAACATGACAAAATGACAGATATCGAAAACATTGCCAACCTCATCAAAACCGGCCAGGCCCCCCGGATCGTTGTGCTTGTCGGCGCAGGCATCTCCGCTGCGGCCGGCATCCCTGACTTCAGATCGCCCGAGACTGGCATTTATGACCGACTCAAACCCCTTAAGTTGCCCTACCCCGAAGCCATCTTCCACACCAGCTACTTCAAGCACACCCCCGAGCCCTTCTACGCCATCGCGCGTGCCAGACACCCGCGCTCCCTCAAACCGACCATCACCCATGCGTTTCTCGCTCTTCTGGCGAAGAAGAACCTCCTCCATTTCCTGTTTACACAGAACATAGACGGGCTAGAGCAGGATGTCGGTGTCCCAGAGGACAAGATCCTCAATGCACACGGGAGCTGGCGGACACAGCGCTGCTGGAAGTGCGAAACTCCCTATCCGGATGATTTGATGAAACAAGCGATCAATACAGGCAATGTCCCGTATTGTCAAGTCCCTGACTGCGGGGGAGCTGTTAAGCCCGACGTGGTGTTCTTCGGACAGCCTCTTCCTGCGGAATTTGCAGAAAAGAAGACGAAAGTCCCCGAGGCGGATTTGATGCTCGTCATGGGGACGAGTTTAAAGGTCGCTCCGTGCTCGGAACTGCCGCGTTTGGTTCGGGAAGGCGTTCCACGGGTGCTGATCAATCGGGAGACGGCAGGAAACTTGGGAATGCGGCCGGAAGATGTGTGCATTTTGGGCGATTGCGATGATGGGGTGCGCAAACTGGCGGATGCCCTTGGTTGGACCGAGGAGATGGAGTCGTTATGGAAGGAGGCCATTGCGGCCAAAGACGCAGTGCAGGAGGATTGGGGAGACGAGGAGAGACTGGAAGAGTTGATCGATAAGTACGCGAAAACGCTGACGGATGCCAGGATGATTTCTGATGGCCATAAGCGGATGTTGGAGAACCACTTGGGGAAGAAGTTTGCCGATGTCCTGAACAGGAGTAGGTAGTCAGCATCTGGCTTCTCCAGTTCTACTTGGGTCGCAGACACTGAATGAGATCCGGCGTTATATTGGTCGATAGAGTCACAAATCTACATACATGGATCTGGATACGAGATGGTCCTACGGGTTCCGTCATATAGAATGAGTCACACTTAACCATCCTACCCCATACTGATTTCCACCGTCTATTGTCTGTTACAGCTTACACGAATCTCTGCCACATTAAATCTCGCATTATGAGTCCTCCGCTACTGGATGATATAGCTCGCCTGGGTCCTGCCATTCAGCGCAGCTCGTCGGATGCCCGCCCAGTTGTCCTGATGACATGCGGAGTGGCAGGTAACATGTCTTAGTTCATCACCATAGATGCATCTGCTAACTCAATAGGATCTGGAAAGTCCACTCTCGCGAAATCGATCTGCTCTGCCTATCCGTCTTTCACACGTCTCTCCATTGACACATATATCTACACTCACCATGGCCTTTACAACGTGGACTATCCCGAAAAACACTACGAGAAGTATCAAACCGAGGCGGAAGCAGCTTTGAAGCGGCAACTTGTCCATATTCTCGAACATGGCGATGCAAACGTCGTCCTCGATTTCTCCTTCGCATTTCGCGAAGTTCGTGATGAGTGGAAAGTGCTCATCTCCGAATCGGGCGGGCGCTGGGTGCTGGTTTATCTGAACGTGGATCCAACGGAGATTCGACGAAGAGTAGCAGCTAGGAACGCAGTGGTTGAGAAAGATGGAGACTCGGCATTTTGCCTCACGGAGGATGTGCTGGAACGGTATCTTAGAGGATTTGAACGTCCGGTTGGGGAGGGGGAGATTGTCGTCAACGTGGATTGATGGTCCAAGGAGCTGTATGCATCGTCAGATGATATCAACATCTCCATCGGTGGATGCCATGTTAAGCACCGGAGGGCAGGAAGTTTAAGGCAGTGTTGAGAATTGGTTATTAGTCTGTATCAGGCTTTTGGATATTCTAAATCAGTTGTGCTTGGAGATCATCTGCAGGTATTGCAGAAATGCTAGTTGTCCGGTTTGCGACCATACACCACCGAGACATGGATATAACCGTGGATGCTCGGATCGCGAATCGCCTTTCTCATTTCCGCCAATGTCATTTCGACCTCGTCTCTCGACCACTGCGAATGGATCAGTATCTGCTGGTAGAAGGTTCAGGGTGACAAGCACTCACTCCCAGCACCTTGGTCCACAAGAACATCACCCACATCTCCATACTCTCCTCAACCACCAACCGACAGTATTTTCCCAGCGTCTTCATGTGCTTGTTCTTCGGCCATGGCCCAATCGGTAGTTTGTATCGTCGCTCGATCACGTCTACGAATCCGGCGTCGATGATGCGCTGCTTGGACTCGTCGACAATGCGAAGGGTCTTTCCGAATCGATCGCCACTCTCCAGGCTAGCTTTGCCCCATTTCTCGTAGATGGTTCCAACGTGACTGCTGTCGTCTGATGTAGGCACGACTCCCATCTCGACTTGTTCGATATACCCGCCTGGGACAAGGTGTCTTCCACCACAACATTAGCACACTAAAGCACTCGAGATGCGGCGACGGCGTACTTCAGAGCCTGTTGATAGAACCCATCCCAATCGGCCACACACCCATACAATCCCCGCACATGAATGTAATCAAACGGCTCCCTGTACGTCCACTCGTCGCAGCAATCGTCCACCTCGAAGCTGAGGTTCGGCGGTACCAGCCGCGGCTGGATCGGCGAGAGATCGGTCCCGATGACCGTCGCAGTGGGATGCATGTCCGCAAACTCAATGGCCCACGCCCCCGTTCCCGTCCCGACATCCAGAACTCGTTTAGGATTCTGTAATGGAGCGAGATATAACTCGCCGTGTAACAAGAGACCGTACAAAAAGTGACAGATATCCATCGCATCTATCGACTTTTCGTCGTTCGACCCCCAGTACGCACCGGCATGGTAGGCGTGGTACCGTCGGCCATTTTCGTAGATGTAATCAAAGACACTGCTGCGGAGGGACGTCACTTCCGAGTCGGTTGCCGTATAAGTCGAAGCCCAGTCATCGCCCGAGTCAACGGTGATGGTTTCTTCCTCGGGGGTCATTTTCGTGGGGGGGTTTGGCAGAGAACGGACGGATGGCAGGGGACAGCAGCTTCCGGTGACAGCCCCTTATATGCGAGACGTGTCATCATCTGATGCACTAGAAGACCAGACAGGGATTCAAGTAGCCCCATCTTGTCGGCGTGCAAGTGCTTACACGATGGAGCACAGAGAAATCGAGTGGCCAATCATGGTCATGCCGAGGTGTCTGTGACTCGCGTTGTTGAACCGTTGCTGCGCGGATCCGGAAGGACGATCCGCCATGATAGTGGGGTGTGTGGCGCATTAAGTCATGAGTGTTTGGATGGTGTCGTTCATTGTACGCCGTATACTGTGCACAAATAGTCAGCCTTAACCAGAAGGGTGGAAGCAGCATACTTGATGGTCACAATATGCACCTAGGATACAAGTGAGTGTTCGAACTGAATAAATCAAGTTTTTATGGAGTCTGCACTTAGAAAGAATCTGATAATACATTGCTATCGCCAAGAAACGGACCAGCAGACGACACAGGTTAGTCGACTTGGCCTGTAACACTATCTATCTAATTTCAAAAATATTAGATTCCTTAAGAGCTCTACATATGATAAGACCGACTTAGCCAGAGAGAGGGTTCGGAGACACCACACTGCTCGGGGAACTGGAAGGTAGAAAGTCTGAGAAGCCCTTCGAATTCCTCGCTAGTAGTATTCTTAATCTATTGCGCTGGCAGGGCAACAACAGGCACAATGATCGTCGAGTCATACTTGCCACCGAAATGAATGGTATGCCGACCTTCGTTCAGGTTGTCGAGTTTCTCATCGATGTGGCTGGGGAAATCCGAGCTGGTATCAATGAAGCCTTGGACACGAAATAGCAGGCCCTCCCCGGCTTCGAAGTGGATGCCCATAGGCCAAAGAGAGATCTCGAGGTTGACGACATGGCCTGGGGGGATCTTTTCTTCTTGATCGTGTGGGTGGTACGGGATCATGGGGGTGCTTCGTTCTGGGACCTGGGCGCGATGCGACGCCCGGAGGATACCGGTCGGTCCAGTGTACTGGGATACAAACCCGGTCAGCGCGCCGTCTCAAGGCTTGGTCACAGCATGTCTAGCTGGATCGAACCACACTCACCTTGACCGTCTGCGCCATGGGAACATCGTGTTGGGTATTGACCCCTTCGGGTAGAAATTCCCAGGGAACATTCACGTGTTCTAATACTTCTCCGCTCTTGCTCAGCTTGCGGATGGACACATAAACATCCATGTCGTCCTTGTCTCTGCAAGACATCCAAAGTTCTGCTTTTGAATGACCAACAAGCGTGGTCGCTTTGTCGAAGGTGAGCGTAAATTGAGACGCCTGTGCTTGGTAGCCGTCTACATGATGGGTGACGGAGCTCTCGTTGGCTTGTGGCGAGGTGGCCAGCTTTCCAGAGTCCTGCAGGTAGAATTTCCGATACTCGGTCGATGGAACTGGGTAGTCGGCGAAGGGCACATCCCATTTTGGGCCCTATTGCAACGTGTCAGACTGGCCTTCCAATGCTTCTGTCATGTCAGATCAACGCACAGGCTCGAAACGATTCCCATACGTGAGAATGGAAACCCTAGCTCTGGGGGTTTTCTCCCAACCATTGTCGATGCCCTTCAGGTACCGATCAAAGAACCGTTGCAGGTCATCGATGTACCTGGGTGTGTAGAGATCGAACCACTCCTGAGTCGGATGGAAGCGGATCCATTTGTCCTTGGAGGCCGCCCTGGTCCAGCCCCTCACGGTACCAGAACCATGATTCCCTGAAGAATAGCTTGCAAGCGCATATATGGGTAGCGTCAGACCACTGGTGTCGTATACTTTGTCCTCCCAGTATCCATTGAAAAGGGGCCATTTGGCGAGCGCTCCACCAATGTCCTCCCGACGGTTTCGGCCGCGAATTGTTTTGTTGAAGATGAACGAAGCAAAGTTGTACTTAGGAATACCTCCACGACAGATCAAGTCACGATACTTATCCGTGAACCCTTCCCAAGGTGCTATGCACTTGAGTGAAGGGGGCTTTTCGATAGCGGTTGCCCACTGCTCCGTTGCCAGCCAGGAATTGCCACACATGCTGACAGCACCGTTGCACCATGGTTGTGCTGCAATGAATTCGACCGTATCGTAGCCATCCAGACCTGACTGTGGTCAGTAAATCGCCATGTCAATTCCTTCCTGGTGATGGAGCAGCAAGCCTACCCATCTGGCTTCCCTCGATGTAAAGGTCGCCTTCACTATCCCATGTGCCTCGGATGTCTACGTTGACGATTGCGTAGCCCCGAGGGCACCACTCAGCCGGGTCGGGCCTACGTCGCCTGGTCAGCATGGCTTATCTGATGCCTTGAGCAGGGCTCGTTTACCCTTCGAATTTCTCCAGACCGGATGTGGCGCTCTCTCGTAGTCCGAGCCGGAAGGGTATATTGTCGAAGATGCGGAATCCTTGCGGCGATATGGCGGTTAGATTTGTTCTAAGTCCGCAGGTCTGGTCGATGTCAGTCACGTACCGTGTCCATTTTTCCCATATGGGCTTAAGGCCAATATGGCCGGGAGTTTTGTATCTGTGACCGGCCTGAAAATGTCACAGTAGATCTTGGGCATCAGATCAGTAATGTTCTCTGCACGTCTCTTGCGGTAGACGGACCTTGACTCCGTCTCTGAGCGGAATTTCGACCACTTCATCAAATATAATCTCTTCTTGGAGGGCACGCCTGCCTTCCGCAAATTGCCAGCCCACAGGAAGTTTCCTAGTGTTTCTAGTCTGCTTCCTGTAGGGATACATGTTTGTCTCATCCTCGGGTGGGTTGGCATGTACCCATAGGATAGGAAAGCCCCCCAACTCAAGCTTCGGTCCGGTCATGATGCAGTTGTGTAGCAACGTCGCTGGTTAACCTTTCGCAATAGATAGAACGCAGATTCTGATAGGAACTGGGCGTATTCGATCGTACCGTACTCGAATCGTGGACATACTTGTAGTCGGCAGAGATTCGTCAGTGCTGATTGATGTTAGCCAGCCCCTTCCGCGGAGCTCAAGGTGGTTCCGGTCAACTCGGAAATGCCGCGGCGAGTCATCTCACCTTATGGCAAGACTTGTCTCCGCATCTGCCTACAACAAAGTATTTCGGCCGGGAGGATTCCGTGGAACTGTGCACCCTAGTTTTCACGCAGGTAGACCTCACCAAAACCAAACCCGCCCAAGCCCATGGGTACCCGCCAAGAAGCGTGGTACCACATAATGTATAACTTGCTGAATAAGGTCAGTAACTAACTAAAGAGTCGAGCTCCACGCGTAAGTCAAATCCCCGGGTCCCTCGCCATCTCTCGTCGTAGGGGCTGTCTTCCTGGGTAGGACCTGTGGTCTGATCTGTCTTGAAGACTACATTCTCTGCTCCAGAGGGAGAGGAAATGCCTCCCGACTGGCTGATCAGAGTGTACGCATCCTCTTTATTCATACCCAGGACAGTCTTTTTTCCATAAGGGTATTCGGGTTCTCCTTTAGTGCCTTGTTCGCGCTCATGAGATCTGTCACCAGGTGATTTGACTGCTGGTTGCTGAGCAGTCGGACTTGCTCCTGCAACGTCTGGATTGTCTGGGTTGTTCGACAGAGGCTCTCACGCACCTCCAGCTCCTCCTGGGTGAGTCTCTCCTTCGAGGTTGCCTGCTTCTTCACGCGAGGGGAGGGGAAATTACAGTAGTCGAGGAATGGAGGCGGAATGTACTTCTTCATAGTATGTCATGCCATTACTTAGTGCTAGGCTACCCCGGTCAATATGCTTGGACCATGGACAGAGCATCAGAGCAGCTGTGAGACAGGGTCGACTCCCAAGACGCGAAAATGGCTTTATTCAGCCTCTTAAAAAGTCGAGTGCCTTGCGCAACAGCATACGGCGATCCCACAAAGAGGCTGCCAACAGAACAGATGGAGACAAAAAGTAGAGACCTTTCTGTGGTGGGCTTAAATGAGGGAGCATGCACGACAGGAAGAAGTGAGATAGGTCAGACATTTGTATAAAAGCTTGCGCGTAATCCCAACCTCCTAGAGTAAAGCCTGCCACAGGTCAAACACTCACAAGGGCGCTCTTTTGAATGAGTGCGGAGATGCCTCGTGAGATCCTCTGCCTTCGAGAAGACCCTATTACAGGTATGGCATGTCCGTCTTCGCGTAGCGCTCATGGCTCGTTTCTCATGGGGGCGAGGGTGACACAAGCATAGATCAGTCGACTCCTTGGAGTGAAGAGAGTCGTTAGAGTCATTATATGCGGAGAAAGGCCTCCCCCACGGGCCCCATGCAGCACGTGAATTTAACATTGTTCGCTTACAGCTGAGACAGCCAGCTCTGTTGGCAAAACCACGATATACAGATCTGTATATCAGCGCGGGGTGCGGGGCTATCCAAAATTTGCATAAGCAAGACTATCTATCTTGACTCAACATCTTTGTACGTCTGCGGGATAGATTGCCTTAAGGATATGTTCCGAATGAAATGAAGTAGCAGCGAGGAAAGAGCTCCAACAACCAAAGGGACCTGCATTAACAAACAAAAGACTCTAAACCAAGACAGGTTCTTTCCTTCCTAACGCAACTAAGCCGATCTGGACTGCTTGGGACTGGGCAATCCCACCTCGAGTGGAGCATCTACATCCATACTGAAACTATCTTTGGGGTCGATGAGGAAGAAAGCGGCTATGACAAGACAGGTATTAGCATCTGAGATGGTTTTGCAGGATCAAGGGGGCAGCTGCAAAGTGAATGTTACTTCCTCATCATAAGGGAATCATGTACGGACTCACCAAGGCAAGCCACGGCTGAGATAACAGCCGCCGTTATGTTAATATAGCGAAACCCCTGTAAGTAGCAGGCCTTCAACGCATCGACAACGGCCATGATGATCGTTTGTCCAGTTGTAGAATGTAGCGCATGCTCATCATGTGCTATCAGCGCGGCAATAAATCCCGGTAGAGCATCCGGTGAGAGGCCCAGGGGGAGGACCGCGGCCGCGATATCCGAAGACAGGTTTCGTGCTTGCGAGTTGAAGATCGCTGCATAGATCGGTAGCCCTACTGAGCCTCCGAGTGCTCTCATGCAGATTACCAAGCCGCTGGTGATGGCGATAAGCTCTGGCGGGGCGCTTAGCTGTGCTGCTGTAACGACTAGTGTGAGGCATATCCCTAGCCCTGTGCCCGACAAGACTGGATAGCCCCACAGGGCGGTTGATCTCGAGACTGTGATCGTGGACATCAGTGCTGGGTATGGTCTATTAGCTCCTCCCGTATGAATGGACGGGATCCGGTGACGGAGGGTGCTTTACTGACCGAAAAAGATGACGAACAGTAAGAAAGCAAGTACAAGGGGTAGCCGGAGGCGCTTTGCTCGCCAGGAATATAACGCAACGGCGGAAGAAGAAACGACAGCAGTGAGAAACACAATACTGAACCGGAGACCGGATTTGACAGGGTCACTCTCGAAGAGGACTGAATCCTCATAGGGAAAGTAAACGTTTGCGGCATAAAAGGCCATTCCTTCCACAAATATGAGTCCTATCGCAATCGCAAAGTTTCGGTCTTTGGCGAAGAGGTCATGGTGGAACATTCCATCTTTTCGACCGGTCTTCTCATAGACAATAAACCCGATGATGAGCAGGATACCCAGAATAAAGGGGGCTAGGATATGAGAGTCTTTCCAGGAGAAGGGATTGTCGGACCAGGTCAGGGCTATGTTGAACAGCACGATTCCAGCCACAAATAGGCCATATCCTATCCAGTCAAGCTGCTTTACCTTTTGTACAAATCTTAGAGACACCTGCAGTGGCCTCTTTGGGGGTTTATACGCAATGGCACACACGACGCCCGAGGCACCGAAGACCCCTGCCATAAGGTACCACATGATTCGAAAACCGTCGGCGTATTTTCGAATCAAATCGGACCCTGCAAGAAGGGTGACAATTGCCCCTAAGGACAAGCTAACATTGAGACCACCTTGCGCGAGAGGTCTGTATTGTCTCGGTAAGATCTCCGACGACACCGCGTATAGTAGGGCTTGGGTACCGGTTGAGAGACTTGTAAGCAGCTGTCCTCCTAATACCATGGCTATGGAGTGCCCCCGCGCGACAATCAGAGATCCAGAGAATCCGCACACGGCGCTAACCACTAGAAACCACTTTCGGCCCCAGTAGTCGGCGGCTTGAGAGATCGGGGGCCCCAGGGCGCATGTAGAGATGACGCCTAGTTGAGCCAACCATGTTGCTTTCTCTGCACCGCCAACCGCAAGGGTAACATCCCTTGAAAACTATGATGAAATGAGTACGTTTGTTTCAAGGAATCGAATGGATAATCACTTACTGCGGCTGGAGCGACTACCAACATCATTTGTGCAAAGGCCATGAGTAGAATTGACTGACCAAGTTAGGCAAGTCGCTACTATTATACAAGAACCACGAATTGGAACTCACTAAGTACGCAAGAATGTATTGGACTGTAATGCCCTGGTAGTTGAATACTACTTCGGTAGGGTCTGGGATGCATGTCACATTATCTGCTGCCGGAGGTGTATCCCTTACATCCTCTTGATGGGAGAAAATCTCTTTAGACTCCATTGAAGGAACGTTGATCCAGTCACACAGTGTACTGCAGGAACTGTTCATAGGCTGTGAGCACCCTGGCCAGTTCAAGGATTACTCTGTATATATTCTGTTTTGATGAAGCAGGGATTGGATGAGATAATTTTGTGGGGAACCCCTGCTCCACTACCCCACAAAAGTTAAAACATCTCCATAACTCATAGGGAGTTGTATAGACGAGTATAAGAATTGGTGATCACATAAGATGCAGAACTAAAGCAGCGGGGTAATAACTTACATGAATGAATCCATCACCACCTCCCCATAAAGATGGGCCGCCAAAGGATTCCGCGGACAGTTCCGGACGCCAATGACTATTATTATCAAGGTTTAGTTAAGGCCAGTTGTAGGTTAACGGATCTCTGGTCATGTCTCACGGTTCATTTACTAACAAATGATAGTCCATAGATTTGGTCAATTAACTCAACAAACTGCTCCAAATGTCCTTGAATCCGCAGACCCAATCCTTCACCAGCCTCAAAGTGAAAACCTGCCGGCCAAATGCCAATCTACCGCTGGTTGGGCATGTGGGGAAGCCGGAGTAGATGTCTCAACTACTTGATATACATGCCCTGTGATGACATCTTTCTGGGTCTGTAAGTTTAACAGCAAACCATTTACTGAGCATATCTCTGTGCTTGAGCTCTGCAATTTTAGACTCTCCATCCCTTTGGAACTTTGATTTCTCGTCAATGTCCCCACCCGTAACAGCATTGACGGCGTTCAATGTAAACGCGAGAACCTTGTTCCAGCGCTCCATAGAAGGCATAAGTATAGGTAGAAGTGGGTTGCCTATCAAGAACCTGTGCCAAATAGATATTTGCCCGACTTGGCTGGCATATACCTGCTCATAGTAAGTTCAGTCGTCCAGGGTAACTGGTAAAACTTGCTAGTAGCCCTTCTATTGCTTATATCATTCCATCTACATCTCCACCCTTGTCAAGGAAGCCGAGCTTCTTTGCGAATGTAAGCTCGCCTACCACGTCAAAAGTATAAAACTGGATCCATTCTCCCAGGTTGATGGGTTGCGGTCTATCCGCAAGAGTGGTCAGCTTTTCGATCAGCAGCTTGGTGCAAGAGTCCACAGCAGCCTCGTTTGATAATAATGTTGTCATGCTATAGGCATTGGCAACAGGCTTCTTCAGCTCACGGTGATAGTCTTCGTCTCGGGTGCCAGACAAGTGGACTTTTACTTTGCCCCTCCAAGTAATGGACTGAATAGGATAAAATGCAGTCTATTTGGGACACGAGTTGAAATGGCACACCATTATTCATTTATCAGATATTCTTCGCACCTTGGTATAGCCACACTTTAGGCCATCAATCTTTTTTATTTCACGAGGATCAGATATGGATACATGTTTCGGGCCAAAGCGAACAATATGACCATACTTGCGGTGGAGACTCATGGCCGTCTTATGCGATTCTCCTTGACGCATATCTACCCATCGCCGGAGCGCAGTATATGTCGCAAGTTTTGGCCCGGGGAGATAGTTCTGAGCCTTTTCCCGTACTTGTTCCAAGCAAATGACTAAGAAGCACCAAGAAACATAGAAAGCATAATTCTTGATGGGGTGATCGCAAGCTCAAGCGCCTGAATGGACTCGTCTCTATTACTGGCCATGATGGAGCTTCGGATCTACCACGGAATCTGCCGCGGAATGGCTGGTTGTCATTTTTTCTGCGCGAGCCCCTCGGTGCAACCAAGAAACCGAGGTCAGTATAGCCTTGATTGTAAGACTCAAATACATCTGGAAGGCTGAAGAAGACATGCGTAGGACTTGATATGAAATAAGCTAGGTGTGCTCGTAAAGCGTCAAGAGTATATTTTAGAAAGCTATTTATAAACTTTATATAGACACAGCTTAGGAGAACACCGGTCTTGGTATTAAGTCTTTGATTTAATCTATTAAGCTCATTTCCTAAGTCATGTCCAGCGGATTTCTGTTACAGTGAAGAAGACAACACACCCATGACATTACATAGTGGCAGTCTTTGGACTGTAGTTCATAGCCTCATGCAAAATGCATGTGAAGCACGAGACAAGAAGCTTTCAAATTCTATCACGTTACTGTACAGGAAGGAGAAAACTTACTGTCTCTGCAGGCACTTATTAAGGAAGCCTTGCAGGTGCACTCAGCCATGGGAATGATAGGTACTGACCTGAGTGGTCCTTAAGGCAGGGCAAAGATTGCAAGAGCATGCTTTCCATAAGCCATAGTGGGAGTGAATTCTTCCTCTGGGTAAGTCTGACTAGCGCAATGTTGGGTGTATCTGGCTTCCTGACACAGTCATAGTTTATTGCAGGTGCTGGACCTTGTATTGGCAAGAACACCTGCTGTTTGAGATGTCTAAGATGTTGCGCTATTTACTGCAGATTACTCACAGTTACTGGGTTGTGAAACCAAGGATCAAGGTCACCATCAAGCATTGGGGACATTGTGGTGTGTAACGGGATTTTTGCTGTGGAAAGAGAGTTAATGCGGTTGATGCGATGATCAGCTTTGCCAAAGTCATGATGATCTTGTTTTGACATTCCACAAGTCATCCTAAAGATTATACCGATATGCTTTGTAACCTTGAAAATTTAAAGATACTATTAACCATGAATAATAGAGGTTGCTTCCTGTAGCAGCACTTAAAGCCCCCGTCTAGTCAGGCATAAGGGTGGAAGCATGTCGCATTATTCTTTCTGTAAAGGTGATATGGATTATAACACATGCATGATTAATTGTTGTTTAACAGCATAAAACCTTAATCTCTGCTTTTCAGATCTCTGCATGCACAGGGGCCTGGAGCATAAGGATTAGTGAAAGAGCCATTCCGCGGAACACTCAGCCTTAAGTAAGGCCATGCATTCCGCGGTCTACAAGAGTAGCCTGTAACTGGTAATGAGCAGACATGGTGCTCTTCTCTATATATCATAGACATTCAGTCTGTGCACAAGCAGCATCTCATTGAATCCTTTCAATCTCAAGCTGCATACACACTATTTTAGATAGCAATGGCAACACTAGGAAACGAAGTCGTGCAGACTGCACTGAAAATACCAGTTGAAAGCCAGTATGAGCGCCGCTTTGGGCTCAGTTCACCCTGGGAACATTACTACCACCCTTCCGACACTGCCCCTCAAGGTCGATTCGAATGTGAGCTGGACGATATGGTTGTTTTTGGTGATATCCCCCAAGAGATCAGCGGTACCTGGTATCGTATGCTTGTTGACCCTCACTTCTGCCCACAGCCGGGAACTCCCTTCGTTGATGGGGATGGGAATGTCAGCGCCTTCCGTATTCAAGACGGGAAAATCTCTATGAAGATCAAATATGTCCAGACTGAGCGATGGCTGCTAGAGCGTAAGGCGGGCCGTCGACTCTTTGGTCGTTACCGGAATCCTTACGATATTCACCCGTGCGTGCAGCTGGCAAATGACACGACGGCTAATACCAATATCATATACTGGGGCGGCAATATTCTTGCATTGGCAGAGAGGGGTTTACCTTATGCTCTGGATCCGGATACTCTCGAGACAAGGGGTGCAGACCCATATGGTGGTCAGGTAGCTGCAAAGACGTTTGCAGCGCACCCCAAAGTCGATCCCCGCAAGAATGAGCTGGTCACCTGGAGCTACTCTGCTAAGGGCCTCAGCACTCGAGACATTTGCACCTACTCGATTGATCCCCAAGGACGCATTCACAACGAACACTGGTTCCAGCAGGATAAGCCCGGCTGGCCACACGACGGGTGGATCACAGATAATTGGATCATCCTGTCCAACATGCCCTTCGCTGTCAACTCCGACGAGGTGATGAAAGCCGGGGGCGACTACTGGAGGTTCGTTCCTGATCAGCCCGCGGAATTCCTCGTCAGTCCGCGCCTGAGCAATGCCCCAAATCACCCAGCATGGAAACCAGGCGAGTTTCGCAAGTACACCGTCGACCATGGTCTGATCATCCACACCGGCAATGCATGGGAAGAGGAGGATGGCATCTTGAAGCTCGAAAGCCATTTCGTCAGCTTCAATGTCTTTTCATTTTTCAATGCGGCAGACTACGAGGGCCCCAAAAGCATGCCCACAGGCGATTGGAAACGCTGGACCATCGATCTCTCTAAGCCAGATGGAAGCGAACTCCCACCCCCTGAGACTTTGTTGAGCGGAATCTTCGACTTTCCCATTTTTGACGAGAGATTGACCGGCCGCAAGAGCAAGATCGTCTATCTTGGTCAAATGACAAGTCCAGGTACCCCCAGACCCGAATTCGATGCGGTGGTCAAGTTGAACACCGAGACGGGTGAGACATCTACCTTTGACACTGCGAAAGACGGTCGAGTGGCGGAACCGGCATACATCCCTCGCGGGCCTGACTGTGAAGAAGGCGATGGCTGGCTGATCTTCTATGCCGATCAAGAGTCATCACGCAAAGGAGAATTAATCATCCTCGATACCAATGATTTCTCAAAGCCTGTCGCCATTGCACAATTGCCTTTCGTGCTGCGCAATCAGGTCCATGGGAATTGGGTCCAAAATCCGCATCCTGAGCGGCCTTTGCCGCCGTTGACGGGCCCAATTAGAGATGTCACGCCTACTCCGCAGTATTCCCAACTGAATAAGCTTCTATAGCACCTGAGAATAAACATTTGCCTCTTTCTGCCCTGACCGGGCCCATTTTCACCTTGGTAAACATCTATATTCTTTGAGATTAACCTGGTCCTGGCCCCTCTGAATACAATTAGTTGCCACAGGAGCCAAAGAGAACCATCTGTGGGTTGTAGGAACTGTCTGCCGTACTCTTACCTGGATTGCAATGCTACTGTAGCTCTATGCTCCGTGAGGCTAAACAGGGCGTTTGGAACGGATGATGTTCCCCTGGCTCTGATACCTTCCAGTTTGACCACCTCCACAGAGCTTTACTGATGTTACGAGCTAGCCCATCTTTACAGGAGCATTGCGGCGACCCTCGTCGGAGCAAGATATAATACTCTAGACTCAGGCTCCGAGCTCAAATCGGAGGAGCAAGGGAGCGCTGCAAAGGCGCCTGAACAATGATAGGAGGAAAACTGAAAAGGTGAGATAAGATTATTGTTGGCCATTATATCCACTGTGCCCGTGCCAGCACCGCGATAACAACAGGTCAAGTAAGAACTAACCTAAGCTTAGCTGAAACAAAGGACCTCGATAGACTCTTAATGCTGCGAGAAGGACTGGCAAGTATATCCTTGAAATCCGGGAGGCAAGAGACCAACATTCGGCTTCTGGAAAATAGTGTCCTTGGGATACTTCATTTCAAGAAATTCCGCGGGTGGTTCCGTAGACGATCCCACAATATGGGGAAGTATAGGTATCTGAGAGGCATACCATACTTTATTTGGATTCCCTGGAGGAATAGTATCAGCTCTCATTAACGCATGGGTAACAACAGGCATCATACACACTCGCAATGACTGAACTACTGCTTGCAAAGGACGGGTTCTCTGGTCGTATCCTGATACCAACTCCCCTGATTATGGTTCGGCTTGCGTCGAGATATTATTGCAGCGGAACGCAAGGCTTGTTTAATTCTTTACCCTGCTTCTGCTGCAGATATATCAATTGCTATCCTATGCGCAAAACGGGAACATGCAACCTCCATCCAGGTCAAAGGAGAATGTCACAATCAAATGTGGCGATCACCATCAGTCGACCGCAAGTAGCATGGAGAATGGTGTGGTTATTGATATGGGGGCTATGAAGGCTGTCCGGGTGGACAAAGAGAACATGCAAGTAGGTGTCGGCGGTGGCTGCATCTGGGGAGAAGTGTATAGTGGCCTGGACAAGGTAGTTAAGCCTAGTAGGCGCCTCTACTAGGGTGTAGACATTCCTAATTATAATTAGCCCTCTATAGTATACTACCTGTCAGGCGCAGCGAAGCCTGTATGTAGTGAACTACAGGGTTATATCAATCTACGCAAACCTAAGTATAAAAGAATCAGTTGTATAGCTGCCCTTCCCCTTAGATGGGGGAGAGAGGTTTATACTGCGTGGGGTTTGTCGTAATGGGACACACCATATATTCAGCAGAATTGCCAGTCCTATAGGTTGTCTCGAGCCATGCCAGTCCTGAGCGTCGTCCTGAGCCAGCTTATGAAAGCAACCATATAATCATTGGGGTTTGGATTTACTCCCCCATCATGTTAGTAACCGACCATGTTGTTCGCGGAACAGGCCGCGGAACGGTACATACTTTGGTTATGGCAGGAAGACCATCTGGAGACGCATCCAATCGATTAAATAACTAGTAGCGTCCATTTCCTCGCCCCTACATGATTCTATTGTCAAACTTTACACAGCGATGCCTTACACAGCCTCTTTTGCTTTCTTCGAAGCCCTCTGGGATGCCGGCATCACCCACTGCTTCTGCAATTTAGGCTCTGATCATCCCAGCATCCTCGAAGCAATCGTCTGGGGTCAGAATGAGAGAAAAGACCGGTTTCCAAAGATAATCACGTGTCCTAGTGAGGTACGTCACTTTCCGTCCATATTCCTCTGTTTCCATGATAACCATTCTACCATCAGATGGTGGCCATGTCTATGGCGGACGGTTTCGCTCGAGTCACCGGTACCCCGCAGGCGGTTATTGTGCATGTCGATGTGGGAACTCAGGCATTGGGATGCGCGGTGCACAATGCCTCAGTAGGGAGAGTACCCATCCTAGTATTTGCTGGACTCTCGCCGTTCACCATCGAGGGTGAGTTAAAGGGATCTCGGACAGAATATATCCAGTGGCTTCAGGATGTGCATGCCCAGAGATCTATTGTCGAACAGTACTGCCGATTCTCTGGAGAAGTGAGAACAGGCAGAAACATCAAGGTGAGCGAGCAGAGACCCTGGAAATTATGTTAACTTGAGGAAGCTAATGAGAGGCTTATGCGCGCAGCAAATGGTCAATAGAGCCTTGAGCTTTGCTACAAGCGACCCGAAGGGGCCTGTATATCTTTGCGCCGCTCGGGAGGTCCTCGAGGCAGAATTAGAGCCATACAGTATTGATCAGCAATACTGGAGGCCCATAGAACCGGCAGCCTTGAATGATGCTGGAGTGAAAGCAATCTCAACCGCTCTAGTTCACGCAAAAGAGCCGCTGGTGGTCACTGGATATAGTGGAAAGGATACAAGGACGCCCTTGCAGCTTGTTCAATTAGCCAATTCTGTCAAAGGCCTTCGAGTATTTGACGCCGGTGGCAGTGAGATGTGTTTCCCTGGTAAGCGACAGGCAGCCTTGAGAGAAACAAGAGGCTAACCACGGACAATGTTTCGAATACAGCCAGTCATCCTGGCTGGCTAGGTTGTGGTTACGGCGGAGACAACAGCATCACAACCGCGGACGTGATCCTAGTCCTGGATTGTGACGTCCCGTGGATCCCAACCAGATGTAAACCGAAAGATGATGCCGTTATCTTTCATGTTGACGTTGATCCGCTAAAGCAGAACATGCCTCTCTTTTACATCAACGCGCAGCATCGCTACCGGGCCGATCCTCTGACAGCCCTGACGCAGCTCAACGGCTATATTGCCTCAAATCAAGAGATACAGAGCCTACTCTCATCAAGTAGGTTTACTGAGCGGTGGGCCAGTCTGCAGCTTTCCTACAAGCTACGTCTACAGCATATTGCCAGCGCTGCTGAGCCGAACCCGGGAGGTGATTTTGAGACCACCTTCCTAATCAAAGAAGTCCGAAAAGCCGTCCCTCAAGACACCGTCTTCGTTGTCGAGGCAATCACAAACACTCAGGTAGTGGCAGAACAAATACAGGCGGAATTACCTGGCTCATGGCTCAACAGCGGCGGAGGTGGGCTTGGTTGGAGCGGCGGCGCGGTGCGTAACTCCCACTCCGGCATATTCATGATTCCTTTGTTTTCACTTCAGTTTCACTGACCCCCTTCCATCAGGCCCTCGGCGTAAAACTAGCCTTAGACCACCTCGGTACGGGCAAGTTTGTCTGCCAGATTGTTGGCGATGGAACGTATCTGTTCTCGTTCCCGAGCTCGGTCTACTGGATTGCCAAACGGTATAACATACCAATTCTAACCATCGTGCTGAACAACAAAGGATGGAATGCTCCGCGTAACTCTCTCCTCTTGGTCCATCCAGATGGACCGGCTTCCAAGGTCCCGACCGAAGAGCTCAATATCAGCTTCGCGCCAACCCCCGACTACGCTGGTATCGCCCGGGCAGCTGGCCACGGGGATATTGGCGCATTCAGGGCAAGTACGGCAGATGAGCTCCCTCGAAAGCTGGCTGAAGCCGTTCAATATGTGCTGGGAGGATCTTCGGCTGTGTTTGACGCGCAGATCAATGGTTCAGAAGGGAAATATACGAATGTTGAAGCCGGGAAAAGATAGAGCGATGTATAGATATCAGCGTGCTATACAAACATCAATGCTGGGGATGTTGGAATAATCGGTAGTTCTTGTTCTTGTTCCAGTAATACCGACTAAACTTCTCTTGTCCATTAATCTCCATTGATCTCTCCCCGCTTTGAGCCAGTCCGTGAGCATCCCATTGGCTGGCGTCTTCCAGCCGGCCTCCTGACTCTCGAGTCCATTATGGAGTATGGAGTTTCTCGGTCTCAAGTCTCGGGGTTTGACGGCAAATCAGAAGCGGATTGCAGCCGAAACTCTGGGGCTTGTGCGGGGTAAACTGAGGGCATCAATGCGGAGGTCCTGCTTTCAGATTTGAAATATTTGGCTGTCCCCATTGTGGTTCGTTTGAACTGATTGATAAACTTGTCCAACTACACAGAAAGGATGCCTTCTGAAAAGCGAGCCTTAGACTCCGACCCAGAGCGTAGTCAACGTCGACCAGCACCGAGAAAGCGGGAAAGATACACCCGCATCGCTTGGTAGGTCGGCCACCATCAGGAGTCCTGTATACTAATACTGACCATTGACCGCAGCGTGACATGCAAAACACGGAAGGTCAAGTGCAGCGGCCAGCTCCCATGCAGTCGCTGTCTCGAACTTATGGCAGAATGCAAGTATCAGGAGTGTGTACCGCAGGGGGACATGGCAAGTGCTCAGCCCAGGGCCAAACCTGCTCCCACTGCAAAGGATCTCGGGCAGTTACTCCGGACAATGAAAGAATTGTGCGACGATATAGAATCCTCCGCCTTCCAAAGCGGTCGCTCTGGTGGTCCTGCATTTTCTCTCCGGCGAAGCCTCTGCAACGGGGTCAGAGGCGCCCCAGATGTGGATCAAGCGACGAGCCCTGGCTTCGTCCGCTTGTTAGATCAGGTCAGAGCCAACCTACAGCAGTCCGGATATTTGGAATCCGCAAGCAATCGAACACCCCGTCCGAAAACACGGTCAGACCCCGTTGACGCCAATGCGACCGCCACCTTACACGCTGCGAGGACAGTCCTGCAGCTCGGCCGAGACAAGGCATATGCGTACCTAAACAAGTATCTCGATCATGTCCATTCCGCTTACCCGTGTATTGATTCAGGCATAGCCACTGAGAGACTGGACCTTCTCTTCAAGGCGTCCGAGAACAGAGCCCAGTCGCAAGAGCTGAAGTTCGATCTGATCGACATCGAGATCATGAAAGTGGTGATTGCGATTGCAATGGTCATAGAAGGCGATAACGACCATCCCCTCTGTCGAGATTTATCATCACATATTGTGTGGAATGTTCAGTCCAATACGAGTAATGAGCAAGCACAGATAGAGGACATTATCATGGCCACCTTGCTAGTAAGGGCTTTCCTTATCCTGTTTTGATGACCTCAGTGAGTGTCCCATGGCTTACCAACAATCGCCACAGACATTACACGCTATCCTCCAGAATGAGGGACTCAAGGCATGGCGGATGATCGGGATTGCGGCAAGGGCGTGTCTGGAGCTCGGACTACACAAGTATAAGCCAAATGACGGTAAGGGCACTGGGTTCGGTAAGGTGTTATTTGCATGCGTGTATGATTTGGATAAGAGATGTAGCTTTTTCGCCGATCTACCTTGGACTCTGCAGGATAAGGACATTGACGCTGGCATTCTAAGCCCGGTACGATCGACCACTCTCAGCCTCGACCAACTGTTTCTCGGCTGCTTGCTAACTTCTTCAAGGATGATAATTATCCATTTCTATCCGCGATGCTTGGTCTCGACGGCATGCACACTGAGATCATCAAATTCAGCGCGCTTGTGCCACCGGGCGGCAACAGGGAGGTGGATGAACAAAGCGAAATGTTCGACTACCGGGTCCAAAAGCTCGTAGACAACATTACTTTGCAAGGACTCTTCCCTCCATTTGCAAATATTATTCCACCGCCAGCAGTGCGGCACGTCATGGAGTCCTTCATCCGAGCACGCGCCTACCAGATCAGGATGCTGGCATATATGCCATATGTCACCACGCCAGACACTTCTTGCCATAAATACTTACCACGGCAACAGCTCATCTCTCTCATATTAAGCTGCGTAGATCTCTGCCTGCGTATATCGGAATGCGCAAGCCGACTTTGGCAACCTATTATTGACAGACTGTTGCTTAATGCTGTATCCTGCATGCTACTCACCGTCTCTCAGGATTCAGCTAAGTACGGACAGATCTGTCATTCAGCATTCCATGCAGCAATTGAATATCTGGGTCAATCATTCCACAAGGTTCCTCCTGCCAACCAGTGGTCCATTGAGGACCTGCGAAAGCTCGGAGAGAAAATCCTGAAGCCACCCCTTGGAGAGGAGGACCTGCCGCTGACCGATCAGATACCGGCTGGCAATAGCTCAATGTCCTCTACAGACAATAGTTTGCATTTGTCTGCGCAGGACCTAGCGCAAGTCTGCGAAAGCACAGATCACGATGCATTATTGAGTCTTTTGGGGTCTACCTTCGCGTGGGGAAGTACGTTTGAGGAATGCGAACTTGTATAATACCATTTTGTTTCCCACTACTCGATTTATTCAAAGCTCTCTCTAATTGACTTCAGTCATACACATGAGCGCGTAGAAACTGCAAAGCCTTCTCGACAACCCCAGCAATTGAATCACCTGGCTGGACCCTAGCGTCGAGTCCATGCCCTCCACCTTCAATAAGCACCAATTCCGTCTCTACTCCTCGGGATTTGAGATCGCGATAAGCAGTTTCCGAGAATCTAGCAGGCACCAAGGTATCCGCTGTCCCATGGATAAAGTAGGTAGGAGGGAAGCTTTTAATCCTAGCGAATAAAGATGCTGGGTCGATACGCGCATAGTCTCCATCTGCGACTACAGCTTTCAAATGCGTGCCTGACTTGATGGCATTGAACATCCAGGCCACCCGATAGTTCGTGAAGTCGGGCCCATTGGGACCCATCGGAGGCGGGCCACTGGTTGGGGGCGGTATATCTTTATGAATAGTCTCAAGGAACTCTTCATCAAATGGTGGCGACTTGGTTGTCGAGGGGGTGTGATAGGATGGGTCCTCGAAATATTTCATCCCGAACAGGTCGAGGATGGCTCGTGGTGGATTGGGCAGGGACGCCTTGTTTTTGAGGGTTAGAATCCAACCATTGGGAAGTTGCAAAGATAAACATACTGTAGGAAGAGCTAAAGTGGCACCGCATGAGTGTCCAAAGACCCCAATCCTTGAACCATCTGCGGCGACTCCCTCCTCTTTTAGCAGGCCTGGTAGTTCCAGTCGGACCCATTCGTAGGCATCAAGACAGTCTTTCACGGGGCCATTGTAGACGCTGATGGTGGGACAGAGACGATAGTTGGCAGAAACAACGATAAAGCCTAGTTCGATGAGTCGATCTTTATAGAACTGTGGAAGCAGCTCTTTTGATCCGACAGTGAAGTTCCCTCCATGGAAGTAGAGTGCTATGGGGAGCTTTGAAGGAGGCTTCGCGGCAGGAAAGAATACATCAGCCTCGATTGAGACCTCGCCATCCCGTTTGAAGACGTACTGCTTCTGCTCCATTGCGTAGGGGACCGAGATCAAGATGAAGTCGGCAAATGCACCGCTGTCGGAACGGAAGGAGGATTTATAGACTGGAGACCAGAGAGTGTCCTCGGAATTCCCCGCGGAATGGGTGTACTAGGTTTCATTTGCATTTATTGAAGCAGTACTACTAGCGATTACTGCGTGCCAGCTTATGCAGATACAGCATCCTGGTTCTGTGAAACCCCCCGTGCCTTGATCCGAATAAAGCAATTATCAATTTCTGCAAACCACCAAGATCGGATATCCCATTCCGCCTTTGCGTTGACCAGTTCAACATCGTATCGAGAAAGAAGCTGCGCAACAAACTTGTAGACCTCAAATGTCGCCAGGTTCCGACCAACGCACGTACGGGAGCCGTAACCAAACTATTCCTATCAGCCTTCATGTACCAGTAGAAAGAAGCAAGGGGGGAACCTACTGTGGCTAGCTGTTTATCCATTTCCTTGATCTTCTCCAGTGAGTTTCCCTCCCCTTCAATCCACCTCTCTGGCCGCCACTCATCAGCATCATCACCAAAGATCGCCCAGCATCGATTCTGCGCCAGCGGGCTCATTGACACAGTAGCGGAAGGGCTGATATAATATCCCTCAATGTTCAACCCCTCCGCTGGCGCCAACCTAGGAAGCTGATAGACAATACTGGGGTGGATCCGCGAGCCTTCTTTCACGCATGCAGTCAGGAAAGGGAGGTCTTTTACATTGCTGTAGGTCAAGACTTTCCCGCTCCCTGGAGAGATATCACAAGCCTCACACGCAGCATCTATCTCCCTCTGCAGGCGTTTATAGCGCACCGGGTCCTTAAGAATAGGACCAAGCACAGCTTTGATGGCAGCTGATGTGGTATCCGCCCCAGCAGCAAGCAGATTGCCCACCTCGGCCAAGATCTCCCCGAGTGCAGCCGGTTGGCCCTGGGGCCCCTTCATGTTGAGAAAATGATCCAGCATATCGTGTTGACCTCCTGACTTGTCCTCCATGCGGCGCAGGATTTTATCAATAGAAAATCTTTGGAACGCCCGAGCATAGTCCGCAATGCGAAGCCCAAGTCGCGGCGCAATCACAGCTGTTACTGGGTTCGCAATCCATCCACTCTGCCATGGGATGTTGCCTAGGTTTGCAATCCAGTAAAAGGCACCATGGATGCATGAGATGAATTCGTGCTTATCGTGCCCATTCTGGATGAAACCCATGGGTTCACTCAGACATAATGTCCCCACAACATCGTAGGTGAAATATGATGCCCAGATGCTGAGATTGAGAGGCTGGTTGAACTTGGCGAACTCGTCAAATTTTGCCCAGAGTGAATCAAGAACGATCTGGACCTTTGGTTCCATTGATACCACCGCTGACATGCTGTAGGTGGCCGAGACCCTCTTCCGCAGGAAACGGTGTTGCTCTGTATCTGTTGTCCCGAAAAACTATCATAAATCTATGGATAAGTACCTGTGGTAGTGAATAATAAACTCATACATACCGAAGGTGCTGTGCTCGCGGATTTTGCCCCTCCTAGAGCAGCCCAGGTGTCATACCAACTTGTCTGTAAGACTCGTTAAGATTCTTGTCCGCATCTCCATAAGGATTGGTTAAAGTCATACCTTAGCTGTGCCCCCCGTATAGCTATAAACTGTCGTGATGAGATTTGGGCTGACAATGCTGACTTCATTTGGTGCAATCCTCACAACGGGGCCGTATTTCCTATGGAGCTGAAGTATATCACGATGCCATTTGCCTTTGAAGTAACGACTGCTTCTCCAGAGCTCCGTGAACCTCGCCAGACCGGGTCCCGGAATTTTACGCAAAGGGTGCAAATAAGCTCGGTAGAGTGCATGAAGAAATAAGAATAGTAACACAATAGCCGTAAGAGGTCTGATTAGCGAGGCGTCCGCCTCAGCTGCGGCAGAGTCCAAGATAGCTTTGATTTCCGCCATGGTCGGTGTGGCAGCTTTCTTGTTGTCGTCTGGAGATGGCACAAAATTTAGCTAAATATGAATCTCCTTTACGCCGTCCATGTACGTGTACCCACTACGAGCCCCCATAGTTGTGGTCGTTGCGACGATCATCGCCACGTCCCCTGTATTAGCTCGTTCCGCGGCGAACTCCGCGGAATCACCAAGTGGAACCAGCAGAATGAAGTAATACCTATGTCTTGAGAACGTCCGTTGGCTCCGAAAGCATAGACCAAAAGTATTTGGACGATCTGCCTCTAGGGCTCATGTATCCTAATCTGAGTTAGAAGAATGAATTAAGTCCAAAGGATGCCCACAACCCCTTTAGCCTATCACTCACTTTCCTTGTGTCCTGATTGTGGCTCTCCTTGTTCCCAATAGCGATATCAAATACCATATACTGAGGATATCGAATACTATGTAGTATGGATATTGAATACCATATAGTAGGATATCGAATCCTTATATAGCAGGGATATTGAATACTCATGTAGTTAGAATTTATAAATTTATCTAATCTATCTATAGAAAGAAAGGAGGGGAACCCCACCATAGGTACTGCATGTTTAAAATATACTAGTAGAACAGACCTTAAACTTCGAACAGAGCTGGAGGACAATTTATATATATGATGATGATATGATCAGGCCCCCCAAGTGGACTGGCATGTCGATCGAGGAGAGTCGGGAACCCGAACGGGTAAAGCTCGTCATGGACTACAATTTGCAGTCAGCATTCAAAAATCAAGACTTGCTTTGAACTTAACAAGGCTTTTTCTCCCCTCATCTTCTCTCAAAGCCTCTTCAACCTCCAAATGTCTCTCCCCCTACGAACACTGGGCCGAGATGGCCCCCCCCGTCTCCGCCATCGGTCTTGGTTTTGGGAGCATTAGCGGATTCTACGGACCAGCTGGGACCCTCGACGAGAGACTGGCCCTCTTGGAGCACGCACATGCCACCGGACTGCGCTTTTGGGATATGGCCGACATTTATGGTGACAGCGAGGACGTCGTGGGGGAATGGATCAAACGATCTGGCAAGCGCAAAGACGTCTTCCTGGCCACTAAGTTTGGGCTCCAGCGACAGCCTAATGGAAGGCACACTTTCCGGTCCGATCCCGAGCATGTCAAGGCTGCCTGTGGACAAAGCCTTCAGAGACTCGGGGTCGACACCATTGACCTTTACTACTGTCATAGGGTGGACGGAGTCACGCCTATTGAAAAGACCGTTGAAGCTATGGTGGAGCTGAAGAAGTAGGTCATACCAGCCTTGACCTTCCCGCAATATACCAGCAAGCGAGCTTTAACCTTTCAAACGATATTTAGCCAAGGGAAAATCCGCTATCTCGGTCTATCGGACGTCTCCGCAGCCACGTTACGTCGCGCGCATGCCGTCCACCCTATTACCGCCTTGCAGGTGGAATATAGCCTGTTTACATTAGACATCGAATCACCAGCGTCGGAGATCCTAAAGACCTGCCGCGAACTAGGAGTGGCTATCGTGGCTTTTAGCCCAATTGGACGTGGTGTACTGACTGGTCAATTCCAATCTCGCGCAGATATCCCAGAGGGGGACCTGCGCCGCATGTACCCCAAGTACGCGGAGGAAAACTTCCCGGAGATCTTGAAACTGGTGCTGGCATTGAAAGATGTGGCCAATGCTCATGGGAGCATCCCAGCACAGGTCGCTCTTGCGTGGCTGCTGGCGAAAGGACCAGATATCATCCCCATTCCGGGTACGAAATCGGCCGCCAGAATGGACGAAAATGCGGCGTCTGCACTGCTGCAGTTGAGCGACCAAGAAGTGCAAGAGATTACGGCTCTGGCGGAGAAACTGGAGATCGAAGGTACTCCGTACCCTGCCGCGTAAGTAATTGTTCTTTTCTTCCTATTTTTGGCTCCATAGAGTGCTGACCGGTCCATAGGGTGATGGCTACTCTCTGCTCAGATACGCCGCCGCTGGAAGAGCGCGACAAATCCTCCAACAAGTAGTCGGAGCAATTTACCTTCAAGAGTGCGGATTGGGTTGATATCTTCTCTTTTACAATAAAACACAAGTCGTATTCCACTCAAATCCAACAGGTCACCCATAAATTCACCAGAACTAGGCCTTCTGTAAAGTACATCATATACAAGCTCGCAGTCTCAGGAAATACTAAGCAGGAGTTTACCTTCCAAAAGACAACGAAGCTGAACCTTGAAATGGCAACACATCCGGCTGGCAGGTTGTGTTCGCTGCAGGAAGCTGGCCATTGAGGTACATCTGAACGTTCTTCAGATAGCACGATGAGAAGCTCGCAATGGCAGTATGCTGGTCAACGGCTCATTAGCGTTCTGGCCCTGCATGAAAAGTGTATTCACTTACGCCAACTGATGCCTGTGTCAAAACGACAGATCCAGGGAAGACCGACGACATTTTGTATGCACTGTAACGTCATCAGCTTCGGCTGCTGAACACGATCCAATAGCCAGATACTTACCCTTTCTTTGGAGTGACGGGATCAGTCTCGGCTGTGACAAATAGGATGGGGAACGAGGTCTTTCGAGTTTCCAAAATGGAGCCTAGTTTAGGTTAGAACTGACTCTAAAGTCCAAATCTCTTGATCGAGAAGGGTCCCGTACCTGGAAGCTGTCCGGATTTTGGCGGCTTCGCATCAAAAGATCTGCATAGAATTCCGTTCGCGTTGTTGGGCCATACCTCGCCAAAGAAACGACTTTGCAAAGTTAATGTGTCGACATAGTTTCGATAATCAGTCAGATTCTCGAACTTATGCCCAGAATAACCATCCACGCATTTGATCAGCGTGTTCACATCAGTCGTCCCGTTCTTTCCACTGCCGTTATTGCACGGGTTTGCGGGCAAGAAGCCATCTGTTACTGCGGCGACGTATGCCGAAGTGTTGCCTCGTTCCAAACCTGAAAGAACATCGGCTAGTACTGGGAAATTCAATAGCGGAGTATACATTGCACTGAGAATGTACTCTTTCAAATCGGAATAAGTTGCCATCAAAGGGATATCGCAAGCGTTCGAGCTTGGAATCGGCACTGGATGGTATTTCAGGTTGGCCAGGAGCCCGTTCAAGCGGCTGGTGATGTTGTGAACAGATGGGCCCCAGAACGAACAATTTGTAGCCCCACCCTGGAAGCAGTATTTGCTGAATGAGTCGAGGGCTTCATCCGAGTCGTAGAGATTGGCTCTCCAGCCAAGATTATAGTAGTCCGATGCATCAACCACACCATCGAGAACCATCTTGCCCACGTGGTCAGGGTAGAGAGACGCGAATGTGGTACCCAACACGGTCCCGTAGCTCACGGCAAAGTAAGAGATCTTGGACTCGTTCAGCGGCTTTCCAGCTAACTTCTGCTCGGCGTTGATGTAGGTGAATAGGTCATGAGCCACGGCAGGCGTGCTGATGAACGAGGCATTCCCATTGGGTCCTCCAGCATTTTCAGTACACGCTTTGCCAAAAATTTCCGCGGCGTAGTACTGTGTGTCCAGGGCAGTCGATGAAGCGTGAGAGACGTCGGGGTAGAAAAGTTTCTCGAACTGGGCGCGTTTCTCCGGGTGATTCGGCCAGCAGTCCACCACAGGACCACTTTGCCCGACTCCTCGGGGGTCGAAGCCGACAATGTTATGCTGCGATCCCAGAGCCTCGGCCAGACTTGATCCTCCCTGGAGTACGAGCTCGACTCCAGGCCCTCCAGGGCCACCTTGGTTAATTAGCAGATTCTGCGTGTTTTGTGTCACGTTTGCAGCAGCAAGTTTAATGAAGGCAATCGCTGTAGTTCCCCGTGTTGGCTCCCCGTAATCCAAGGGAACCTGGAGCCGTGCGCATGTGAAGTTGTCGAAGCAAGGAGTCCACTTGAGATCCGGAGATGGTTCAATCTAATTCTGCATCAGTTGAACAATTCCAATGGCGCATACAATGGCAGATTGCTCACAGATGCCCAGTCATTTACCATAGAGCGTGTTGTATGTGAAGGTAGTGCATAAGATAAACAGACAAGAGCAAAAGAAGGAAGCAAATTCGCATAAAGACGAAACCTTGAAGACTTCATCATGAAGGATAACGAGTCAAGCGCTTTCGATGAAAGACTTTTGACATGGGCTTCAAGGCTGGGCGCGAGGATGGTATTTATGCTCTGCTCTCCGTCAATTTACTCCCAGGTGGACTATGTGCTCAGGCTCTGATGCCTAGTTCATAACACTCATCGTCACGTCATTAATGATTCTGGCTGTGTTTTTCTATAAATATTTCACACGGTTAGTGGCCTTTGATTGGGTCTTCTTGCGAAGATCGGCTCAATGGCACGCCTAATCCTAGGTAATTGGCCTCTAATTCCTACAGAAAGGTTAAGATGAACACAGAGTCTCTGAACTCCAGGGCTGAGGGCCTATAGTAAAAAGAAAAGCAAATAATACAAGTGAGTCTTCTAGTTTGAAACCGCCCCTTGCAGTCTAATTGCATAGAGACTATGGTACAAGCTCTCATGAACTCCAGGGATTTGTGAATGCAAAGCAAACACACATTGTATATGATAACTTCTATGGTGCAACTCATACTACACAGACAGAATGAAAACTCTATGCAAATGCCCTTTTCATGCCTCCAATTCCAGACACAATCTTATCCTGACTTCTATCACAAGCCAGTGAAGCTTAGGAATCGAAAGGGGTCAAGGTGATGTCGCCATCGTAGGTACACTTCTCAACCGTCCCCTCAACAGTGTCCTTGGTCGAGGTGCAGGACCACTTGGTGCCCGGGGCACTGCCGTTCCCATTGTCGTTGAGAGTGACTGAGACTGTCTCCGTGCCCTTGACTCGCTGCACCTCCAAGGTAAAGACCGCAATGTCGTTCACACCACCCGGGAAATTAACATAGTAGGAACCGTCGCTGGTGCGAGCGCCGGCAATGGGGCTTCCGGGACGATGCCTGGCCATGTTTGTTAGATTACTTCTGAATAAAGAAGGGACGTAAATATACCAGATCACGTTAGCGCCGGTGGAGTCGTCGTAGTTGGGGTCTTTCAGGGAGAAGGTGATATATCCCTGCTGGTCGGTCTGAGAGGCTGTGAGGCCGCTGATAGTAATGGCTTGCTCAGTCCGCTTGGCAGGGGCAGCTATAGCAGAGCCGGCAGCCAGGAGAAGAGAGCAGATGGTAGTGGCCTTCATTGTATATGATAATGGAAGGGTCAGATAAAGAGCAGTAGGAAAGATTGGTTGATAGACAGTTGAGCTGGATTGTTCGATAATGATGGTACTCAACTCTGAGGATTAAACAGCTCTTATACTTCTTCTTGATCTATTCTTAAAACGGTGGCTGAATAGGACTTGGGAGATTCAGGAACACTGCGGTGCTCAGTCCACCTGCTGTCTCAGTACGCAGTATTCCAACCGGAAGTCTCTCAGCTATGGTTGGACATCGGAATTCTCTCAGCCTCTCAGGCCTCCCAAGTACGTGTCGGATCAATGGAGTTCATGGCTGTGTTCGCCAATTCTAAAGGTATCAGATCGGCTGTCGATCAACCGAATGCAACCTAAGTTAGGCCCCTGCGAGGCTTGGTCGATGGTTAGTTTAGGCGTCCAATCATGCAGTTTGTACGAAAATAAACATTTTTAATTAGAGCGACCACATTCTCGTGGCTTTGGAAGAGTGTTCGAGAATGGACAGCTGAAAACACGAGGTCACATGTTCTTGTGTGAGTCATGTCACCGCAACGTTGTCCTTATTCTATTCTCTTCTCCACTTCATGTATTGTTGAAGAAGGTAGTTTCATCCCAGATCGGTTGGAATCTCCAGTCAGCGAGCCCATCAAGTGGCTTCGGGAAGTCTTGTGCAAAGCATCGCGTCGGATTTCCATACCTCAACCATGGCAGCCCCTCACTCATCGCTACCCCATGTCCTCTCAGTGACGGCCTCGGCCTCGCATAACTTCTCCAAGAACGCCGTCTCTTCCATTACACTTATCGCCGATCTCGGTGTGGAAGGGGACTGTCACGCCGGCGAGACAGTTCAGCACCGCTCACGCCTCCACATCAAGCCTCCACCGGCAAATCTTCGCCAGGTGCACCTTATGCCCATAGAAGTGCTGCGAGAGATCTGCGCAACATTGCCGACTGAGGAGATGAAGACGCAGCTCCTGGCGCCTGGTGCTCTAGGGCAGAATATCACCACGGAGGGTGCCGATCTGTTGAGTCTCGGTGCTGGGACGGAGATTCGTTTTGTTGGAGATGGCGTGGCTGCGGGCGATGAGGCGGTCATTGTCCTCACGGGGTTGAGAAATCCGTGTCCTCAAATTGACAAGTTCCAGGCTGGATTGAAGGACCGGTTCTTGGTTCGTGATGAAGATCGTCGCATTGTCAGGCGGTTGGCGGGTGTCATGGCTACGGTGAAGAAGGGAGGAGTCGTTCAGCCTGGAATGAAGCTAGTTATCGAGGAACCTCTACAGCATATCCCGTTGGATGCGGTTTGATGTGAGGACTACGTCTAGTCCTGACCTGGCTGCTACGTGTTTATGACTCAATTCGAATGGTGTTCGGTATTCTCCCATTCGTAAGGAATCTCTCTGCTTGACTACACTGAGCTATCTACTACTCCTGGTAGAAATACATGATAAAGAACAAGGAGGACCTAAAATTAAAGAACACATTCCCAACTTCTGCCGAGCCTGTCGCCGTCTTCTGTCATATACCAAACTCTCCCCAAATGACGCCCGTCTTTGTCGTAGATTTTAGGCGTGCCACATCTCGGGGCCCAGTGCATCCGTGTAGGGCCCAGGTATGCCCACGCAGGGACGCTATCGCCGAGATTTAGATTGTCACTAAATTGAAGCTTGACTGGATGTGGAATGGAAGACCGTACGCGTCACACATATTGATGGAGAGAGCCCTTTGAATTAAGGATTAGCAAGGCCAATTCATGGCTAAGACCAACAAATATCGAGCTCCTTTTGTGTCTGCACAGCATCGTTTGAGGTTGAAGAGGAATTGTAACCTACAAGTGTGTGTGCAACCTGGAAATCATCACCCTGATGCAGTGCCAAATCGTCCGAAGTGCCCCGGATATCCAGTCCAGATTCGCCTGTGCTGTTTGAGATCCGAATTGTCCATCTTGCTGCTTCTGCTGAGACTTCTGCACTGCTGCTACCAAATCATTCACCACTGCCTCCAGCCGTTATGTGGCTGACATGACGAGCATTCGCTTGTGGTTGCGATCATCCTCGAATGAAAACCTCAATATCCAGTTTTCGCCATCGGCATCGGGCAGGAGGCCTCCCATCGATCAGTGGATGGAATCGGGGAGCATGGCGGAGGATACGCGGAGGCTATCTCGGATACCTCTTCTGCACTTCTCCGGCAGGGCCGAGTCACTCAGATGCTGCAGGCTGCCGTCACCAGTCCAGGTTGACGGTGGTTTGAGAACTTCTTCCAGTACTGAAGTCGGTCGCAAACCCGTCTGTTTCCAAGTGCCATATCGCATTCCTCCGCTGAATGCCTTCTCTCACTTTTTGCTTTACTACATGATGCAATACAGCCTGGCATCTCTTCCTGATTTGGTGACGATGAGAGCGAGGGCCCATGAAGTCATTCCCACAACGCAGATTCCAGTCCAAGAGATTACCGACCAGATTTGCATCCACCATTTGGCTGAAAGGCTTTAATGAACGACTACCAAACAGGGGGTAGCTGGCTTCACGCTGCGTATGCCGACAATCGATTCACTGATGTGGTATCGTTCAACAATATCCTCTGTCAGGAATGTCAGAGCCTCGGCGTGCAGTATTCCATACCAAGCAAATGGACAAGCTATGTCGCCGTCGACCGCATGACAGAAGAGGATCACTTTACCGTGGCTAAAGGATCTGTGAGGGCCGAAAGAGCCGAGCAAACTGAGGGATCTGAGACCGCCAAACCAGTCTTGACGGCCCGGCGTTTTTATTACAGATCCGATAGTGAATAAAAAAGACGAAGAATGGACTATGGGGTCTGCAGTGCCGAGGGATCATCTTCCGATAGCGACGACGATGATGATGACGTTGAGAATGAATCAAATACGGGTGCCTTTGAAGCCCTGACATGTATTCTCCGTGATGTCTCGTCCTATTCGAAGACAGAAGACGAGCAACCTGTGGTGTGCCTAGCAAAGAGGGCAAAGAAAAAATAGTCTTATCCCCTACTACTACTTTCACCACTACTGGGAGCACTTGACCACGGCCTCAGAAGGAACCATCATCTCTATCTCTAGCGGATCGTGTTCATTCGCAAGCAGCAAGTGGTGGATTTGAACTGTCCAACCCAAAAGTCACAATGCTCCTGTGCACCGAATTCAAGCAGGGTGTGCGGATAAGAGCTATGCTGTTGTCGGAGGCTTTGACGAACTGTCTGCTATAGGCAGCGATTATTTATACACGCTCTATTTCAACATGTTTGTCGTCTTTTGGATCGAGGGAAGGCATGCTGGGCCCATGGGACTATGGGAGTTGCAGACTGGCAAGGCAAGGCGATGGTAAAGCAAAAGGATAAACATGATACGGCAATTTAGCAATACTACTACTGAAGAGAGGAATCCGAAGACCATTGAGGAGCATTTAAGAGATTGGAGGGGATTATAAGGGAAGAGTTAGAGGAGCAATAGTATACAAAGTGGATATTCTAAAAAGAGCTTGACAGTGATGATTAGGTTCATAATACCTGTGTAGGGCTCACCGTACAGTGAATCTAGCGTAAGAAAGAGTGCAGAATAATCTGTGAAATGTACTATATTTCAAGACAGGCCTGCTAAGCAAGACTAATTGGTATAATCAGCGATAAATCTCCGGGCCCCATCCTATTAGCAAGACCTCGGGCAAACAGACAAATCAGCTATGAGAGCGGTATTGTTCTTTTCCTGCCGAGATTCATCAGGCAATAGTCTCTCCATTTCCCCAGAGAATATCTTCGAATAAACTTTGGCTTTCTCCGCGCGTTCGCACTGCGCATTATTGTCTCTGATTCTGTGTATCTAGCATACAGTTTATCCCCACAGACTACTGGAGACTTCTTTAGCCACTGTCTGTGATTCTTTGTATAAAAGTGAAGCCTCTAAGTGGTCGGGATGTCGGCCTTTCTTTTGGAGTGTAGACAGAGAAGGGGATCCATTTACTCTTACTGAATAATTCACTAAGACTAACAATCGGGCCTAGTAATGGTACTAGACTATTGAGCCATCCCCTCATAATAATACATAAAGGGGACCTCACCCGCACAGATCTCTTCATTCATGAGGAATTTCTGTGCTACCCATCCAGCGGATAATCACCATGCATTTTCCCCGCATTGCGGTAGGCATAGTCAGTGTCCTCGGACACTTGGCTACTGCTTCGCCTGTCAATGAAGTTGCTGAACGCTCTACTGCATCGCTGGATTTCTACTTCCTTAAGGAGGGACTGTTCTCCTACAAGAGCATTTTGAAAGCCCTTGGAAACACTGGCAGCAATGCTCCTGGCACAGCAGCGGGGTTGTTCATTGCAAGCCCTAACACAGAGAACCCAGACTGTACGTACCGTCCAGAGAACCCTTAGTAGGAATAAGTTGACTCAATTCACTCCGTAATCTAGACTTCTTTACCTGGACTCGTGACTCTGCATTGACTTTCAAAGGCCTCGTCGATATCTTCGTTGAGAGCAACAATGTCCTCGGGGTCGATTTCAACGCCCTTGAAAGCCACATTCAGGACTATATCTCTTCCCAGGCAGTCTTGCAGAACGTGTCCAACCCATCTGGCAGGCTTTCTGGTGGGTCTGGGCTCGGCGAGCCCAAGTTCGAGGTCAATTTCAACCCGTACTCTGGCGGATGGGGCCGTCCACAGCGCGATGGACCTGCTCTTCGTGCCATTGCCATGTTGACCTACATGCGCCATCTGATTCAGCACGGAAAACAATCTGTGGCCTCCGACCTGATCTGGCCCGTTGTTGTCAATGATCTCGCCTATGTCGCTCAGTACTGGAATAACACCGGATTCGATCTGTGGGAAGAAGTTGACGGCTCCTCCTTCTTTACAACTGCCGTGCAGCACCGAGCTATGGTTGAAGGTAGTGCGGTGGCTCAGGCTCTTGGAAAGTCCCATGCGGCTTATGACTTCGTCGCTCCACAGATTCTCTGCTTCCTGCAGAGTTATTGGAACGGGAGCGCTATTGTCTCGAACATCAATGTCAACGATGGCCGTTCGGGCATCGATCTCAACTCGATCCTGACCAGCATTCATACTTTTGACCCTGCGGCGGGTTGCGATGATTCGACCTTCCAGCCCTGCTCATCCAACGCTTTGGCAAATCATAAGGTCTATGTGGATGCTTTCCGCTCTATCTACGGTGTCAATGCGGGTCTTGGCCCTGGAAAGGCTGCAAATGTCGGTCGTTACCCTGAGGATGTTTATCAGGGAGGAAACCCGTGGTAAGTTTAAACAAACCTTGTCGATTATGTTGTGCTTGTCTTCTGATGATCAAAGGTACCTTGCGACCCTTGCGGCAGCCGAGCAGCTGTACGATGCCCTCTACCAGTGGCAAAAGCAAGGTTACCTGACCATCACGCAAACCTCTCTCGCCTTCTTCCGTGACTTCTCGTCGAGCGTTGAGCCAGGCACTTACAAGTCCAACACCCCCACCTACAAATCCCTGACCCAGTCCATCCGCACCTACGCTGATGGCTTTGTCCTCCTTGTCGAGAAATACACCCCAGGCAACGGCTCCTTGGCTGAGCAGTATGACCGCAACACCGGCGTTCCTCTCTCCGCCAACGATCTCACCTGGTCATTCGCAGCCTTCCTCTCCGCCCTGCAGCGCCGCCTCTCCATCGTGCCCGGCTCCTGGGGCTCCTCCTCTGCGAACACGGTTCCCACCGCCTGCAGTACAACCACCGTGACAGGCACCTACAGCGCCGTGGCACCTCCCTTCCCTACCTCCACAGCTCATTGCGTCCCCGCTGTGACCGTTCCCGTCACCTTCTGGTTCATCAAGAATACCTACTGGGGCGAGAATGTGTACATGACCGGTAACGTCAGCGCTCTCGGCAACTGGAACACCAGCGCTGGGTATGGTCTGAATGCTGGTCTATACACCTCCAATGAGAATCTTTGGTTCGCCACGGTGGAGGGACTCGAGCCGGGTGTTACCTTTGAGTACAAGTTCTACAAGACTGAGCCTGATAACTCTGTGACGTGGGAGGGTGGAAACAACAGGGTGTATACGGTTCCTACGGGATGTCCTTTGGCGCCGCAGGTCAGTGCTGTCTGGCAGTCTTAGAAGGACTAGCATGAGCTTCAGACGATTGGTGGAAGTAATCAGATAGACAATCTCAGTTAGACTGGAATATCTATGAATATTATGTTTATCGGACAAGCCTGTCCTCCACCGGATACTATGATGAAATGGCAAGCTGAAGCCAGCATACAATCGCCCCTTTTGACCGCTGAGTGCTGACGAGCCTTGGATCCTGACAAGATTCTCTAATGTTTCAGTCCATAGGATTTCTCGGCTATCGCTACCTATTCTAGCTCAATAAGTACTCCTGATAAGCACTACATCTGTGAGTTTGTGCTTTCATGCATGGTGCTATACTCCCCCAATCAACACCCCTGCATGAATACGTTCAACCCTTGTTTGTTTGCTTGATGGTAACAACTCCAGCAGAGGCAAATGAATAGGCTGCTCAGCTCTCCTGTGCCCCGCGTGACTTTCTTGGCCGAGTTGGAATATTTTTTTGTTTTTCTGGCCGGCGAAGCGTCTATAAAAGAGGGCCCAGTGATGTCTCGGACCTACTGTCCGGCATCTACCTCCATCCTCAAATTTTGGTTTGAAGTTGTGATCTACATAATCAATCTGTGCTCCAAAGGCCCGCAAAGATGAAAGCAGTTATCTACACCGGCGACAGAAAGATCACGGTCGAAGACCGCCCGAAACCAATCATTCTGGAACCCAGCGACGCCATCGTCAAGGTCCTTCATACCACTATATGCGGGACAGACCTGCACATTCTCCAAGGCCATGTCCCGTCATGCACTCCAGGCCGCATCCTCGGCCACGAAGGAGTGGGCGTCATCGACTCTCTCGGCGTCGCCGTCACATACTTCGCCGTCAGCCAGGCCGTGCTCGTCTCCTGCATCACGTCCTGCGGGACCTGCCATTACTGCCGCAGGAAGATGCCGTCTCAATGTGAATCGGCGGATGGATTCTTGGAAATCGGATCGATGGCACACAGGCCGAGTACGTCCGCATCCCGCATGCGTCGTTCTCGCTGCATGCGCTGCCAGAGAGCATCGACCCGAAAGTCGCTGTTACCCTGTCGGATACGGTCCCGACTTCTTATGAATGTGGGATCCTGAATGGTGAGATTCAGCCCGGGTCGACCATCGCGATTATCGGAACTGGTCCGATCGGATTGATGATCCTCCAGATGGCGAGGAATCTGTTCGGTCCGGCCATGACGGTGGTCGTGGGAAGGGGTCAGCCCAGGCTGGAGACGGCCAAGTCCATGGGTGCGGATCATACACTCAGTGTTCTCAACGGGCAGGAAGCTGTGATTTCTTCGGCTCTGGCGGTGACCAAGGAGCGAGGGTTCGATGTGGTTATCGAAGCAGTGGGGACTGTTGAATCTTTTGAGATTGCGCAGGCTCTGGTAGGCGCTGGGGGGACCATCGCCAGTCTGGGTGTCTTTGGAGAATCGTGCCCGCTTCACCTGCAGAAGTTGTGGAATCGCAATATTTGTATTTTCATGTGCCTATGCTGCGATGACCATCACTGACTTCTTCTAGGCCTGAGGACTCGGCTAATTGATGCTGTCACTACCCCCGATTTACTGAGAATGGTAGAGTCTGGTGGCATCGGTCCTCATTTTCTGGTCTCGCACAGTGCGTCTCATGACTTCTATTACCTTGGTCACACTAATGATCGTCCCAGGCTTCACATTCGAAGATATTCACGACGCCTACGAAGCGTTCGAGGTGTCCTCCAAGCATGGAGCCCTCAAGGTGGTAATAACCATGCCTGAGCCTACTACGAATGGCTCTTCATAGTCTTATCTCTGTCCCTCGTCTTCATTGCAGACATTGACCACAATTACTTGTATATCCCTGAATATCTACCAAGCAAATGAATAGCTCCCAACGTAGCGCCTAAGCAGAGATCAGTCATGATGCCCTCCAGCACCCGGCATACCCCACGCCTTCTCCCCATTATGCATTCGATACCACCCATGCTCCAGCTCCAGCACTCCCCTCCCACAAGCCGGGAACTTCGTCCAACCCGGCGTCCCCCAGGACTGCAGATCCGTCGCCCGATCAAGCAACATCTCCCCACAGTGCCCTGTATGTCCCAGTCCCGCTATATACCCATCAAGATGATCAAAGCCGCCGTCGAGAATCGCCTGGTGCGTCTTCTTCCACATGAACACGCAGTGCACGACGTGGTATTCGTAGCTCGTGAAGAGAAACTCGAAGTCGCCCTGCTGAACAAACTCCTTCGAGACGAGGTGCTGCCCCTCGGCGTCGAGCGACCATTGCCAGTTCGTGTAGTTGAGGAAGTCGTTTGTCAGGTCTTCGTTGTAGCAGGCGGGTGGGAGCCAGGAGAAGGACATCAGGTCGAAATGGCATCCGGCTGCTTTGGCTTCGGCGGCGGATGTGCCGCAGCGGAAGAGGCGTTCTGGTGATCGGGGGGCGCGGGATTCGTGTGGGCCGTTTGCGTACGCTGTCAAGGTGAAGATGCCGGTTGTTACGGAGATGATGAGGGCCAGGCTGGAGAGGAGGGTCGCATTAGAGCGGTGGCCAGGACTGGCTTGTGGCTGTTGAGTTGGTGGTGTTGTTTTGTCACAGACGAACTCTTCATCTTCATCTCTTCTGAGGCGCGTGTAGTTCATCTTGTTGTGACTAGATAGAGTTCTCTCTCGCTGGGCGTGCTAGATCTTGCCGAATTCTCCAAGAAGGTGCAGAGCGAAGGAGTGTCGCCTTTGTTGTTGACTTCTGTTCCGTCCTGGTAGAATTAGTATGCAAGGGATGAGGAATCGGCTGCTCGGATTTACGACGTCGAATGGAATGTGCAGAGTGTTTTTGTGCAGTTTTCCCTGCAAGGGGCGTTTGTTTGGAACTTGTCATGACCTGCAATTATACCATTATAAACGCCTCGAAGCTGTATACAAGGCGAGCATTTCTTCCAGAATAGGTTGCATCACAAGACACCAGAAGTCGCACCTGCACCAACCTAGACCTAACTAGATCTGAGCCCAGATTCCTCAAACGCCATAAGAAACCACAAAGTCATAATTAATCCTCCTCGGTGACATGCACAGTCCGAATGCGACCCTTCATATACTTTTCCGTCGGCAACGCAGGAACCTCGAAGATCTGCTTGCCAGACGCCAGATCCCAACTCTTCCCATCATGGCGTCCTTTGAGCGCGGCGCAAGGCCACTTGGCGAGATTGCGATCCCGGACAGATTCATGAACGACTTCGTTCGTGATATCGGACTCTTTGCCAACTAGGTTATACCCCAGCGGTGTGCGAGTTGACGTCCCTCCCAATCCACCCTGCAAGGTTCGTGTTAGACTACTGTGATTGACTTTCCCTAGACTCGTCGCCCATGGAGTCGTCTCACTCTCCTGCGCAAGCGGGGGATCATCGAATAGATACTCGTCAATGTCAAAGCTCAGCTGACCATGCTTCAGGCACTGCGCGATCATCCACGCCAGAGTGATGTTCGACAGCCGGGGGTTCTCGCCTCCACCCCCGACATCCGTATGAACTCCAGAGAACCACACCTGGAGCAGCTCCTGCCCCTCGTTCTTATGCGGGATATGCCACAGCGTGGGCTGGAATGCCGTGCGCTCCTCGTCCAGCGACAGCGCATGGAACGCACATCGCACGTTCTCGTGCAGCACCGTATTCCGCAGCTCCAGCTTCTCGCCCGAGTCTCGGCCCAGCCACGCCTTCTGAAACCCAACCGTATCCCACACCCCGATAATCTCGACCGTGAACCGCGGCAGAGGATCCCGGAACCCCATCCGCTTCCGCTTCTCTGGCGTATACCCTGTGATCTGGTGGTTGTAGAAATCATCATACACAAGAGCAAAGTTGTCCATGCCGCGCGGGGTCAGCAGACCCCATTGGCAGACGAGGCCGGCAACTGCGCGCGCCGTGTACGCGCCGCGCGAAAAGCCAAAGAAGTAGATCCTGTCGCCCTCGGTGTAGTTGTCGGCCAGGAAGCCGTAGGCTGCTCGGACGTTGGCGCTGACGCCCAGACCGGCCACGCCTGGTCATGTTAGTATCACTTCTGGCCAGTCCTCAGTGGGTAGTTACGTACCGCCCCAGTATTTGTCTCCGAGACTGGTTCCAACGCCTTTCTGGTAGTACATGATCTGCGGGATCTCGTGTCGCTGCCCATCTTCGCCTTCAACGACTGCAAGGCGGCTCAACGCTCTGCTAAAGCGAGTGACGTTGGACGGCGGTTGGGCCGCGTCGGCGAGCGAATCCTGCCATGTGCCTGGCCAGGTCAGCAATGTGTTTTCCAGGGGGATTTGAAGCTATCTACCGTCACAACAAACGATGAGTCGTTTCTGAGGGTAGCGCTTGATATCAGACATGGTATTAGGTCTATTACGAGGAGCTGAAAAAAGGTAGAGACAATTGGTAGGAGCCCAGAGACAGAAATATAACTAATCTGTTGTAGATTCTCTTGTCTCTCAGAGCGCAACGCAGGGCTTATACTTGAACCTAACGCGCATTGCAATTTTCTTTGTCGATGTCTCTGCTGATCATCAGCTGAGAAGGTCATCTCATGACACTGACGAAAACAGACCTTTTGGGCAATAGACTTTGTGATTGCTCCGAATTCATTCCACATTGTGACGTAAGGCTGAAATGGGCTGGCTGACAGAGGCCAGTGCTGGGGCTGAGGAGCACAAATTGGCACAATCATTGGGCGAAGATTTGCTTTTGTCTTGTGAATACACTATGGGTTATTGGTTTGGTAATTGATTGGAGTTCGTCTTCAGCAATAGGCTGGTCTGTTCTTTGGCGACGCCGTCAGAAATTTAGCGGGGGAGCGGCTGAGCGATATATTCAGCTATCGGGTATTATTCCCACTGCCTAGAATCAGTAATGCGACCAAGATCAAGTGGCTTTCATACATGGACTATGGCAGATTGTCATCAGTCACTCTCACAGTTCAGTATCTTTCCTGTTGAACGGTTCATAGGTTGCAACATTGAGACATTAGTATACGTCAGGGAACCAGTGGGTATTCAACATGTCTTAAGCAGTTGCAGATCTCCTCATTCATGACAGAACAGAGATATTTGTACATGACTTGCAGCTATCATGGCCCAGCCAACATCATCTGTAGCTACTCAAACTCATGAGGGGAAGTCTGCCAAGGCGATGAAAGCAACAATGTCTTGAGCACCATTCAAGAAGCAGTGAGGAATCAAGATATTTTCTATCATGTTCTCCATGCTAGGTCGCACTCTTCAGGGTTCAACACTTTCACGAGTAGATTAAGCCAAGCTTCCTGGGTCTTGGGAGCCGGAATTCCAACGGAGAGCGCCGACGGATGGCGGGGGTGGCGGACGATAGAGTGGGGGATATCTATATACTGCTACATAAGAGAGATGTCGAGTAGAATAGCAATCATAGCCACCTGAAGCTGGTTAGCTCAACAGTTTTTAGGCACAGTTTGGACTCTGGAGTGTATGCTGCCAAGCTATAGTAGTAGTAGTACAGCACATGGCCTTGTCTTGAACTCTTGATCCCCATGATAAATGCAAGATATGGCCTCATCTCATCTCATCTTCATCTTGGCACTCTAACCACAAACAATACAGTCCTGGATAATGCCGTTTATCATCGGACTGAAGCCTGCCGTTGCCAAAGCTATCTGCTGTTACCCCGACTCTTATCTCTGCCAAGTCAGACTATCCTCTTGGCCGTCTATTTACTCCTCCTGCCAAGACGTCTTTTTCTGCTCCGATGCAACTCCAGGCGGGATGAGGTGCCATTCCGCGAATACTTGCTGCGATGGCGCGAAGGGAATTGTTCGGGGTGGCGGGAATGCAGTCGCAATTGGCAGTAGCGATGGCCTTGATGTGACTGTATAAAAGGCATGCGATGATCGGCAAGTCGATAATTATTCACTCTTCTTCGCCAACTGTAGTATTGATTCGCTTTACAGCTAAGCAGTGGGAGAGTCAGCGACCTATTCTTACGGCGTCAATATGAAGCTGCTCTATCTCACGTCGTTTGCATCTCTAGCCCTGGCAAATGGCCCAGGATGGAAGCCCCCGGTTAATCCTGTCAGTGTTCCTCTTGGTTTGTCTTCCTACTTAATGCTGACACACCCTATCTATATAGAAAGTCTTTCCTCATATGATTAACTTGAGGGACCTGATGCATGGCGCTCAAAAGCTGGAAGACTTCGCCTATGCCTACCCCGAGCGCAACCGCGTCTTTGGGGGACCGGCCCACGAGGACACCGTCAACTACCTCTACCGCGAGTTGAAGAAAACCGGCTACTACGACGTCTTCAAGCAGCCGCAGGTCCACCTCTGGACCAGAGCGGACCAGTCTCTCACCGTCGGGGGCGAGGCCTTTGCGGCCAGCACCATGACATACAGTCCCAGCGTGAATGTCACAGCTCCGCTGGCGGTGGTGAGCAACCTGGGCTGCGTCGACTCGGACTATCCCGCCGACTTAGAGGGCAAGATTGCACTGGTCTCGCGGGGCGAGTGCCCCTTTGCGACCAAATCCGTGCTAAGCGCCAAGGCTGGTGCGGTGGCTGCGATCGTGTACAACAACGTCGAGGGTTCTCTGGCGGGGACACTGGGCGGCGCGACCAGCGAGCTGGGCCCCTACGCTCCCATTGTCGGCGTCAGCCTCTCGCACGGACAAGCGCTGATCAGCCTGATCCAGACCGATGCGGCCGTGGCCAGCCTGTGGATCGACAGCCAGATGGAGAACCGGACCACCTACAACGTGATCGCGCAGACCAAGGGAGGCGACCCCAACAACGTCGTGGCGCTGGGCGGCCACACGGACTCGGTCGAGGCCGGCCCCGGTATCAACGACGACGGCTCCGGCATCATCAGCAACCTGGTCGTGGCCAAGGCGCTGACCCGCTTCTCGGTCAAGAACGCGGTGCGCTTCTGCTTCTGGACGGCGGAGGAGTTCGGCCTGCTGGGCAGCAACTACTACATCGCCAGCCTCAGTGCCACCGAGCTGGCCAAGATCCGGCTGTACCTCAACTTCGACATGATCGCCTCCCCCAACTACGCCCTGATGATCTACGACGGCGACGGATCGGCGTACAACCTGACCGGGCCCGCGGGCTCGGCGCAGATCGAGCGTCTCTTCGAGGACTACTACAAGTCGATCCGCCGGCCGTTCGTGCCCACCGAGCTCAACGGCCGCTCCGACTACGAGGCGTTCATCCTGAACGGCATCCCCGCGGGCGGTCTCTTCACCGGCGCGGAGGGGATCAAGACGGAGGAACAGGCCAGGCTGTTCGGGGGCCAGGCGGGCGTGGCGCTGGACGCCAACTACCATGCCAAGGGCGACAACATGACCAACCTCAACCGCGAGGCCTTCCTGATCAACTCCAAGGCCACGGCGTTTGCGGTGGCGACCTACGCGAACAGCCTCGAGTCGATCCCGGTGCGCAATATGACCACCGTGGTCAAGCGGTCGACACGGGCCAGATCCACGAAGAGGACTCCTCACGCGCATGCCGGCGGACTGGGATGCTACAAGGATCGGGTGGAGGAATGATTCTTCTTCCTTTGAAGCAGGAAATAGTATCCTGTCGGAAACGTCTCATGACTCTACGATGTAGATACAAACACGTCAACAATAACAATATCATTCGTCATTCATAACCCCTTAGCCTCTCTCCTTAGCCTCTCCCCTTAGCCTCTCACTTAGCCTCTCACTTAGCCTCTCCCTTAGCCTCTCTCCTACTGTACCACGCACTTTGAAACGGCTAGTCAGGCAGGACTGGGCCCCTTGGGAGGATACTCCTTGCCGTCGGCGTTGACCTTGGGCGTGCAGGTGCAGCGCTCGGACTCGGGCACCTGGTCCATGACGGAGGGGATATGGTTTCCGCAACCCCACCAGGTTTTCTTCTCTGTGTCGGGTTAGGACGGCTCTGTTGGCAGGCAGAACGGAGACATACGGCAGTTGCTGCACTTGGACGGCATGCACATTTTGTAGAGTGGAGGACTGGAGGTAAAGGAAGTGGCTTGTATGTTTGGGATGGAGGTTAAAGCGTGAAGAGGGGCAATTCCACTAAATAAATAGCACAAAAGGCGGGTGCAGCATTAGTCATAATCAAGTCATTTCTTCATTATTATTAGCAGAAAGAACCAGAGAGAGTCAAGAGTCGCCGATTGATGGTTCCCGAGACCCCGAGAGACCGCCATTCGATGACGATGATGGAATCATGGAAATCATGTCTATAGATTGACCTGACGAGATGAAATGAGGGGGTATGAAAGATGGACTATATAATATAGAACAGGAGGTTAAAATAAAGTAGACTGCCGTGCTGATCTGAGGACCTTGAGGATTAGATCTGGGGTATTATCAGTCTGTACTATGCAGGAGAGTAAGCAATAATATGCCGCCAATAACGCAAGGATGAGGAATCACTTCTCCAGTCTCTTTTCCAAGGATTTATTCCACAGCAACGACACCGTCACCACAGCCTTCCCAACGGCACACCACAACATCGCAAACGACGAATTAACCGCCCGCTGCGCAAACGCACCGACAAAGCATCCCGCCGTCAGCATCACCAGGAACATCACCCGTCGATTGCGCAGCCGGTTATGTAGCTTCAACAAGCCCGGATCCACCACCACATCCACATACGCCGCCGTCGCCATGGCCGTCGTGATCTCCGTGATCTTCAACGACCGACTCATCGCCACCTGCGCCCCCGACGAGAACGCCAGACACGCAATGACCCCCAACGCCGCAGCACCCTCCTGCTTCAGCGGCACGGCGTACTGCACGATCATCCCGACGAAGACCAGCACGGTCTGAATGACGCTGCTCAGCAGAAGCCAGAGCCGGCGCCGGACCCCGAACCGATTCCCCAGCTGGCCCATGACCAGTCCCCCCGCGATGAACATCCCCAGGCTCATGCCGATGTTGGGGAAGCTGTAGGCGTTATTGGCGAGGCCGGCGACCCCGATTGCGAGGAAAAGGGTGTTGCCCGTTTGGTTGGAGGCGAAGCAGGTGTAGTCGGGCCATGTTGCGGCGTCTTGGATGCCGGTTGCGAAGGAGAGGAGGAGGAGTTGGGATTCGAGGAGGAGGTCTTCCCGGATGTCCTCGTTCAGGTAGGACCAGATTTTGGAGAGGGTGAGTTTCATGATGAGGGATAGGACGTTAGTGTGTCTCGCTCGAAACAGGGGGTGCTGGCATATTGGCTATATGTCTTTTATGCCTGACTGTAACGATCTGTCGGCCGGGAGTCGGGGACTCTCGGGGATGGCAGTTTGATATACACTGAGGAAAATATTCGGATTCGTGGATATAATCCAGCTTCTATTCACTCGGGTGAGTTTGAACGGCGAATGACTGTATAACTGGTAGACCAGATGTGGCAATGGGCGATTTTGCAGACATTCATGTTCAGTGGCACAGAATTTGTGGAGAGATGAAATACGAAAAGGATGATCGACTTTGACCGTTTATAAATGATCCATAGTCCTGCTCAAAATCAATAGATATCCAGGCAGGAAGAAGACTATTCCCGCTTTCGCCACATCGGGCAATGGGCACCCCCATGCCCTCATTCCCCGACGCTTGGATGATTGACTCGGGGAAGTGAACAAACTTCCGGGAGCGTCCATCGTCCAACAAATATAAACCCCATGGACTCCTGCATGCATCCATCCGATGCTTGGCGCGTCTCATACACCGTCACATTTCCCAATTCCAGCACCATGACAGTGACAGATCTCCTGCCCTCAACAATCACCGGGGCCCTCTTCGGAGCGGCGCTCACCGTCTCGGGCGTCTACCTGCCCACCACCATCATATCGCAAATGCAACTGCAGGACTTTCACATGCTCAAGGTCTTTCTCACTGCCAGCTCCACCAGCGCGTAAGTCAATCTCCCTCTCAAACATCAGAAACCCAACTAAGCCCGTCCAGCCTCGTCATCTCCCTCTATGAACGCCTCATCCAACGCCCCCTCAGCCGCCGTCCCCCCTCATCCATCGGCTGGCTCGGGCCCTACGACGGCAACATCATCGGCGGCGCCATGGTCGGCGCAGGCATGACCCTGACCGGCGCCTGCCCCGGGACCGTCCTCGTGCAGGTCGGCACAGGCGTCTCGTCCGGCCGCTACGCCCTGCTCGGCGGCCTCCTAGGCGGCCTCCTATACGCCAGCGTGGCCCGGGTTCTGGGCCGCCAACCCGGCGCATCCTGCGCAGCGACAACCGGAAAAACCGACAACAGCCTCCCCGGAAAACTAGGCATCAGCCCCGGCACCGCCACGCTGGCCTTCCAGACGATGTGTGTCTCGCTCATCGTGGCGGCCAAGTACCTCGCCCCCGGACACGCACACGCAGCCGTCGACCCGATCGTCGGCGGAATTCTCATCGGTCTTGCGCAGCTGGCGAGTCTGCTCATGACCAAGGCGCCTGTGGGCGTGTCGACGAGCTACGAGGATATCGGGCGGTGGGTGTGGGGTTCCATCAACAGGGGCGCGAGTGTGGAGCCCGTGTCGTCGAGGGAACAGAAGCCTGCGCTGCCGCTGACCAAGTCCGTTTGCTTTGCGGGGGGGATCCTCGCCGGTAGCTATCTGATCTCGCGGATGGTGCCGGAGTTGGTGAGGGCGGATGCGCTGCCGATTGCGCCGTTGAGGGGGGTGTTGGGGGGGCTGGTTATGGTGTTTGGCGCGCGGGTTGCCGGGGGCTGCACCAGTGGGCATGGCATCAGTGGGATGAGTATGCTGGGGACGAGCAGCATTATCACCGTGGCGTCGATGTTTGCGGGAGGGATTGGGCTGGCGTTTGGGATGGCTGCTTGATTACGTTCATCATCTGGTCGCTGTCTTAGTAGATCTTGTTGTGTATATGGCATGTATTCGATTGTTTTGATCCATACGGATTACGTCTCGGGACAATAGTGTCGTTGCTACAGGCACAACAAGATAGATCGTCAAGCATGTATTCCTATGTCTGTTCAATTCACTACAACTTCACCTTGGCAGGAGCGCAGCAAACAGCCGGCTCAGGATGCAGCGTCGACTGGTTGAATGACTGAGAAGACGCGGGAACATCCAGCGCCGGGTTCTTGGTAAAGAAGCCATCCGGCTTGAGCATGACACTGACACGTTCGACCGGCATCACAGGAAAATCCTCCACCCGGGGGTTGTGCGTAAGACCAAAAGCTAGGACTCCGTCAGTGAGGCCTCAATGCGGGAGCCTGTCAAACTTACTATGCCACAGGACAAGATCCTCATTCTCTACAGGGTCATTGCGCTTCACCCACTTCTCCACGCCCTCACTCTGCTTGCTCTGGTTGGTGAATTCTCCAGCCGCATAGAGCTCGTCGTCCTGATACTTGGTCACCCAGATCGGCTTGGTGGCGAACTCGGCCCGCTTGTAGCCAAACGACCTGTTACCGGCGAGAATCATCTGGCTCGGCGAGGTCTGCAACTTATATGCCACCGGCTTATAGGTGATGGGATTGATGCAGGCGTCGTTGCGGATCTTGAACACCCGATGGCGCTCCACGCTGGTGCTGGCGCTGCCGCTGGTCCGCAGGACGGTTTGTTCCGTGGTGTATCCGACCAGGTACGGGTTATTCTCGTCCTCGGGCATGGCAACGCTGTCTTCGTAGTAGACTGTGTTTTTGAACCCGTCGACGGCGGGGTCGATACGGAAGGAGAACATGTGCTGGTGGAAAGGCGCCATGACACCAGGCCCAACATTCGTTCCCCAGGGCACTGTCGTCCCGAACTTCTCGTTGTCGAACGGCACAGTAGAGAGGATGCCCGTCGCGCGAACCTCCAGCTCGATGTTTGCAGCTTGGTCGAAGATGAAGGCGAAGATGTACTCGTAGTTGGAGACGGTGCAGATCATCTGGACTACTAGCTGGCGGTTGCGGACCACCGTGGCGGCGCCGGTGCGGTAGTTGGTGTGCTTGTGCTGCAGGCCATTATCTTGCTCGTGCAAACAGATGACGTTCTTCAACTGCACGGGGTTGCCCTTGGAGTCAGAGCGGTACCCGTCAAAGTACTTGATGTGACCGAGACAGTCGCAGCCAAGCGAGAGTTGGTTGGCAGTGATGCCGAATCCGACGTCCCCGACGTCAAAGGCTTGCTTGCGGTGGTAGGGGGCACGCGGATCTATCCTATTAGTGACTTCTCTTGTCCACAGTTATGGAAGATGGATGCATACCGCCATACGGTACGGTCATCTCGGACACTGACAGACGGTAAAACACATTGCGTCCGTCATAAGTGGTGTTGTAGATGACCAACCCTTCACGGGTGTTGAAACCCACGCGGAACTTCCACTTCTGCCACGAGACCAGATTCCCCTGTACATTGAATGATGGGCCCTCGGGCTGTTGCACGATATAAGGCTTCAGATCCGTCCGCAGTGGTTCTGTGAGCAGATCATGCGCATACTGAATGGTCTCCACCACCTTCCACGGCTGAGTCTCGGTGCCCTGGGCGTCCACACCACCCGGGAGATAGTCCATACGGACGAGTTCGTGGGTGAGCGCATCGAAAACAGGCGAGAATTTGCAGGGAGTAGAGTAGTGGTTATTTTGTGGATGGTCGGTGGTCACCACGTACATATAGCACTGGAACAGGCGGCGGGTTTCCTTGGGGTCGTCAGTCCCGTAGATCCAGGGATCGTTGCACACCGTCACCCCCGGCGGCAGTTGCAATTTAGCAATCTCTGCCTGCACAGCGGGGTGGCTCAGACAGAGTTGTTCGATTTCAATCAGTTCGTCTGCATCGACCGGGCCCTAATTGTGTCAGAAGAACGTTAAAGGTTCATCTATTGACATAAACATACCTGAACCTCTTTGGGCAGCTGCTTGGCATACACAACAGACCTTGTCCCCGCATTGAGCAACGCTTTGTAAAATGCACCGTTGTCTAGACGATGGAATAGAACCTGTAACAACCGGGTTGGTGCCGCCGGCAGAGGTTTCCCTAATCTCTCGGCTTCGATGTACGGTACAACCTCCCTTTTCAGAGGTTCGTTGACATCGATTTTCTTGTATCTCAGGGAGACTCCCGGGAAAGCCGCTTCCAGGACCTTGACGGCCAGCTGGATTTCTCCGGGAGTGATGGGGTCAAAGGGATGAAGAGTCGTCATTATGTCTACAGCGCACCGGAAAAGAATTAATGATTTGCCGTACGACCTGACCTACAACTCATCCCTTTGACCAGGGTCATAGGGTCTATATATACCCTTTTTCGAGGACATGGCTAATCCGGGGAAAGATACGCCCTGCAGTCCTCGTGTTGTGCGCGATGCATCAAAGACCGCTGATTGGTGGTCGGATGCCTTGCTCCTCAGGCATGGAGTCACGTGCACCCCCCTATTGGCCATCTCCGACCCCGGCGTATCTCTTGCCCAAAAGGGTTAGCGCGTCACGCGTCTTATCATTTCCTCTTTGCTCCAGACCGACAGAAACGGACAACAGGAGAAGACACGCTTCGTTTCATTGGACATTCATCCATTATCATGGCTATCATAGCTATTATGCCAACGGCCAGTGTCATGTCACAATAAGATAAAGATACCCCCCCAGCAGTAACCCCAATGCCGCCGTTGCAATCCACGCGATGATTCGATCAGTCATGGTGACGGTGCTGGAATCGTCGGGCAACACAGATTCGTCCGAGGATCCCGTCCCCGCCGCACTGTTCCCTTTACTCGTTCCTCCCGTGCGATTCGTCAAGGGCCCCGCGACCGTCTCGAACAGATTCACCTGAACCACCTCCAACGCCGACATCTGCTGTCCCACCCCCGTCGTGCCGTCGTACTGGCCCGTCGTCCATCGCATTCCGCAATACGTCCCCGTCTTGCCGCCGACACATTGCGCTGCTGCTGCCGTGGCCGAAGCCCGCAGTCGAGTCACAATGGTATCGCGGGTCCAGGGAGCCAGCTGCGCAACATCACCCATCCAGCGGGCCAGATACGCTTTGAAGGAGTACTGGTCGGTTTGGCACGTGTTGATCGTCTCGCAGGCGTATTCATAAAGCACATTCTCGGACGATTTGTTCGGCGAGAGGAAGAGCCTCTGCGCGTCGAGGAGACCGTCGATGCGCTTTTTCCATATGGAGTTGCCTTTGGTCTTGCAGGGTCAGCCGCTTCCTCATTCTTGGGACAACTGACTAGGAGACATACATAATTCCACATATGCGCGGCCCCATGCAGAAAGACACCATTGTTATATGTCCATTCAACGCGATTGAGCTCGGAGCAATTGTCGCTTTCGTAAGCCCCGTCGAAGACCTGATAATTCGGACCGATCAATCCAGTATCCGTGACCCAGTCCCAGGCCTTGTTCGCCCATTCGGCATACATCGCATTCCCTGTATAGCGTGCGAGTCGGGCCGCGATATTGAAGAAGCCTCCGTTGGAGATGGAGTTGCGATACGTGTATCCGTTGTTGAAGGAAAAGATCTGCCACTTCAGTCCACCTCCACAGGTCCGATCGTCCCAGCGCGCGGCCTGCTCGTTGAAGACCGCTTGCGCCATGGCCAGCCACGACGGGGAGTCTTCGGGCGGGTTGGGGAAATTATTTTCGGCGGCCATGAGTGCGGTAAAGGCCCAGAAGGCCTGGTCATCGTTGCCCTCTGTGCGGGTCTGGTTGGAAGGCATAAAGTCGCCCGCGGATCCGGCCTGATGCAGAATAGCCTGCATGGTGATGTTGTTATAGGTATCGTCGCCGGTATATCGCCAGTAGTTGACAAGGGTGCCGAAAAAAGCGCCGGCTTCCCACCAGTAGTAGGGATCGGGGAGGTTACCTGGGACGTCGCCGGTGTTGTTGCCAGTGTAGAAGCTGACGAGGTCCCAGGCTAGTTGACTGGCTACCTGTTTGATATTTTCTAGGGACCGTTAGGTTACTTCTGAGCGAGCAATGTTCTTGTGAGCTCACCTGCATCTGTAACATTGAGATCGAGTGCGATGGCTCGGAAGGGGAGTAATAATAACAATAATAGACACAGATGTAAAGATAAAGGCCAGTGACGCTGGCATTGACGTCCCATCCTGGACGTCTCGATCATAATTGACCACAAGGAGAGGAACGAGACGATTACTCTGGAGTAATCATCTCAAATGAAAAGAGCGACTGTTGAGACGAACAGACAGCCTAGGCTGATAACAATACTCAGCCCTCGATGGCTGCAGGAACCCTGTCCAGGCCTTAGACTGTGGCAGACAGTGCAACACCCATCCTTGAGCGATGTGAAGGTGAAGACTTTCCTGGATGTGAAGTCTTTACCGGCTTTGTCTGCAGTGACTGACCAGGTTAAAACTAAGAACTCACTCAAAAATGGGCAACAACCATGAACTAGTAACGTCAGTCGCACCATCCTGATCAATCAATGACCCAGCCGATACTAAGAATAAACGGCAGGGAATAGCCGCCTCTCATCAGGCCAGAGCATTAGTCGCTGGATCAGTACAAAGCGCCAGCCAGGCATCTTGGAACCAATGGAGAAACAGCTACTGCACAATGCCACGCTATCTCATACAACAAGAAGCATTTGAATGGGGCTTGGTAAGCTTAATGGAGCAACAGCTGTTTCAGCCTGGGGATTAGTGATTCGTTTCAGACCGGCTGGGTCATTGGCGAGGATTCATTGAGATAATGTGAGGATTGATATCTTGACTCTGTACTCCCCCTGCAGTCTCTGCAACCCCCTTCGTCGTATTTCATATGGATATCCTCGCATCTTCGATCTTCACAACTAACAACAGAGGGAGAAGAAATACAATAGCCATACTCAGTTTACTGACCAATCATATCCCACCTGTCCCTCTCAGTCTGCGGGGTTCATTGGTGACTAAAATGCCAACGACAGAATCAAAGACACAGACATAACTAGTAGGTCAATGGTACGATACTTTAAACATAGTGAAAAGAGAATCGATGGAACAGTCAGCTCGTTCCAAGCGCACTTCCAACGCGTACGTCGATGAGGTTCCTAGCCGAGTGCCTGACTGACTGCCACAGCTGTCAGCGATGTCGAGCTCGCAAGGTCAAATGTTCCGGAACGCATCCGTGTGACAAGTGTCGCCATCGGCAGCAAGTCTGTGTCTTTGAGGAAGATCGGAAGATTGTAGTGTCAGAAGAGTATGTCGGGAAAGACCAACAGAATGTTTTGTTCTAACGGACATTGAGATTGTTCCTTTCGCTCAAGAGAAAGGTCAGCGAACTAGAAGGCTCGCTTATATCGACCCCGTCGAAGCGGCCTCGCGTCTTACAGGGTCATCCCAGTGATTCTGAGTCTAGCGGTTCAAAAGAAGCGCCACAGTCAGTGTCGGAGCCATGCAGACTCGCTACGCCTGAGCAACATGAGTTGAATCGGTACGATGAGCGATTCGCCTCCAATCCCTTGGTATCTCCATCCACATATGTCAAGAATAGCGGACGCACGCAACGGGCTTGGTGTATGCCATTGACCTCTAGAAGTAAGGAGCTCGCTAATGATCGACCATCAGTACTTCTCGGTCCGACCTCGACCTGGTCGTTTAGTCGTCGGATCCTCAGCACGATTCAGAATCGACTTAACCCTACGACTACCAGACCGATCCCTTTAGCTGTTGACGGCGATGCATATCAGATTCACTGGCGCCAGGCCAGCTCCCAAGAGATCCCGGATACCAGCGGACTCCCTTCTCGCGATCAAGCAATCTACATGCTCAACACGGTCCGTTTCCATTTTGACCATTTGTATCAGCTCTTTGACGAGGGGGACTTCGTCCGTAACTTGGAGGAGTTCTATCATAACGCATCCGCAAAGGTCCAGGAATCCAGGCTGTGGTACGTGCAGTTTCTGGTCGTGCTGGCGTTCGGAGAGGCGTTGTTGGCACCCGTGCGAAGAGCCTCGAATACTGCATCATGGACAAAGTACTTCTCTCGAGCGATGTCGCTACTACCAGATACCACGGCGCTCTGGCAGGATCCTCTTCTGGCCATTGAGGTTCTGGCGCTAATTGGGCTGTATCTTCACTCGGTGGATATGCGGGACTCGGCCTATTGCTATGTATGCCTCTGGCCCATTCATGATGGATAGACTACGACTGACGAGCGCAGATCGGTCACGCGATGCGTATGGCTCTGGTGGAAGGCTTGCATCGAGCTCTTCCAGTCGAACAACTTGGCCAGAAACGTGTCGAACGGTGTACGAAGATCTGGTGGACGGTATACATTCTCGACCGCAAGTTCTCTGCTTTGATCGGGTCGCCGAATTCGGTGAATGATGGGGATGTAACCACGGTCCTGTGGGACCCGAAGAGCTGCTCCCAAGAGACAGCAGCCTTGAGCCTTCACGTCAAGATCACGCAGGTCATCACGCGGGTGTTGAATAGTAAGCGACCTGCCGGCTGGTAATGACAGGCTAACGTTGCGCACAGCGGTATACAGTGCAAACGGGAAGTTGGGCGCTGCCTTCCTTCACGGAATTCGCTCCATATTACATGAGATGACCGACCTGTCGCGGGAATTGGAGGAGGTTTTCGCTCATCGATTCTCGAGTTCGGTGGATACTCTTTCCGGTGTGACCACTCGGTTGACACTTTCATGTCATTCGGTGAGTGTCCTTCCTTTGATCAGGGACCAGGTGGCTCATGGAAACAGTGCATTATTGTCACCGCTCGTCCACTCATCCTGAGTTTGCTCTGGGAACGACTCAGCTGCTTCGAAGAGGGCGACGTCTTCCGAAGTCTGTCTTCCCCCGTTCGAACCCTGATTCAAGCGTGTATCGATTCATCACTCAGATCTTTGAAGATTCTAACGGCTCTGCGAGATCAAAACATCCTTGGTTAGTACCAACGCCCGCAACTGACCCATGACCTGACAGCAAGACAGAAAGTTTTCTCCCCTTCGACCTCGAGAACCTGTTCTCGTCTTTCTTCATTCTATCCTTGATCTCCGCCATCTTGCCCGGCACACTACCAGACCACAGCTACCGCGAGATGGGCTTCAGTCTGTTAGACGAGATGATCGCCAGGGGAAACCGCGTCGCGCAACTTCGCAGATCAGAGATTGAGCTTCTCGAAGAATTGGTGCAACCACTAGTACGACCAGAGACCCTTCATCGCGAAGAGGGCACGGGAGTTCCTCCCGTTGACTCAATCAATGAAAGAAACTCTGTGGCTCGAGAGGAGCAGCACGGAATGGGTCCAGATGCAGAAGACCCCAGTCCAACTCCTGCGGTCACAGTGACACAGGAGGAGGATCTCCTTTTCGACTGGCGGGATTTCGGACTATCGTTGAATCATATGCTCTCAGCGACCGATGAGTTGAACGCGAACAGCTTGGTCCCTGGGGGCGAGGGCGAGGAATTACCAACTGACTTATGGTTGTGGGGTGATGGCTAGCCTTACGTTTCCGTTCTCTCGACGTGAATAGAGCATAGGGCATTCGATAGCATACTTGGTAGTGTTATGAGCTATTATGGTGCTGATCTTCTAGATTAGACCAACTCGTTTGAATGGCGCTATTGTTGCTCTTGTGAGGTACAGCAGCCATGTACTGTCTGCCGAACCACCACCTCTTGACTCGTCTCAGAATGGCTATATGAAATTTAGCCCACAAACGCAGAATATCTACTTGAATGTCCAAATATAAGCCACACGATGCTGCCATTTGATAATTATAAACGTTCTAGCAGCACCAGTGTAGGAGAACTGACGCGTACGGTGCCGGACACGAAGAGCCTGGAGCATGAGATACACCGAAATCAGCAAAATGAGTTCCAAATGACTGATCTCTTTCCTGTAAGTGAATTCGTAATTGAAAAGACTACGTATGCAGATACGCGGATTCGGATATTGGCCCGGATCTTCAGACTTACACCGGCTATTCCTCGGTCTCAATTGCCGATTCAGTTGATCTTTATAATGTGAAAATGCTACTCATACAACCATGATTGAACCTGTAACGGTCCCAAGAGAACTATAAGAGCAGGCGAGGATGCAAAGCCATGGCTCAAGTGTTCAGAATTTGATGGATTCGTCAGCGCACTGTGCATACGTATCTCAGCGCAGCCATCCTCAAAGCTAATAATTTTGCGCATCAACGTGTGTGCCTGGACTAGAATCGTTCGATAGTACCAAGCATTCGTCATCCCGATCTAGATTTTGGCCTCAAACCAATGGCTGCTGTTGGCGGGTCGGAGGCGTTCGTTAGAGCCGTTGTATACGTAAGTGAAGGGATCCACTCGCTTTTCCTCTTAGAAGAAATGCGACAATTGTACATCCCTCATCATTGTATGCTTAGGACGATACAATCGATACTTAATGCATTAAGAAGAGTATAGGACGGGTGGAAAGTTGCTCTTATCGTTTGAAATAGTCGGTGTGGGTGGTATATATGAAGCATCTGTTGCACATCAAGGGCGCGACAGGTGGAAGACTGAAGATGACTATGGGCGTGACGCTGTCGATTATTATTCTGCCCAGTGGCAGGCTGATACAATATCATAGAATCTAGGCCTCTGATCGAATTTACCGACAATGGTGGACATTCCACCGTCTTGCCATAAGGTTACGCCCGGAGATGCCACTGCAAGACAAAACATGGTAACGCTGTTGCATAGACACCAGCCCACAAATCAGCGCAATTCGACTGCAAAACCACATGGCAAAATCAAGATCTTTTCATTGTTCCATTGCACATGTTCTGGTTTTGAGTGGCCGGAAAGGTTGACGACGCAAGGAGGGGCCCGCTTGCGTAGGGATGGCATGTTGGTTCCAGATGACTATCAACAATCAACAAGGCCAAGATCCAGAACAGCGCAGACTATATCAATCCAGCTAGTTAGTCGTCTGGAAGCTGCTAGGCTTTGGACGGGATGGGGCATATTGTTTCATCTTCTGTAGTTCTGTTCTCTCGACAGATCAGCCATCGATAGGTTGGACCCGGGTGAACCGTTTGGTTGAGTACCAACTGTCTAGACAAGCGTCTGTCCAATATGTCTGCTTTTCTTGGGCGCTGACGATAGACACTCTTGGCCATACGTCTTGCCGTTAGTCGTCCAGGTCTTCGTTCTTTGGCGCTGGTCCCACTTGGCGAGGTTCAGGAGTCTTCTTCCGACAGTCATTCATTCATATATCGCATCCAACGCTCTTTTTCACGGGGATCACCATCACTGCCACTCCTTTGATTTTTACATCAAGTCAATCAATCATTTGTCACTCCTTTGCTATAGGCATAGCTAGGTTTACCCATTCATCATGAAGTGGGAGTCGTTCCTTTTGACAGCCATCACCGCTGGCTCGGCCATGGCTAGAGCGCATGACGCGCACGAGCATGCTCATCGTCGTAACCGTCCTGCTCGCAATGCAGAGTTGAAGGCCAGACAGGTTGACGCCGATGTCATCAGCACCAAGACCATCGTCAACCTCGAGGTTGTTACCATGTACACCACCATCACGGGAAATCCTCCTGCCGCCGAGCCAACTACCACCGTCGCCGCCGCGGAGACTTCCACCGCTGAAGGCCAGTCCTCCGTGAGCTCCAGTCTCGAGGTCTCCGTGGACGTTCTGGATGTCCTTCCGGTCACCACCAGCACTGCCACTACATTTAGCGCTAGCACGAGCCTGAGCACCAGCACCAGCACCAGCACCAGCAGCGCCAGAATTGCTGCCACGACCAGCAGCTCTGGCTCCAGCACCAGCTGGACCTCAGTCCCTTCGGATGGTGACTACTCGACCGATGGCTTCGGCGACCGCACCAACTCCTCCGGCTCTGGCGTTGAGTACACCGGCAACGTCGGCAACCCCTGGGGCAGCAACATCATCGAGGTGGCCGCCTCCACGGCCTCGCAGTACAAGTACGTCGTGCAGTTCACGGGCAGCAACACCAACGACTGGTTCGTCTCGTTCTGGAACAAGGTCGGCCCCGACGGCAAGCTGGATGGGTGGTACGGTCACTCGGCGCTCAACTTCACCCTTGCGGCCGGCGAGACCAAGTACGTTGCCTTTGATGAGAACTCGCAAGGTGGATGGGGTGCGGCTGAGGGCGACTCGCTGCCGACGGATGAGTACGGCGGGTACGCCTGTACCTGGGGCGAGTTCGATTTCGGGGACACCAATAACGATGAGTGGTCTGGGTGGGATGTGTCTGCCATCCAGGCGCAGAACGCGGACCTGACGGTGCAGGGGATGAAGATCTGTGATCATAATGGGGATAGTTGCTCGTACATCACCACTGATGCTGCAGAGGTGGTGAATGCGTACACGGCGGCGGAGGCGTCTGTTGATGGTATCGGGGGTAGTGTGAGTTCCGGCGCGGTGAGGTTGGCGGTTGAGCTGGATTACAGTGGTTGAGTTTACCTGGCCTTGACTGTATATAGATCTTTCGATTGCGTAAATAGGTTTTCAACAGTATACATTGATCTACCTTGCTCTTTGATAGCCCTTCGCTCTCGCTCCGCCCAAAGCTGTCTACTCTGGAGGGCTCTAGAGAGGGAAGGCTCAATGAAACGGATGATATTCGATACTACCTAGAAAGAAGGGAAAAGAAAGGACTCTTCGCTGAAGAGGTGAGGTGCACGAGTCCCGAAAGTGGAAGCTAGGCGAGAGGCGAGCTATAACCTTCCACATCTACGAGCTCGACATGGCGGGAATGGTGATACTCTCAATCGTCCACACTTTTCCTCCCTCGCTCGAGCTCAAGCCAGAGTACGTCGCACCGGCAGCCGAAGAAATGGTGTTGCCAAAGGTAGTGTCGGCCGAGGCCAGAGTGATCTTCGTGTTGAGGTACTTTTGCTCTGCAACAGTGCCCGTGCAGCCGCCGTCACACTCCGTCCCAGTGCCATATCTACACGATCAGCTTCATCTCCATGATTGCGGGAACAAGCCAACTCACCCAGTCATATAAGGCCCCGACTTGTGCGAGAAGGTCGACAGAACCTTGCCCGTCTGCGCATTGGTGACATTCCTACCGCCATGAGCCAACATCCCTACAGTCAGTGCGATATACATACTGCACCCAGGTCTCCTGATCATCCAACAACGTATACTCGATGCGGACCTGATCAGTCCCGCTCACCGGGCTGGCATCCCCGTCCAACTGCCCAAAACTACCGAACAGACTGGCCCTCACACACCATTGACCTGTCTTTGCACCGCACCAGTCATTGCTGGGCCAGCTTTCCAGGGTAGTCTGGACGAGATCGCCGGTGCCGTTGCTCATCCCGGGCCAGAGAAAGAGCTCGCCGCTTTGAGTTGCAGGCGCCGCACCGGGGATGAGGGTGGTGACGGCGTTGACGATGGTGGACTTGGTAGGACCAAGAGAAACGCTGCCGCCCCAGCTGTCTTCACGTTTGATGACGGAGGCAGATAGGCCCAGGGTAGGGAGGAGGAGACCGAGAGTGAGCTTCATTTTGATGATACGAAGAGAGACAACTGTCAAGCACTGAAATGTTTATTCTTGATGGATTTAGATTTGACGTGCAGCAGCTGGGCTATATATGTTCTTTCGACGGCCAACGAGGACAAAGGATCCCTATCCGCAATCTATTCAAGAGCAGGTGTCTCACTTTGTGTCCGGCACATCATCCTGAAACGAGCCGTACGGCCCCTGAGTCATGCGAATTCTCCACCACTCACTTGGCTTGTTTAAGCTCGAAATTGACAGGTAAGGTGTAACCCCGGATATTCGTCAGTTCATATCCAATGTCACACCAATGCCAATCGGCGTTCCAGTCTTCAATCCATCTTCGAGAGCACTCGTGGACTGATATTCCCCGATGTGGGAACTATTAGGCTGTAGTCAAAGTTGAAGTCTGCATATTCTGAGAGGGCTGCTGGACATACTCTGCTGTATGAAAGTAAGGCCATGAACTGGATCTTCAAGGCAAGGTATATTAGCAGCGCCATGATTTGGCGGATATCGCTTCACTCAGTACGATCACACATGGCTGGCATATTGGGATAACATGAAGTCGAGTCGAGGAGGAGGTAATGGCACACACCGACAGAGACCATGCACAGCCAGTACGGAGAATACGCTAGTTATGAACTTTTTGATCTACAGGAGGAGTATCTTAAAGTGAATATACATACGAGTACGAGAATCATGTCATGGCCCCATTGTTTCGCCATGACTGCCGTGGGTCGATCACAACTTCCGAACTTCTCAATCCAAAAAGAAACACCAAGTCAAAATCTCGGCCGATCTTCTCAACTCGCTCGCATGGCTTAGTTGGTAAAGCGCATCACTAGTAATGATGAGATCCTCGGTTCGAATCCGAGTGCGAGCATTTCTTTTTGCCTGTTAAAGCTTTTTATCTGTAGAATCATAAGTAGTTATTCAACTAATAGAATGTACATCTACGGAGTAATAGGTGTGACCTTATGATGTGTACGTAAGGAACGCCAAAAGTCATCAACTCCGGACAAGAGAAAATGGAATGAAGTCCGTTCTTCTTGATCAGGCTATTTATATGTTACGGCAGTACTCCGTGGATTTACATCATTGCCTTGAATCAGAAGAAAATGAAAGGGGCAGTGACTGAGTAACTAGACGAGGCGATCTTTCTTGATTCCCTTCTGCCTGAAATACCAACCTATTGAGGCAATGCCCCCGCGGTCGCCACAGCCGTAGCATCTCGCACCGAATCATCACGCATCATTGGGGCAGGTGGGTTGGGTCGCCATGCTTATTATGCTTGGTCGATCTGGTGCTGCTATCAATCTGTGTACGTTCTACGCAACTGCTGATGATGTCGATGGCTTTATCTTTCTGCCTGGTGCCAACTGGTCGGAATCGCTCTATATAAACGCCCATTCCTACGGCAAGGAAATATCAACGCCAACAAAAGACCAGCTCAATTCAAAATGTCCTCGACAGCAGATAATACCAATATCACATCCCCCTCTCCTTCCAGCCCCGGGACAAAAAAGTCCCTAACACAAAACAAAGCATGGATCTACGGCAAAAAAGGCTTCGACAAAGCGTGGGACGCCCTCGACAAAGTCGGCGCCCCCGTTAACCGGCTAAGCAACAAACTCGGCTCCGAAGCCTTCTGGCCCATGACACTGGACAAGGAAAGTGAAAAGGCCGCTCGCATCCTGCGCAGTTTCTGCAAGGAAGGGGTATACGTTGACGCAGATGCGACCGTGGCAACCCGAGAACAGACAGCCGATGCGAAGATCGACAAACCACGGGGTAAACCCAAGGTTCTCCAGAAGATTCCTTTGGAGGTGATCCGTCAGGCAAAGGGGATCGCCATCTTCACAGCTATGAGGACGGGACTGTGGTTCAGTGGTGCTGGTGGGAGTGGGATCCTCATCGCTCGCGTTCCCGCGACAGGGCAATGGAGTGCGCCTTCGGGGATATTGCTGCATACCGCTGGTCTCGGCTTCCTGGCTGGCGTGGATATCTACGACTGCGTCATGGTCATCAATACATACGAGGCGCTGGAAGCGTTCACCAAAGTGCGAGTGACGCTGGGAAGCGAGATCTCCGTCGCTGCTGGGCCGGTTGGCATGGGAGGAGTGCTGGAGTCGGAAGTGCACAAACGACGGGCTCCCATCTGGTCGTACGTCAAGAGTCGCGGTTTCTATGCCGGTGCGCAGATTGACGGGACGATTCTCATTGAGCGCAACGACGAGAATGAGCGGTTTTATGGTCGCAAGGTGCCTGTCAAGGAGATCATGGCTGGTCACGTCCGGACGGAGAACGCGTCTGTCGGGATGTTGACGCATACTCTTTACTCAGCGCAGGGCGACAAGCAGTTCGATCAGACTCCGTCTGGAGTCGCTGTACCAACAGGGCCGAGTCCAAGTGATTTCGCGCCCGAGGATCTGGCGAATTCGAATCTGATGGCACACGGGGCATTGGCCGCTCCGGCTCAGACGCCTACCGCAACCTCTGGTACCTTCAACGACCGTTCCGTGCCTTCAGATGGCTTCCAGAGCGAGGAGGCCGTCGTTGCTCAGATGGAGAGCATGGGCTTTGCTAGAATCGATATCGATCGGGCCATGAGAGCGGCGTCCTTCAACCCCGATCGCGCCGTGGAGTATCTGCTGAATGTGAGCTTGACTGAAACCTCTGCATTTCATTCCACTAACTCTGCTTGACTTCGTTAGGGCTTTCCCGACAATGATCATCTTGAGCAGCAGCAACAGCCCGCTGTTGCTGCCGCGCCAGATCATCCCGAGCCTCCAGCTCCACCTCTTCCACCCAGACATCACTGATGCCGTCTAATTTATAATGAAGTTATGAATCTGCACATAGAACATCTGAATACTTTATTTGTCCTCTGCGTACTTTTCCAACGCACGATGTAACTCCCCCCATAGCCCATCATGCCAACTCTGTAGCTCCTCCCACTCCTCCATCGTCTTCTTGAAAAACTTCAACCAGCTACCTACAATAAAATCGGCATATGTCGCCGTATCACCCTCAAGAAACGGGCCTTCCGTTCGCCGGTACGCCTTTGCCAGCTCGCCCAGCGCACCCTGGAACCCCTCGAGCGTCCGCGCCCTCTCCTCCCCTCTTACCGTCAACTCATCCCAACACTCTTTGCCCGCTCGCTTGGCAAAGGTTGCTTTAGACTCCTCCGCTGTCTCAGGGTTGAAAGGCATCCCATTGAGACATAGAATGACATGCTGGGTGAAGATAGCATCGACCTGGGAATTGAACGCGGAGAGAAGGCCAACAGTCGAAGGAGGGAATAACCTTGCTCCCTCAGGGTAGAGCCTGTCAAGGTACAGCGCGATCTCGAATGAATCTCCCACGATGTCGCATGTCGAGGTGTTTCTGATGATTGGAAGGGTGTAGAAGGGACTGCCGTCTCGGTGGACTCTGTTGGCTGCGACGCCGAGTCTCTTGCGGACGGAGGATACTTCGGGCAGTTCTACCCATTCGGTCTGATAGTGGGCTTGTTTGAAGTTGAGGGCGTATCTGTTGCATCTTAGCTCATGTACATATTAGATAATAAGTGTGGCATACCTTGTTTTCCAGGGATTCGGCGCAAAGCAAGTGACTGGGGGCGCGGAGGCAATATCATAGAAGAGAATGGCAGGCTTGGAGTCCATGATGGCAAGTCTGATAAGATGTGCACCGTGTAATAGGAGGGCCAATGGCTGCAGGATGTATCTTGACAGGCTGAACGAGAAGAACTCACTGCAACGATCAATGGAAGTTGATATGGAGCGATTTAGGTTGAAGATGGCGCGAGCCTCCATCTACTTCTATATAAGAATTCGAGCGTCGTTTCTTTCCATCGATTTTTCCTGGATCGGCAATTCTGGAGCTCACAACTTGCGCATGGATCATGATGAGCCGGAATGACTCATGCTTGGCATTTTGGCACATACATCCCTAGTCAGGGATTATTCATTTAGCCCTTTGCTAGACTCCTTATGCCTAGGCTAAAGTGTCAAGCATCTCGACAGTCTATAGATGTTTTTTTGCCAGTGATCTGTAAAATCAGAAAAGTTGAATCATATGGATTCTAGTTGCCTCTCTCCTTGGCCACCCTCCACTGAACAGCTGAGCAGAGCTCGTACAGAACAGACAAGATAGGTGTCGAAACGCCTCGTCTCTGGGCCTCGCGAACCACCTCGCCGATGAGATTCTCGTGCTCAAGCAGATTGCCCTGCGACTGTGAGTCTCACAAGTTGGTGGAGGAATAGGTGTCAACATACCTTTTCCATGTCTTTTTGCATGCTAGGAGCAATCTTCCTCTCCATCGGGTTCTTACGAATCGTGGTCTCAATGATATCATCTGGTAGTTCAATCCCCACAGCCTGAGATACTTTCACTACCTCCTGCATAGCAGGAATAACCAAGTGATCAAGAGCACTCCCCGCAATCTGCAAATCGCCTGTGTTGATTCCGGTCAGAGCGCAGATGGGATTCAAGGTCGCATTATACACCAGCTTGCTCCAGCGATCACGCTCCCAGTTCGGCTCATGTCGCACGTTGGTCTTGCCTCCTGCTCCATAGATATGCACAAACTGTTCTGCGGCCTTTTGTTGAATGTCCTCAGCGAGAAGCGGGTTTCGAAATGCGCCAATGTGAAGGTCATCTTCCTCTTTCTGTTCGATCATTCCATGGGCGATTTCGTGCGCGTCGCATCGACTCACGCCGGAGAGAACAACATTTCGGGGGAAACGAGACAGGAACGATTTCTCAATGTTCAATCCATTCTGAATGAGAACAATCACTGTATGTCCCGGAGTCACTGCGGGGGCGATTGTCTCGCATATAGAGGGCGTGACATCCGGGATGTTCTTGGTGGTGCAGACAATATAGTCGAAGAAGTTACCACTGTCCTCGTAACCGACGCGAGGAACGGCATTTAGAACTGGAATACTCCGTCAGCCATGCCATGCCATTCTGTCAAAGGAAGAGCGCATACCTGCAGTCGGCCGCCAGTTCTCGATATGACCGTGCTCACACGAGAGGATCTCAATTCCCCTGCTCACGACTGCTTCATAGTTAGACCGTAGGACACAGGTGATTTCGGCTAACCCTCCACGCTCGAGATTGAGTGCGGCAATGGTACCAATTCCTCCAGTTCCAACTAAGAGCACGCGGGCCTTTGGAGGCATTGCCAGATGCTGTTTTCGCGACTTTCGAAGCAGTCATTGACACCAAGGCTTTATATCTGGATTCCCTTTCCTCCCGAGATGATAGTGCTTTACCCCGCTTGTGAGTCACCCATTACCCCGACGTCCCAGCAGCAGGCTACAACCAGGTATGTCTGTAGCGAAAGGTGGTTGTCAATTAGCTATAGCATATATTCCTACAGTATAGCTACCTCTATCTTTCCATCATTCTTGGCAGACTCATTATCTATCGATTACATGTTCTGGATACCTATACCCGAGTGGATATCATCCGCATTATGTCCAGTTCTTCGATGCCTCATTCAGTCAACATTGTCAAGAAAGTTCTACTTCACTAACTCTACATTATTAGAACCTAAGAACTAGTCTGAAGGATCTCCAAACCCGTATACCTTCTGGAGAGTTTCAGCTCACATTTCTTTCAGGTCTAGTAGGGCTTCCCCACGGCCTGACGTCATATCGGGGATGCGCCGATCCTTTATTGCTGCCATTGCCTAAAGAGTTACAGTCCATTAGCTAAGGGAGGGGTTAAAGATCTCGATGGAAGATAAAAGGGTGAATTCAATCAATCCTCTAGACACCCGTATAACAAGACCGACAAGCTTCGCAACATACCCGGCACCGAGAATGGCTTTCGCTCGCAGATTAGCTATCCTTCCTGGAGGTCTAGGTATATTGAAGGACACTTAGACACCAGAAAACAACGCATATTGACACAAACCTGTATAGGTGGCCTGGGTTCTAGCATAGGTAAGAAGCTTAGAGAACAAGGCGCTCACCTTGCCATCCTCTATGCCCCATTTGAAGCCGCCCGTCGAGAGGAGCTTCTGAGATCCGGCTATTCAGGAGTTTCCAGCGACGCAATTCGTACCTACGAGTGCGATATTACCTCACCATCGTCGGTCCAGTCCGCCTTTAGGGCCCTGGAGCAGGAAATGATCAGACCGTCGTTATCAACCCTGAGTGATGGAGCCTTTCCCTTTCCGAGCATCCTCATCAACACCCCCGGATATGTCTCGCTTAGTGACATGGAGATGACTCCGCCAGACGTTTGGCCACCAACGTCCTTGGACCGATGCTCTGCTCGCAGGCCTTTGCACGACTCTACTTTTCCGCCTCGAAGGCTGCAGAATCATCCGCGAATCCCTCACCACCCGGCCGAATTGTCAACGTTGCGTCACAAGCTGCGCATGTGGCTCTGCCGCGACATGCGGCATACTGTGCTTCCAAGGCTGCCTTGCTGGGATTGACGCGCAGTATGGCATCTGAGTGGGGAGGACGAGGTATCACCTCCAACTCGGTATCACCGACAGTGGCGTGGACGGCTCTCGGGAAGAAGGCTTGGAAGGAAGACTCGGTGCGGGAGGCCTTTTTGAAGACGATTCCCACTGGCAAGTTTGCGCTTCCTGGGGAGGTTGCGGATGCTGTTGTCTTTCTCTGTCAGGTGGGTTTGTCGTAAAATCTTGAAGTGGTATTGATACTAATTGAGTGTGTAGGATTCAAGCGGCATGGTCAACGGTGCGGATCTTAGAGTCGATGGCGGCTTTACCATCCAATGATCGCCTCGAATATCCTTGCGTGTGCCCGATTTGGTTATTTCTCGAGGTAAAGTTGGCCTTGCCTGTTCTTGAGATCGGATTCATGATGCTGTACCTAAAATTATTTCTCTGAGTCCGTTAATGCTGAGTCCTTATCAATTGACCCCATCGCATGAGGCTCGTTCTTCAAGAGGAATGTCTTTGACGAGAAATGGAGTCCTTCGTCTGGATAGTCCGCGTCCAGCCGAGTAGCTTTGGCTGTGTTCATCGATTATTCGAAGGCTCACTGTTCTATTGGTCAATTGGTGACTCATAGATAAGGACTCGAAACAAGATGAAATCGGTATATCTTGACAGTCTTAAACTTGTCAGCGCTGCCAATCCCATCAATCAGTCTCATTTATCTTGATTTTTGCACTCCAAACTACCACCTACATCCTCCATAGAAGCAGAAAATATCAACAAGTATGCTCATCAAATCCGATACCCTCGACCATCCAGAGGTCCAACACCTGCTCCATTATCACTTTGCCGAGCTTCAAAGCCAAGGTCACCCTGAGACATCTTTTGCGCTGGACCTAACCGCTCTCCAAGACTCGTCAATAACTGTCTATACCGCCTGGGAGGGCGACCGTCTATTAGGCTGCGGCGCGTTAAAACAACTCAGTCCAACCCTTGGAGAGATCAAATCGATGCGGACAGCGCAGGGACACCGGCGGAAAGGCGTTGCCAAGGCTATTTTGAAGCATATCATTGCCGAAGCGAAAGAGAGGAAGTATCACTTGTTGAGTCTGGAGACGGGGACTGACGGGAGGTTTGAGAGCGCTCGGCGATTGTATCTGGGGATGGGATTTGAGGTCTGCGGGCCTTTTGGGCAATATGTGAGCAGTGATGGTAATATGTTTTTGACATTGAAGCTGCAGTAATCATCTTTGATAGAGTTGGAGGATTTGAGATCTCTTGACATACCCGTTTAGAGACATGTATGCTTGATTGCAGGTCTTTCTAGCTCCCATAGCAGCAGTTCATTCTCCTCGTATACCATCTCTTTCAACACCCGGAATCCACATTTGCTCAACACCTTGCTTGAGCCCGGGTTGATCTTCTCGCAAATGGCAAAGACTTTTTCAGTCGGTTCAGCCCCGTCTGTTGTCTCCCCATCAGCCTCTGACGAGGCTGCGGGATCCAACTGAGGCTGACGAGGTAACTTCCACCACGTCTTCAGTAGTCCATCTAAAGCTTCCGTCGCGTACCCCTTGCCCCAGTAATCAGGATGAATCGAATACCCAATCTCCGGGCTGGGATATACTGCATTGATCCCGATGTAGCCAATTACCCGTTTGTCGGCGGGTGGTGGCTGAGGCTCGTCTTCCGATCGTTCACATTCAATGAGCACGTAAGTAAAGTGACGACCGAGGACATTCTCAGGGCCCGCGGTGAAGATCTTCGTGGCCATCCATTCACGCGTCTCTTGGACTGTTCGATGAGGGGTTTTGGGGTGGCTTGAGGATCAGTCTCGGGATCGTGGAATGTGATCAGCAGGTGGATACATACTTTGTCCTCGCAACTTCGGGGCTTGACCGGATGGCGAATAGATCCTTTGCATCAGAGTCGGCCAGAGGTCGGAGATACAGTCTCTGGGTGATGATGGGTGGGAGGGATTCTGGGAGATGCACTTGGACGCTCTGCTGGGGTAGGAGGGACATCTTGAACTGAGGAAAATCAGGAAAAGAAAGGTTTGCCTCTTCTAATGAGCTCATGGATGGATGAGATAGTATAGTTGCTTTGAGTTGATTCAAAGTGCAGTCTGACAGAAAAGATGTCAGGAAATTTAGCGGGGCACCAGACCAGATTTGTTCCCCGACAACTTGAGGGGAAATACCCATGCTCGTTTCAATAGCAGCCTAGTTCGATTTACAGCAAAGTACTAATAGGCTGGAACCAGCTGTGTTTGACGGTTCTGATGCACAGAAGTTCACATCGAAGTATATGTGTTTGAGCTGCACAACTGAAAAACTTTTCTTCAAGGGTATCAGACATAGGGTTTATCTAGTGGAGTGTCTTAGAAGATGACATGGATCACGAAAACGAGAAACTAGATCGAAAGAATGGATCGTCCATAATCAGTCCGAGTCCGACAGACCCCATTGATATTCCGCAACCTCCCCGTTGCCCATGTGGACGTTGTGATTATAACCACCAACACCATAGCGACCACCCAAGGAGGACATCAAGGCATGGAGGTCAACATCACCACCATCATCATCCTCATCCATGATATCATCCTCATCGGTCCAAGCCTCCTCGTCATCGTCAGATCCACCGAGGACCATCTCATAGAAAATCTCCCTGATTAACTCCTGCATCGCTTGCTCGTGTCCCTCCTGAAGCGCCATCAAATCCTGCAATCGTTTCTTGGGGACCCATCTTTCCGAGTCAGGATCTTCATTCTCATACAGCGTTTCGGGGAGATGCATCCTGAAGTAGGCGAGGAGCATGGTCCCAACGCCCATGACATACTCCGTGGATAAGGCGATGCTGTCTTCATCGCGTTCCAACCTCTTCGCGAGACCAGTCACATCCTTGGCCTTCAGGTAATCAACAAAATCCGCTTTCGGGAGTTCGACACCCTCCATGGCGCAGTATCTGATCAGCGCGACGGTCTCGTCCCAGTTCATGGTTTGCTGTTCACACAACAGAGCCAGCAGGAGGTATGTCGGGCATTCGTTGTGGTGGTTCTTGCCCGACAGGACTTTAGCCCACGCATCTGCCTCGGCTTCGAGGCGTCCATTGAACGGCTTCCAAAAGGCCTTGTGCCAGGGGTCCGAGACTTTGGACGAGGGATGTTTTTCCGCATCTTCCTTGACCGTGGCGGGGAGGTACTTTTCATAACGAACAAAGCTCCACATATCATGGAGATTATCGAGTTCTTCGCCCATCTTGGTTCTGGTAGCCAGATCGAAACAAAGATTCGCTGGTCCGTTGTTTTGCAGTGATTGCTCGTACTCTCTAACAGCTTTCATGTCACTTTCGCGCGTCTGGATCTCCCCGACTTCAAGACTCTCGCATGCAAGTTCGTATGCGGAGATGGCATCTTTGTCTTCATCTGGCATGCTCAGGCCAGAATTATTTAAAATAGAACTCGCAAAGAACTTTCTCTGCTCGATCTCCTCGTGGGTGGAGTTTGATATTTCCCCAAAGGGGCGGGGAGGGGCCAGATACCGCAGGGGGTTCATTTCGTACTGATATGACTTTGTATGATGCAGCTCGATCCGTTCGGTTTCATAAATTCCTTCTGAGGTATTGAAGAGAGTTGGAACGATGCTTGGCTGATACTATTTTGGGCGATCTGATGGTGGAGATTTCATGATCTCCAGGGGAGAAATTTCTTCTCAGGCGCGCGCCAAGACGGCGCTCTTGCTCTGTACAAGCCACATGATTCTCCACATTCGCAACCCTAAATCAAAACAAAGGTCTAAATGAGGTGGAGACATTGACTCTATAAGTCTATGGATTGAGATGCCCTAAAAGTCTGGGTTTGCCATCAATTCCGACAATTTTGGGCTTCCGCTACAGCCGGAACAGAGAGGCCATTGTATGCTTATTGATCAAGCTGGTACCATGTCAGGGGATGCCAAGATCAGCTCTTGATTCAGATTCGGTCAGAATTATGGCAGAAGCAGCGCCATGAATGACGTTAGAACAGGGTTCATGATAGGCTAAGCTGAGTTCATCCAACCATAATGAAGAAGTCCACAAAGGACCAGTTTTCTGGTAACAGATCTCAATTTTATGTTCCTGAGAGTCCTGCGCAAGTCTCGCTTCTCACGTCTCTGTCCGAAATCCTACCTCGAAGCTCTGTATTTGCCAATATGCGGTGGTTGCTGCCATACTGGGCTGCAGTCTTGATAAGCTTTCGGGATGATGCTTAAGATCATGCACGGATTCTTAGTCTTGGGCAATCTGAGCTTCGAAGAGTTCAAATATTTGTTCCAGCATTGATATTCTACGCGATCATTCGATATTCTCGCTTCTGAACAGAAATCAGCCAGTACTGCCATAAAAAGCAAACAGAAGGCCAGTGCGGGACAGATCGTATACATCAAAATGGGCCCAAATGACGCCATAGCGTGGTGCGATTCACCATCTCGCCTTATTCAGTAGCCACAGAAAAGGGTATATTCTGCTCCTCCTCAGCATCCTCGAGCCATCGGCCACAGGACGAATGTTTAGTAGCATGCGCTGGACCACGCCCAACATGTGGAATAGATATTAAGCCGCTTCATCTTTGAACTTGCATGCCATATGCAATTTGCTGAGCAGATATGTGATCAATGACTTGTGGGACCACATTTTCCCCAGAAATCGAGTCCCATGAGTCCTTGTCAAATCCGCCATGGCCCTGACTGAAGCGCAACTTCACACTTTGACTACGGTCGAGCGTGTCGCTTCGGTGCTTTCCATCCTAGGGGTCATCACGATCATCGGCACCTTTGCCTTTTCGCGGCATTTTCGCAACCCAATGCACCGTCTGATCTTCATCAATGCGTTTTATAACTTGTCTGACTTTATTGCGACGATGATCGCCACGAGCGGGCCCGCGGCAGGCAACAGCTCGGCCTTGTGTCAGTTTCAGGGCTTTTCTCTCCAGATGTACGTTCCGATAGCTATTCTTGATTCGATGGACAACTGATAACGAAGGGCTGCTCTGACTTGATAAACAGGTCTCCTATGGCAGATGTCCTCTGGACGCTGGCGATGGCCTGTGATGTTTTCCTGGTAGTCTACTATCAATTCGATGTGCAGGCATTGCGCAAGCTTGAGATATGGTATATTGCTATCATCACATCCATTGTATCTATTCCGGCGATCGTCTTTCTATTCATCCATACACCGGAGAAAGGGCCCATGTATGGTGGCGTAACTGTAAGACCAATGTCCGTCTCTCCTGCCATTCAGCTGATATTAACAGTTACAGCTCTGGTGTTCGATATCTCCCAATTGGGTTGTCTTCCGAATCGTGTTCTACTACGGACCAATATGGTATATCCCTCTCTTCTAATAAGCCTATGGTTCCTACTGGGCTTGCTAACTCTGCCCTTCTTCCAGGTTCCTCATTCTGATCGTGTTACTTTTCTACATCCTCGTCGGCATCAAAGTAATCAAACTTCGGCACCAATTCAATCTCTCCCGTACAGACCACATCGCTCTGTCTTCCAATATTTCCTCCAACAACCACTCCTTTGACCAGCAGAAAAACACTGTCGCTGTCACTGTCCAAGTCGATATCCAATCCCAGCCCGCCGACCATGTTCATCCCTCTCCGACCGAGCACACGTCTCACTCATCGCGCGTCAACGCCTCCTCCCCCAACGTTCCCCTTGACCAGAAACGATCCAAGCATTCCAACGTATCTTTCAGACAATATATCCTCATGCCAATGGTCTTCTTCCTTGTCCTGCTGGTCACATGGGTCGCTCCGACGATCAATCGGATATCCGCCCTTGTGAACCCGAGCCATGCCTCGTATCCGTTGCTGCTGGCCGTCGGAGCAATGGGATCGCTGCGAGGGTTTTGGAACGGAGTCGTGTTTATCACACTTGGAATGAAGGGCTGGAAGAGAGAGATGAAGCTGAGGTTCATTGAAGCGTGACTGTTGTCGCGCTTATGGCAGGACAGGCTGTCCTCGTGTACTTATACTCATTTCATAGTGTATATATCATATTGGATGAACTCAATCACGAACGTAATAGGAAGATTCCTGTATACCGGATAAGTTAAAGATGATCGGCTCACATCTTGGGCGACAAAAAGTTTTTTTCGGGTTATCTTGGAAAGGTATTGGAGTCCAATAAGTATCGACATCTCGCAAATTGGGGCATATTATTTCCTGGATACCCAGCATCGACCCGAACTCATAATCAATTCTGGTTAATTTCGAATCATTCAGACCAGGAACTGGAAAAGTACAGCCACCAGGAGTTTTATTGAACTACAAAACACTCAGAATAGCCAGCTGAAATAATCAGTATAAGCACCGTACATGATTAGGGCATGAGGTTAGACCGCTTCGTGTGGATGGAAGTATTCCCCACAGCCAGACTAGATGTTAGACCCTGATCGGCTGCTCCAAGACCATTGCTCGGAGAATCAATGGCAGTAAACACCTTAACGCAGCGGCTGACTTGAACTCTAGTCATCAATATTGGACTCTATCATGGATTTGGCGTGGCAAGCACTATGTCCCGTGTGTACATTGCTGCCCTTAGCCTGTACTCGATTTACATTCCTCCCCTTGATCAAGCAGAAATGAAGCCTACGGACGTTCAATTCGTCATTGGCCTATCCGGCTACTTTGTCAAAGACCTCGAGGCCGTTCGCTGGAGTCCAGCGTATGATCCTTTGAGTGACAACATCTCACCATGCACATCTGGTTTCCGGAGCGTCGTACAAGCCGGGCAAGTTATTTCAATTATGCTGCATCTTCCCCGCGGCGAGATCGCAGTAGGTGACTGCGTCGATGTCATATTTTCCGGCGCTGCATCCCGAGACTCCCTCTTCATCGCAGAAGAACACCTCCCTATCCTCGAGTCCGTGGTGAAGCCATGGCTGCTCAGCTGCGACATCTCGAATTTCCGACAGAACGCAAAACAGGTTGGCTTTCCCTGGAAGAGATTGCAGGATCGCAGGCTTCACTCCGCGGTTCGGTATGGTCTCACGCAAGCGCTCCTTGCAGCCACCGCACTGGTCCAGCGCTGTACCATCGCCGAGGTGATATGTCGCGAGTGGAGTCTCGGCTCAATTGCAGATCGTCCCGTTGATATTCTCGCCTCCTGCCACCGCAATGACACGCTTCAGCTGGACCGGATGATTATGAAGAAGGCCCTGATGCTCCCTCACGCCTCGTTTGTACACGTCTCCGACATAGGTCCCCAGGGTACACTGTTGATGGACTACGTGAGCACCGTCGCCCGTCGAATCCAGCAACGCGCTCCTCCAGACTATCATCCCCGTCTACACTTCGACGTCTACGGTACTCTAGGCGACGTCTTTCCGGAGACGACGCAGCTGGCCGAGTTTCTAGGTCGGCTACGTCAACGCGCTCGACCCTACGCTCTCCTCATCGAATCTCCGATCATTGCGTCCTCCAGATCGGCGCAGATCCAGCGGTTGGCGGACCTTCGCGTGTGCCTAAAGCGGAAGGGCATTGATGTCAAAATCGTCGCGGACGAATGGTGCAATACGCTGCAGGATATACGGGATTTTGCGGACGCGGACGCGGTCGACTACGTGCAGATCAAAATGCCCGATCTGGGCGGGGTCGACCAGAGCATCGATGCGGTGCTGTACTGCCACGGCAAGAAGATCGGGTGCTGTCTGGGAGGATCTGCGAATGAGACAGATGTGTCCGCTCGCATCACGGCGCATGTGGCGTTGGCGACGAGGCCGGATTTCTTGCTGTCAAAGCCGGGGATCGGGGCTGATGAGGGGTTGATGATCCTTACGAATGAGATGCTGCGGGGGATCGCGTTGGCGAAGAGAGGGCATTGTAGACTGTAGATTGATGCAATCAATCTATCCCACGTATAATGGTATTGGTGAGGGATGATAGTGCGGCAGAACGTGCAGCTGGACTAATGCATTACCCCCCTTGGATAAATTCTGGCCCTCCACTTGATGAACCGGTCATCTTGTTCAGGCCATATGGCTTCGATCCACACTTAATAAGAGGGTCAACAGACTGTCGATTGTGGGATCTGACCCACGCCTTGAGTGCCCGGCCCATTACGTGCGTTGAGCATTCCTTTATCTGTAACTTGCGGAGCTGCCAACTCATCCGCCAGCACCTCTGTGCATTAGTCCGTAGACTCGCCCTTGATGGAATGCTAATATTCAGATGGTAAATGCAATAGCTCAATTAAACCCATCCACTCAAGCCGCTGTCGTCAACCAAGTCATTGCTCTGCCCCTCATTCTCGCAAGCAGCCTTGAAACCCAGCCAGAATCAATCATGAAAATGCTTCACACTAAACCCAGCCATAGAGGTCCCCTCGTTCGGGTCTGTCGGGGACCTGGTCCAATTCTTCTTGATCCGTGCCCTTGTCCACTCAGGCGCAGGGATGTTGATCTCATTGATCCCCTCCTTGTAGTAACCCAGTCTCCGCAGAAGTGGGCTGTCTACCGTCCTTAGATTCAGCCGATCACTCGGACGGACAAAGTACAGCAGTCCCAACCGATCCAAGTGTTGCTGATCATCAGGAGGGGTTATGACGCGGTACACCCCGCTCTTCAGATATCCATTCGAGAGAATGGTGAGCAGATCGGCAATATTGACCGCCATCGTCCCCGGAGGAATGCGCAGGTATTCCCACTCGCAGTCATTACACTTCTTGACCTGTAACCCCGCCACAGGCTGCTGGAAGACAAAGGTGATGGTGCCGTTGTCCGTGTGGCCTCGTGAATAGAGGCTCTTGTACTTCTCGTTCTCGTCAGCGGAGCGCGCACGGTAGCACATGTATCGCAGGCCACTGTCGCAGTTGGAATCATACATGTGGCCCTTTTCGAGTTCGTCTTCGGGAATCTCTAGAATAATTGCTAGCAGGCGGAATAGTCTGTACGCGATGTGTTCGTGCACATGGCGATGGAACCTCTCGATCTCCGCCCAGTGTCGCCAGATTACGTCGGGGTGGATTCGGTCATATTGCGGGAGGAACTTCATGGTGTTGTAGAATTCGATGTTATCGCGTAGGCCTGGGAGAATTTCGATCGAACCAAGAGGCCGATAGCCGTTATAGATCCCTTCTTCCAGTGCGGCCCGGAAACTGCGCCTTTCTTCCTCGGGGAGGGAGAAGAACTCTTTGGCGATGGCGAATTGGCGGTCCACTTCTCCTTCGGTGAGCCCAAAGTTGGTCACATAGAAGAAGCCTGGAGAGTCAGTAGTCAGTAAGAGACATTTAGGAAAGGAAACCTTACCAACTTCATGAAGCGCGTCCTTGAGCTGTGCAGCGAGCTTCTCCTTACCCCCTGGCTGATCGAATTCCGACAGATCAATGGTGACGAGATCCGCATACTTGACTGCAATACATTCAGATGCATATCCAGCACTCTTTGTATGAGACAACACTCACTGTTCTGCTTTGTCTCTGATGGATGAACATATTGCTCCAGAGCCTCGGTCGAGGCAGTCAGAGGGAAGTTCAGCTGCGCCGTCTGAGTGGCCATCTTTTTACAGAAGATACCTCGGTGCATGGCTTGGCTTGGCTCGCGGAGGGAGTGTGTCAGTTATAAATATGCGAATAGAATTGGCATCACATGAGTCTGACGCCCGTATAGTGTCCCTGGTGTCGTTGCCCCCACCTTTCATCCCCTCCTGTACCGTCCGGTCATAGTAAGCCTATCTCGGTCATCAATATCTAATGGGCAGCTTGAAGCCTATCGCCCTGGAAAACGACACTAGAACCAAATCCCCAGCCAGCATATTTCAAACACTCGGTGGATGAAGGCTGTACAGCTCAAGAGTTCTGGTCGACTTTGCCAGTCCAGATTCGAATCGCCAATCAAGGATCGGGATGACGAGAAGATGGAAGACGAAAAAAAAAAAGAAGAAGAAGAAGAAGAAGAAGAAGAACTGAACGAATTAGTAAAAATAAAAGAGGCGCCCAGGCGAGGAGTGCCAAACTTGACGATGGGCGGAGGGAAAAAAAAAAAGACAAAAAGATTCGTCCCCGGGAAGGCTCGAACTTCCAACCTCCTGATTAACAGTCAGACGCGCTAACCAATTGCGCCACGGAGACTTGTTTGTTGAAGAAGACGTTTCTAGAATGCTTTGTATATCAAATCAATCTTTTGCATGTACTCCAGAAGTTGCAACTCATTTGATTTCCAATAGAAGTCAAATCCACATAGCAGCCTGGCGTCACAGCCCCTCAAATACGTGCCTCTCCTAGGATCTTCATAGCCAAGGTATTATGCAGAGCAATCAATTCAAGTACACTAATTGTGTGCTCAGGCCCTCTAACCCCAGGTCAATAACAAACGTTTGTCACATCACCATTCCCCTGACAGAGTGCAAGAACCATGGTCTGTGACTTCAAAGGCTTGTCTATACACCACTAATATATTAACAGCTCTATGGAAGATGGAGAGAATAAGCAAAGATATAAAGCTGGCGTAAGCTTGAGTTAATTATAGTAGTAGTGACATTGGAAACATTTAGTGTCCGTTATCTGAAATATATATCTACTCTTAATCTCATACAGCGCTTATTGAAATTATTAAAATTCATATGCCTTATCTCTGCATCCTGTCTGCCCTGTTCATGGCCAGGCCAGGACTCCAAGATCCAGAACGCATAAGCTACCTACTACTTTACTGTTGAAACGGTCAACCAAGTCAGGAAGCACTTGGAAGCCACTGTAGTTCCCCCACGGGCTAGTAATAGTATATCTCTAGTTCTCTACTTGTGTTTCTTTCCCCCCATATCTTCATTCATCATTTCAGATCTCCCATGCGAGAAAATAGTTGAGCTTGACTGATACTATACACGAGACATACTTTATTTTAGCATCTAAGAACTCAGAGTCTGTAGCGAGACTTTGCTAAACAGACATGCCAGGCATACTTCTGCCCACTGCCAATAACAAACCAAGAGCATTTAATTTCGCAGACATTGTGCAAAGAAATGCAAAGATAAGGACAGTTTAGATGATATGCTAGCCTAATCACCACAAGCTAGTCTGCTAGGACACTAGGTGTAAACAGGAGTATGAGCAACCCATCCGCCAGTGGTGTATATCCACTCGCAGGTACTTCTCATCGTCTTAAGGATTATGTGCAAGAGATGGAAATGATCATGAGACATCCAGGCAGCAGCTGGGCTCATTTCCTGTTTGAAGCCTCCCTCCACATGCCTGAACTATAGAGGTATGCCTGTACCCTAGTACCAGCTTTATTTGCCCAAACATAGGCATAGAGTACTTTCCTACCGAGATCAAGGGCTGCCATTCGCGTATGTGATGTAGCAGTTTCAGTAAAGTCTTCTGACAATCCAACCCTGCTGAGGAGGACCAGGTCTGACTTCAATAATAATTCCATCGGGTATTATGGAACTCACGCCCATGGCATTGCTAAGCCATTGCGCGCCATTTTGCAAATCACCCATGAGGCCTTCGCCTCAGTTCGAGCCTGATTCTTGCTTTTCACATAGCACACCCTTCAACGGAGCTCTGATTCCGGACTGATGGGTTAACTGATTCTGCTGTTTGGAAGGACCATGATAGCACAACCTGGCACCGCCAGTTCCATCTTAGTCATTCACAATCCAATCAGCATTTTAAGCAGGTGTAAATTGAATCATGTGCAGCTTTGTGGCGAGTCACAATCCATCCTAAATAGAAATAGAGGTAATCGAGGGAGGGGAAAAAAGGATTTGCTGTGGAACTGGAAACCCCAAACTTTAGTACAATCTAGATCTACATTAGCATAGATCTCAGCTCTTTAGAATAAGTTTCATGACAAGCTTGTTGGCTGCTTGGTCATTACAGAAGAAGTCATTTGTTATATTAGTCCAAAAACCATTCCAGAACGAACTCTTACTATACTCCACTCGAACCCTTATAATATACATCACAATAACATCATAAACTGCAAATAAGGAAAAATAGTACAAGGTTTCAGATGTGGATTGTTATTGAAGATTAACTTCCTTGTAGGTTTTGGCTGAATCTTCCACCATTAAAAGCCTTTGTAAAAAATGTCATGTTCAATAATGGTCATAAGGCATGGCACTCTTTGTTACTGTTGAGGTCATTAGATCTATGAAACCTTGGTAGCTCACGATCTTATGGCCTGACATCTAGCCCAGTCTAACCTAAGTTCTACCCCAGATCCCGAAAACTTTGATTTCTTGTAAGATGCCGAGATGGGTCATCATCGAAACACGGCCCGATTCCGGGTCAGCGCAGTTTATGGTTAAGACTGCGATGGTATCTGATCATCTTCAATCCCCTAGCTTTCAATCCCTGATTAATGAAAGCATCCTTGGTGATGCTCTCGCAGTAGTTAGTCTTTAGCTAATCTAAGAATTACACCTCTGATAGCTGGATACTGCCGCCCCCAACTATCCCTATCGAAGAATTATTCAATATGGCGGTCCTAGAAACAAAAAAATGCCCATCCTATTCTATTATTCCATGCTAATATATTATATTCAAGCAAATATCTGCTTTAAAAAGTCTGTTTTCTCTTATAGTAATAGTCCTGGTTCCCCCACAGCCAGTGGAGGCCATGAGGTTCCCAGACCCAAGGTTCAACTATGAGTTTTTAAACTATATCAACTTTAATTCATGTTCTTGGAGCTGGAATTGCCATAGCTGCTGGCATCAGATGACTAGACTTAGCCTCTAATTATTCCTTATTGAAAGACCTAGATAGTATCATTCCAATTATAAGACCTGAAAGAGCCCCATATCAGTATATTGTTGTCACTCTCTCCCTGTGATTGGGTAATTTGCGCTCCTGCTGCCTTCCCTTGGCCGTCGTAGCCGTTTCTGATGCTCCCTCTCCGGAATCGAATCCTAATTCCATTTCCCATGCCATTGAAGTCCAAGACCAACTTGTCTATCAGTCTAGACCATGGATAACATCACTTGCCATGCCATTGAGATCCAAAGACCAACTGGTCTATCCAGTCTAGACTTTGGAGAAATGGCTATTTCTGCTGTATGCTAATACGTCAATATGAGACGTACTAACATGGCGGACTCCAGACCTGAAGTCTACTTAAGCAGGCAATAAGCCCTTCAGATTCCAGGGAAGCAAGCCTCTGAAAGATTATCATCTAGGTTCATTTTCATTGAGAAGACAAAATGCAACTCAAAACTATCCTCGCTGTCTTGGCCGTGGCCAGCTTGGCCTCTGCGGCTCCAGAACCCGAAGACTTGGAGAAAAGGGCCTGTACTGGAAGTCACAAATTCTGCTGTACTACGTGGGTCCCATTCAATTTCTGGTTCATTCGGGGACTGGGAAATGGATGCACCAGTATGTTGAACTATATAACCTTCAAGTGAAACATGACAAATTCAGACGCCGCTACCACTGCAACCAGCTGTACTCCTGCTACCAAAACACTGGTCTGCTGCAACAATAATCTTCCTCTTCAGGTAAGACATTCCCTCTACTGTCTGTTTTTGCATTGGCTACTGCTAACCATGTTAAAGTCTAATGGAGACCTTGTCTGCACTGCTTAAGTGCTTAGCTACAGTCCAAAAAATTTCCTAGTTGTTTGTGCCATTTAGGTTAGGGAAGTTGTACTTGCCATGAGTGAAGGAGAAAAAGATAAGTAAAGGAAATTAAAAGTTTGACTTTGTCATGTATCTCATGGAAATGAAACTTTTTGTAATATTAATATCTGGTTGAAAGTTTCCAAATTTATGTGTATTCCTAGTTAGGAAGACATGTTTAAATGTTGCAACGCCCAGCAGTGCATATATTTTATCCTAATCCTCCCAGATGAGCCCCTCTGATTCTTTGTTTTTAGCACTATATTCAGAAATTATTCAAAATGCTTTATTTAAGGTCGTGTAGTAACCAGGATAATATGGCACCTAGTCAGGCTAATCTCATTCCATTAACCTGGAGTTTATGATATGATGAAAAGTAATAAGCTTATTACAGCCTAAACAATCACAGATTCACGATGCTTTGGCTTGCTTAAGTCTATGCTTATTTAGTGGTGTGAAAGTGCCTTGCAATAAAGGCAGAAGACCGCGAAGTCTTATACTAAATATGGTTCAAGCTCTCTGTGATAATCTCCGTGTAAAACCTCATTTATACCTTGATAAGACGGGAGTGTAAGTGAAAACACTCAGCATTAGGTGTGCTTACTTTAAAGACTAATGCTCATTTAGATGCATTCATTTCCCTTTCTGTCTCTGATCAAGTTCTCCAAGCCTTCTGAAAGCACGCGATATCTCCAAAACACTTTGGTGGACATGATCTGTGAAGCATCAGTAACTGACAAGATACTGCAGGGATATAGTTGAGGGTCTACGAACAGGAGCCAATCGCAATCCAAATAAAGTTCATGAAGAAGTAGTAGAACCAAAAGTAATAGCCCTCTGGCCGACAGAACGACACACCGTGGAAATAGAGGTCGAACATACTCGTGGCGTAGTAAAGGACATCCCCATAGACCTGTCCGAGTGACAGAATGAGCTGGAGGGCATGGCGGAGGGGATGATTGACCGCAATGCAGTATGCGATGAAGAATGCGAGGGGTCCCCAGCAGAACTATGGGCAACTTAGTCGCGAGCTAGCTGACTTTTAGTGATCTCAGAACATACCGCCGTGACTGCCTCCATGGCGACGAGGAATGAATCTGAGGTCAAGTAACGCGAGTCAGAGAGGGAATATTCTTTCCACAGCTGGCCGAATAACTCCTGGGAGCCGGCGAGGGATTCATGGTGGACAACGAAGTATGCTTCAAAGACCAGATGAATAAATCCGGCTATTGAAATTCCATCTTCATCAGTACCAATTCAATATTGTCTAATTAGGATAACATACTTAAGCACATCCATATAAAAGCCAGTTGATCTGACCGACTCGCGGCAGGTCGCAATCGCCGAATGACAATGAAAGCTATCCCAAGCACAGCGGCCCAGAGGAAGCCAAATTGAGCAATCAATGACAAGACCGAAGCCTCGTTGGCTGCATAATGCGGCAGACGAATAGTAGGAGGGTAATAATGATGGGGAATTAAGTTCGTCATATTCGACCGGTTATGCAGTGTTTCCAGGCCAGTGAAATGGTGGACTAAGACAGGGGCATACTCCAGGTACTCCAATTGACTCTACCATTACCATGAAAGCAATATCTGTGGATTGCTTAAATATAACCTATATTAGGTGCTTGAACTTGGACCTCATCTGCAACCGTAGTCCGCGGAGCCCGAGGCTTGGGCTCGGATACTGAAACTGCCAGATCAGACCACTCAAGCATGAGCAAGAATAAGCTTGGCCCGGAAGGTAGACAGTGTATCCGGTCAGTATAGTTTGCCCCTTTTTTTAAGGTACCAACCAATACGTAAGATTTCAGATTCTGCAGTGTCTGGCAGTGCCTGCTGTCATCTGCTCTGTGCCTTGGTGATCTAATCTATCAGTAGCGCTCTTGGGTCAGATCAATTTTATATTCATGTAATCTCGTAGCTTCCCAAGCAAGCTGGGCCGCTAACTGAATGACGGATATCCCCTGGTGAGGCCTTCCTGTATGTCTCTTTCGATCTAGGTCAGCAGTAATATTGTTGAGGCTAAGACACAAAAGCTTTACGAAAGGAATACCATTCTACCTCGCATAACTCCTTCTCATCTAAGGTGGCGAAGCTGAAACAGTCTGTGGAGGGTAACGTAATCCACGGCCGAGCTACGCATACGGCCGAGCTACGCACTTTCGCCGTCGCGTCAAAATACTATACTACCAATATTTTTCAACGCGTCCTTCTTCTAGTTATACCCTATAAATGTCTCTTTCTCAAGAGAATCAAATGCAAATGGCTGTCTCAGCTATTAAAAACAAAAAAAATTCAATCAAAACGAGAAGCTGCTGGCATATTTGGTGTACCTGAAGCTACGCTTCGCAGTCGGCTGAGAGGAATCAAACCACGATCAGAGACACGCGCCAATGGCCATAAACTGACTGCTATTGAAGAAGAAACTCTTGTCAAGCGACTTCTAGATGCAGATAAACGAGGTTTTTCAATTCGGCCAGAGTTTCTGCGTGGAATGGCACAGATTTTACTTCGTGAACGTTCCCAAGATTCCACCGCAGTCCTTGGAGTCAACTGGGCCTATTCCTTTGTTAAACGCCGTCCTGAACTACGTACAAGATATAATCGAAGGATTACGTACCAGCGAGCAAAGCAGGAGGATCCAAAGGTTATACAGCGTTGGTTTGAAACTGTACATGAAGCTGTTCAGGAACATGGCATCCATGAAGATGATATCTGGAATTTTGATGAAACTGGCTTTGCAATGGGACTTTGTATAACATCCAAGGTTATCACTGCAGTGGATCGCAGTGAAAGACCCCGTACAGTTATTCAAGGGAATCGTGAATGGGTTACAATCATTGAATGTGTGAGCGCAAAGGGGGTTTCTATACCACCAGTTGTCATCTTGAAGGGGAAAGAGCAACAGGCTACCTGGTATCAAGAACCGGCAGTTCCTCAAAGCTGGTCAATTGCAAAGAGTGACAACGGCTGGACAACCGATATAATAGGCCTTCGCTGGCTTCAGGAGGTGTTTGAACCACACTCCAGGCGGAATTCAACTGGTGCAAAGAGATTGCTTATTCTTGATGGCCATTCTAGCCACCAGACTGCAGAATTTGATGCTTTCTGCAAGGAAAATGCCATTATCTGCCTTTGCATGCCACCTCATACCTCTCACCTTCTGCAACCACTGGATGTGGGTGTTTTTGGCCCGCTAAAACGCGCCTATGGGAAATTAGTTGAAGGAATGATGGTTGCTGGAAACAACCATATCGACAAGGAAGACTTTCTACATCTATATCCACCTGCGCGTGAGAAGGTCTTTAATCAAAAGAATATACGTAGTGGCTTTGCAGGCGCTGGTCTTAAACCTTTTAATCAAGACCGGGTGCTTGAGAAAATCACCTTTCAACTTCGTACGCCCACACCACCACTGCCTGTTGAAGGCTCAATCTCTTCTGCTTTTCAAACACCGCAGAATCCTCGGCAGCTAGATCACAAGATCCACAGCCTGCAAAGAAGTCTTCAGAAAAGGAAGCTTTCCAGCAGTCCAGTATCACATATCCAACATCTTGAAAAGGCAGCACAAATGGCAATGAATATGAACCTTCTTCTGAAACACGAAATTAAGGTTCTACAGGCTGAAAACGAGCGGAAAATGAAAAAGAAGGCAAAGAGGTGTGCTAATCTCGGTGATGAAACTCTTTTATCTGTACAAGAAGGTCAAAATCGCGTTCAGCAGCTTGATATACCGCGAAATGAGCAGGTTTCCGAGTCTGCACCTATGCCTCGCCAGCGAGCTCCACCACGCTGTAGTGGCTGTTGGTCTATTGGACATACAATAAGAAGTTGCCCTATTAAATAGCTATTTATTTCATATTCCAGATAGTTTAATTTATTGGTGTTGATAGTTGAAGAGCTTTAAAAAACGTAGTGGGAGCGGCGAAAGTGCGTAGCTCGGCCGTATGCGTAGCTCGGCCGTGGATTACGTTACCTAATCTGTCAGATAAAGAATGTCAGATACTAGTAGGTTTCAGCCCACTAGAAATACACATTCGCCACAGTATAGAGGTGAGCTAGAACAACCCTTACATGCAAGCTTGGCAGTACACAGGTTTTCCAAACTTGCTCGGCTTTTACCAATTGGACGCAATTGTATTTACATTGGAAGCTACAGCCGTAAGAATTGGAGAGGAGCATAACGGAACTACTCTGCGGAGCACCACAACTGACATATCCATTAATTTCACCATATACCCCCTATTTGAGATGAATAGCAGAATACACCGTTTAGGAGCTAGCTAGCTAGTATCTCTCAAGGCCATAGGAAGGTCCCACAACTTCAATTTCTCTAGGTAGTCATCGAGTCCAGCCAAAATCAACTAGAGACCTGTTCCACTCTTCATGGTAATCTAGTCGGCGATATTATCCAACTGCTCGGGAGCCGGTCTGAGCACGTAAATATTCCCACTTGGTGGTGGGGGGAGCTGAGGCACAACTGCCTGGGCTTCACTGTCTCCTGCATCAGCTGCTGCTTGTACATTATCAGTCGCCGCGTACGGCTTAAAGTCCAGTTCCTCGAATGGCCACGCGCTCTCCCCTTCTACCGCCGCCTTCAACAGGAAATCCGTTGCTCCAAACAGACTCTGTCCATCAGGCCCCTCATAACGGTATAGGTCTACGCCGACCTTCTTGGCCACAAGCGCAAAGCGAAGGTGTGCGCCAAGGTTGAAATTGGAGTAGTGCCAGCTGCGCGTCCTCGCCAGTTCCATTGGTTGGGAGCCATTAGGCCGGATCTGAGCATCAATGAGAGATTTTGCTACTTGGGATGTCTCTTCCGAGAGAGCCGCATTCCCCATGAAGAGAGCGAGAGCCGCAATCTGCATGTTGGCGAAAGTCCCGTGGTTATTCTCTTCGGCTGCCTCTTCCTTCCCAAAGGGCGAGTTGACCAGCCAGTCTAGAAACTGACGGTTCCAGGTCATGAACGCTCGCTGATTTGCTCCTGTCCAGCCTGGAGCATTAGTCGAGGCAAGGATTGCGGCCGCATCCACAACGTTGGTATACTCCATGCTGAAGTCGATGATGCCGATTGCGCGGCCGGTATTGCGGCAAGGGATGATCTGTGCGTGGTTCAGCTGAGGCGTCATGGCCGTAGCGGGGTCAATGAACCAGGTCTGCAGAATAAGTGAGGCATGTTTGGCGTATTTGACCTGGCCTGTGTAGTACCATGCGAGGGATAGTATATAGCTGGATCTAAACATCTGATCACGTCCGCTGTGGTCGGGGTATTTGTCGACTTCGGGGTTGCGTTCGCCATCCCGTTGTACGTAGGGACAGCCATCAGTGGTATTGCTGGGCCACCAGTACGGTGCTTGGGATGCGTAGTCGTGTATCGTGCCGTTAGGTGGTGCCTGCGTTTTGGAGGTCACAGTCCACGGGCCCTGGCCTAGCCAGCTATCTGCTTCGGTGGTGAGGTGACCAAGAGCGGCTTTGAGTGACGCGTCGCCGGCTTGGATGCGCTTTTTATTCTCAACGAGGCGGAAGCCGTCCATCACAACGGTGTTTGGGACGAGGTCCTGACGCCAGTGGCCATTGGGAAGGTTGAGGGAGCTAGAGAGCGATATGAAGAGGTTGAGACAGGAGATCCAAAGGAGCTTCATCTTGGACGATGGCAAGGAGTAGACGTGTCAAGAGGTGAATCTGAAGAACTGATGAGCTGAGTCTCATTCTCTGAGACTTTCTGACATACAGCTCCAGTAAATCTTGCGTCTGGAGCTCTATAAGTATAGCCAGCCCTGCATCTTTCTCCAGCTCGTAGTGTACATGCTTATGGTTGGTGGAACAGGATAGGTTATTCTGGGACCTGACCGATGATGGAAATACTACATTTTTCCACTACTTGAATCACGGCAGAGAAACGACAACTAGACATAGCGTGGTAAGCAACTCGAAGGATGTTGCATCGAAACTTTGAGGCTATTAGAGGCTAGCTGTCGGTATGTGCGGAGAAACTAGGGTTCTCTATGGGGAAGCAGGGGAGATGTGCTGACCCAAACAGGTAGTCCTTTAGCCCCATTAATGCCCAGACATCGCGCAGGAACATTGAACTTAGCTGAGTGGTTCAATTGCTTCTAGTGCAAAGATCATCGGCACCCCCGCAAGCAAATGTTACTCTACTATGCGGCTAACAGAAGCTTCGTAGATTCAGCGTTCTCTCTGTTGGTGGAATATATATCCCCGGGCGAGAACTCGAATATGTTCGCAGATGGTTTGTGGCACTAATGGTGTCATCACATAATCCTATCTAAATGCTCTTTCTTCATTGATGTAAACGAGATCATCAGTATGATAGGTACTGTCCCACCTGTGATATCTCTCCCGCGATGCTCGGGTTTCAGAGCCGCTGAGGAAACGATGCTCCCTTCCTTCCAGAATATTGCTGCCTCAGGGAAGTCTCCCTTAATCTTAAGTACTGTCTCACGATGAAGACATTAGAAATTTTAAATTCTGGGACGAGACTTGGGGATACAGATATAGCGGGCCTATGCCATACTATTTAAGGCCTCTATATAACTCGACTCCTTGAGTCGGATCTTTTCAGCACTACACTCACTGCTTGTCTTTTTCAGTAATTCTCTGAAACAAACACCATGGCGATTAAGAACCTACTACCTCTCGCTTTCTTGGCTCTTGCCAACTATTCAACGATGATAATGGCGCAAGGCTCAGATTGCGCTCCTGGCGGCACTTTCGATCTATCCAAATGGAAACTGCAGCTTCCGATTGGCTCGAATGGATCGCCAGACTCTGTCTCTGCTTCCGATCTTCAGGGCTGCGACGGTTATAAGTCCGAGTACTTCTTTACCAGCCTTGACGATGGTTCCCTCGTTATGAAGGTCCCGGGTTCTACGGCAACCTCTGCTTGTGTCACTACCCCCAACAGCGAACACTGCCGCACAGAGCTTCGTGAGGATAGCCCTTCTAAGTGGAGTCCTTCTGACCCTACCAACCGGCTGTTTGGCGACTTGATCGTGAAGCAAATCAAGGACGACCGAGTTGTGGTGGGCCAGATCCACATCGATGGCTCCATCTCCACGAAGCCCGTTTGCGAGCTTTACTACAGCTCCAAAGGGGATCTAACGATGGGTGTCAACCGATGCCGCACTTGCGGGCAGAATACATTCAAAATCGGCCACATCCCTGTAGGCCAGAGATTCACCTACGAAATCCGGTACGAGAGCAATACTCTATCTGTCAGCATCAATGGCCAGGATTTCCAGAAACTCGACACTTTTGACCTTGGTAGCCCTGATAGCTACTTCAAGGCCGGCAACTATAACCAGGGCGATTGTCCTACAGAGGTTCACTTCTTTGGTATTCGCGTTTCTCACTAGAGCGACGTCCGCCATATGTCGGATTTCGGATTGTGTGGGATACTTATTGAGCCGCCAACCGACGAAACTGTTCTTCGTCTGATCCTCTGAAATTGGTCAGGACTACTGGAAAGTATGTCAAGATTGTTGTCATGTGGGATAGCTGGTTAGCAAGGGTTTCAATTCTAGCTATCATCAAGCCTTTGGTATTGTTGGTCCTCCTGTAAACTACAACCAAACATGATTCCCAAACTTGAGTAACCAGAAGAGGACTCTTGAGAGAGCTAATTGTCGCAAGAAGTAGCCCACCAGACCAGTAAGCGTGATCTGGCCGGGTCAGAGAGAGTGATATCTTCCGAATTAACTGACATATCAGATTTACACCTCAGGATTCAAATTTCGCCGAGTCAGGTCGTCTACGGCAGCGACGTCGCAACCCTTATCAATGGTTCATAGAAGATGCATCTCTACATAATCTGTTTAAAGCCATGCTTTGAAGTTGCGTAACCGCCCTACCAAGTTCATATATAACTCAACAGGACTTGGAAATCATCGACATGCCTTTGGGGTTTTCTGGCCTGTGCATCAAACACGTCGCTCTTTCGATCCTCCCCCCCAGTATCTGTCGCATGGGTTAGATGACGTGAACAGCAAAAAGCCCCCCTGATCCCTGCAGCCGCCATCTAGTCGAAACCTTTCCATTTATCACTTGACGACGGCGTCATTTTTAAACCTATGTACTTTGTTTATTGTTACTATCTGGTGATATTATAACAAAACACCAAATGCATATGCGGATGGTGTTTCAGAATAATGAGGTATCATCTCAACGAAAGCACGAGTTGCCATCACGGAAGTTGATATCAGCAGATGCATCGATTTTATAGGCTCTTGAGTTAAAGGTTAACTCTAACATCCATAAGTGGTAGTAGTACTATGTAGGCTACTAAGTTAACCCGACCCCACGGTCCCGGCCTCTTTTAGGATCCTCGGCCTGAACACTATCTAACTCTGCCTATTCTGAATTATTACTAACTTTCCCCAGGGATTATGGTCGCAAGGCTGAAACTTAAAGAAATTGAGGCGCGGCGGTGGATGCAGAAGCGACCAAAGTTCATAGAACTCTATCTAGGGTCCGGAAGGTTGTTGGTTAATCAAAGATTTCCGCTTGCAGCCAAAGCTAGAGTGATGGTTGTCCAATGTTTGCGGCCTTGACGTCCGTATACTGGCCCACACATACTGAGCGAACAGCATGGTAGGACTAATGCGCCATAAAGTCTACCCTGCTCCTGCTCTGTACAACTTAGCTTGTTTAGTTCATCATAGAAGTCAGGCAACCAACCCACATGACAGCATGTGGGGATGAATGCACTTGCTTGGCCTACGCAAGTAGTAAAGATCAGTTATATATTCATATTTCAGAGTCGGCAAAACCTGGGGTTCTTAAGAGGTTCTTGAGAGCCATTTTCCTTCGGCGTATTCTTTTTACCAAACAGCCGACTGCTAGCCTCTGTTTCTTCTGACATGACTATCAAGTTGTGGAATCCTACAGTGCCGAGCAGATTCGGCTTTCGCAGTATCAATACCCCTTGGTTCATTCTTAGCATCACTTTCGTGATCTAATCCATCTGAAGCAGAGATCGTAGTTGAGCGAAGCTTACTGCTACACAAGAGATTGGCAGCATTCAGAAGTCTAGACTCTTCAGGTAGATTTACAGATTATTCTCTGTCCATACAATGGTCCTGGGTCAGTTACCCAGACATCATCAGATACAATAACTTCTAGCACAGGTGCACATGACAGTATCAAGGCATAATTATGACACCCATCACTTTTGTGTTTGGTTCCAGTTGAGTAATGAGACATAAGTAGCACCATAACCTTGCTGCAAAAGCTTTCATGGTATATACTAAGTACTTTGACATGTAGGCCTCTTAGAACTCATGACTGGATATACATTCAAAACTCATGGAAACGCGGCAGACCTTCATGCCAATACCACCACCCTTACCATCACTCATCCAGAATGGGGTGTGCATATAACGAAAGCGTCCGGTGACACCCAAGGATGGGTGAATGTTCCAATGATGATTCTGATATAACTGGATGGGAAGAGACTGAAACTCAGCAAAGTCAAGGTCACATATGCCACAGGGTGGAAACCATATTTGATGCCATTCAAGCCTATATGGGACAAACCAAGATACTCGATAAAAGCGATTTCAGTCTTGTGAGCGAGAAGGTGACCACGGTAGAGTTCGAAGTTCCTGGGTCTCGGCAGATTAAACAAGGATTTGAAATTTCGTTGCTTATCACTATACCCAGTGGGAAAGATGGACATGGACGCTGGGCGACAATTGCTTCTGTCGGAGCCTACCTTTCCCCTGTATAAGCTGCCTAATAACTATATTCATACTTCCCGATCGATAACAACAGTTCATAGCACACAGCAGTACTTATCGAGCTATTCCTACCAACTATTCATGTAGGTTTCTGGCGCTATCTCTTCAGGTCAGCTGATAATCATGTAATGTCGTAGCTAAGGTAGGGTAGAGAGAGCCTGGGAGTTGAAATAGGAGGCTTATTAGAGGCGGGAGAAGACGTATCAAATGCGCAGGAGAAACAGTGGCATTCTCGGCATGACTACCAAACGTCTTGATAGCACCGACACCCTTCATCAAGGCGTAGTTACCTCCTCTAGAGACAGAGTCGCCTCAAGGCAGTTACAAATATCTCCAGATCACTATTGGGAGATGCTTGTATCATCCACGAGTAGAATAAATCCAGCCCGTTTGGTTCTCTAATTGCTGGACAGTCAGCAGGATTAAAGATATTTCCTTCATTATGACTGACATGAAGGGCTTCCCATCCCCAGACCCCAGTTTTGATCAGACATAGCTATTATGTCCAAGATATCACCCACCAATGCAGCCGTTGATGCAGCTTGATGAGAGCTGAAGTTAGGTGAGCAGAGCAGAAATAAAACCTTAATCTTTATTAATATTGATATTAATGACTTACACGATGCCTTGCTCATCACCAGTTCCATAGAGCGTAGCATAGTAGAGGACAACAGAGGCATCTGCATCTAGGTAAGATCTTCGCTGTGAAAACAAGTACAATATCATCACCATCCGCCAGATAAGGTACTTCGAAGGGATTTTGATGTCTACACTGCAGATGACAAATGCGTGGCTGAATGAGCGCCGAGGTTCGTGGAATTAGATGATACGTAGTGGTACAAACCAGTGTATAACCTTGTCAATGATTGCCCCTCTACGCGATTGGGCCATAAAAGCTAAACTTGCCCGCCGGGTCATACTTCTTCTTCAAGGCCCGCAGGCGATCCTGACGCCACTGTTCACTCCCGTACCACTGCTGTGGCGTCTCATCCCCATAGGCATAGTTGACATAGGCGCCAATCTCCTTCAGCCCACTGGCCTGGTAAAGGATCTGACGGAGCTGATTACCCAACTGGGCGGCCTGATTGTCGATCTCTGGACCGGCGGGCGCATAGGTGATGAGCGGGGCGGCAAGGAGGTTCTCATTCCGGAAGGCAAAGGCACTGGATTTGCTGTTGATGGCCCGGACACCCTGCATGGAATAACCCTCGAACATAAAGATGGAGTTGTTGAAAGCCGAGGACCCGCGGGTGGCGGAGGCGAAGATGTCGTACGCCTTCTTCTGGGCAGGGACATCGTATCCTTGGAGGTAGATGGGGAAGCGGGGGTTGACGAGCCCGGCCTTTTGGCATGGCGGGGAGGTCGTGGCAATGCCGGTCCATCCAGCAAGATCAGTGTAGCTTCCTCCGAGAGATTCGGCGGACAGCGGGCCGATGTCGTGGAAGGGCTTTGTGTAGGCTGGGTCGACTGTCTGCACTCCTTCCTGGATGATGTAGAATAGGATGACGGGCTAGAGGCTGTGTGAGAGACAAGGCAACAACTCAGTATGCGCGGATATGGATTGAGAGTATACTTACGTTGTTCGGGTCAGCGGTCGGGATGTTGAGCCAGTACGACCAGTTGATGAGATCCACGGGCTGCGTGCCGTTCTTGAGGAGATGTTCGTTGGCGGCTTGGTAGACGGCCTCGACTTTATCACCACTGAAGATGAGCGTGTCGATTGCCCAGTCGGAGTGCTGGATATCATAGATCTTTGTGGTCACAGAGGTCACAATGCCAAAGTTATGACCCGCACCCTTGAGCGCCCACCAGAGGTCGGACTTTGCGTCGATCGTCCTCAAGCTGCCGTTGGCCAGGACAATGTTTGCGGAGACGAACTGATCTGCAACAAGCCCATGGTGTCCCTGAAGCCATCCGTGCCCACCTCCAAGGGCAGGTCCAAGATAGCTGACGCATTCGCATGTGCCCGTCACAGTCTGCTTTCCCGCGGCCCAAAGCTCGTCGGTGACGGTTTTGGACATGGTGCCGCCTCCGATCTTTGCTGTTTTCGCATCCTTGGAGATTTCCACGCTGCTCAACTGATTCAGGTAGATCTCGATGCCATGGTCCATCTTGCCGAGGGTGGTAATAGCTCCATGCACGCCATTGTACGCCAGGAAGGGCAAGTTCTTCTTGTTGGCGAATTTCACCTAAAATCACCCCAATTAGCAAACTATACCCATTGCCGATGGAAACCTCGGTATAGAAGCACAAAAAAGAGAAAGCAGCAGGGGCGAAAGGACAGCTCACCGTCTCAACAACATCGTTCTCCGTCCCAGGAACCACGACAACATTAACTTTGGGGGCCTCCAGAACAGACCACCGTGTGGTCGCCTGTTCAAACTCAGCCGACCCTGGGAAATAGATCTTGCCGGTGCTCGAGAGCTTCGCTCCCAGCTCCTTCAAGTCGGCATCTCCGCGCGGGCAAATGCCCCCGAGCCCATCGCGGGCAACGGGCACGGTTAGGCAGGTTGCGGTTATAGCCCAGGCAGCCACCGCTGCGAGGGCCTCTATCTTGACATGCATTGGACTGGCAGGGGAAAAAAGAAAGTTTAGATGAATGATGAGCGAGGGCCAAAAAATGAGAAGAATTTCAGATAAACAAGGTGCACGACTGATTGGCCTCGATCGAGCAGCGATGTGACGTTAAGTACAGGGGCATGTCGCACTTTAAACCTTCGTAGGGATGCAGTACATCCTTGGCACATCCTGGTGGCATGAGGGCGCAGGCACCAATTAATAACGCTTCATCTATTCCGCGCAACGGATTGGTACAACTATGTTAAACCCTGTCATATCCCTGCTAGCCTGATGCTAGATCTTGAACAACCTAACGATATCGGGTATCGCGATAGACTGGATGCTGGCTACTCATCCGTCTATCGCCGACACCCCTGCACTTCTCTTGGCTTTGGATGAACTCGGCAATGACCACGAGCCACAAGGGCTGGGCAGAAGTTTATTCATGACCGGGATACTACGATGAGCTAAACATACTTTTTCTATTTTTTTTAACTCTTTTTTGCTTGTTTTATACATAGGGGAGGCTAGATCCAATGTTGTCACTCTGCGTTCTTGTTAACCCGCCAGTTCGCCATGCTGACCCCAAGGCTTCTTTCCTTCAATGTCGACCAGTTCTGCAGCAGACGACGCTGCTCAAGCAGCCTTGCACGAGTCCACGGTTGAATCATGGACGCTCTATGCAATTGGCGTTACTGTGACGCTGATCCGAACGTATTCCCGGGTGAGAGCCGCGGGATTCAGACACTTACAAGCCGAAGACTTCCTTGTGTGGGTTGCAATTGTTCGTGGCTCACTCATGAATGTATAAATACTTCATTACCTTGCTAATGCCTAAGTCTGAGCAGCTATTCTACACGGCGCAGACGGCTCTTGCGTACAGCGTGGGCCATGACGCGCATGGCCTCGCGAATAATGGCATGACCGACGCTCAACGGGCTGCCTTGTCCCATGATGATCCAGAATACCGATTGAGGTGTGTCTAAAATTGGCGACAGGAGAAATGCGATGTTATGAGGGACGATCTCACACGTATTCAGGGTAATCGGCTCGAAAATTCAAGTCGCTGGTTGGACTACATATTCGGTGTTGATCTGGTCGCTCAAGCTGTCCATGTTGGCATTCTATCTTCGACTTACAGTAAGCCTTTCAAAGTCCATTCTGATCACCCTTGCTCACTGCGCTCGACAGGAGGGCCTTGGCAAGCGTTATCGCAACCCCATCTATGTTGGGTTTGCTCTTGTCGTCGGAACCTTTCTCGTCAGCGTAATCACGATCTTCGCGGCATGCCGGCCGTTCCACAAGTACTGGCAGATCAAACCAGATCCTGGCAGTAAGTCTTTCGCCTGATTGTGGACTCGTCCGACCAATCCCTCTCTGACAAATCCACTCGCAGACGTCTGCCAGGCTGCCGTCTCCAAGCCTATCATCTGGGCCACCTTTGCCTCCAATGTTTCAACTGATATCTATCTCATCTTGATCCCCATTCCCATGCTCTGGAAATCCAGACTGAAGCTCTTGAAAAAGGTGGCGGCGACCATCGTATTTAGCGCTGGTTTGTTCGTTCTTGTGTGTGCTATCCTTAAGAGTGTCTTTGTCCTAGTGGTGAGTCGTGATGTCACCTTGCCACCCCCGGCCGCGAGCTAACATCCCTAGGACCCCGTCAATGGCGCACAGCTCGCCGGCGCATGGGGAACCCGGGAGACCTTCGTCGCAGTGGTGACAACGAATCTGCCCATGGTGTTCCACCTTTTCAAATCCTGGCTCTCCCGACTATTCGGCAGCGCGTTCGGCAGCTCGCAGAAGACATACAAGTCGCCGATTGGCTTTCAGACAATCGGCGGTGGTGCTGGTGAATCCTCCACGCGGAATCGTCGAGGTCCTCAGACCGTTCATCCTATTACCGCCAACTTGACATTCAGCGAGAGTGAGGAACGGATGATTGACGATGTTAAGTTGAACAACCTGGACGCATTTGGCTCACCCGGCACTGGCAGCGAACGTCGTTCAGGCGGCATTGTAGTCTCCAATCAGGTTGAGATCACCCATGAGGATAGAAGCAGCCCTCTCAGTGGGCATGAGCAGCGCCGTAGGGGGGATTGGTAGCCAAAGTCTTTACTCCGTACAATAGAGGATATCAATATAGCCTTGCATTTCAATCAGCAAAGCTATCTCACTCGTTATCGGCGCTTGGGCTGATCGACTAACATCCCATCCTTTATCGCAATGGGTCTGTTCTTTCCACAGGCTGGCTTGCCTTGACGATAACTTCGTCATGTCGGATTGACCAGTAAGATACAAGTTAGAATCCCCCTGTGGTCCTTTCAGCAACCTTTGTTGTTTATTACTCATTGCATCTGACGGTGGACTATCCTGGCCTGCCATTTCTTCGTCGTTCCGTTCCACTATCAGGGGATGTCAACACATAGGACAGTTCTTCACCAGGAGAACAGAGTGAAACTGTACCCAGTAATGCATCGTCATCGCCTGTAGTTTGCCCGGGCAAATCCATGCTCCCACCGTCGCAAGGGGCGGCTTTCCGAGACACTGGTCATTGCATTCGCTAATGTATTCAGTGTTGATGGCCAGCCCTACAGCTTGGGACTTTGGGACACTTGGAACGATGATGAAAGGAACCGGATTCGCCGACTTTCGTATCCCAATACCGACATCTTTCTCATTTGCTTCTCTGTCGTCAACCGACAGTCCTTCTCCAGCGTGGAATACTACTGGTGTGATGAACTGCGGAGTTACTGTTCTGGGGTTCCATGGCTGCTAGTTGGGACCCAGATCGACGCAAGGGACGGCAATGCTGCTTCACAAGTCAAGAAAGACAGGATAAGACGTGTAACGCGTAGAGAGGGTGAGAAGATGGCTGGGAAATTAGGAGCTGCTAAATACATTGAGTGCTCTGTTCAGAATCAAATCAATGTTAAGGAGCTCTTTTAAGAGGTACGCAGTTCTCAATCATGTTGACGCATCCAACTCATTGTTAAAGCATGCATGAACTGATAATACTTGCCTTGGACCAGGCAATCCATGTTTCCCAAGAGCCAGTGACTCCTGCAAAGGAAAAGAGCAAATGCGTGATAGTCTAAAGGATATACTTCTGCAAGGGAAGAGCCGGATCGTCAAACTCTTGTTAGTCCCATTTGTTCAATAATTTCACTGTTACTTTACCACCAATCTCATGCAACCTTCATTCAATCCCATTTCTCCTGCGCAATCCGCCAAAAGGTGCGCCACCCGGGACACCATAGACCCAGCCTGACAACTGCAACGTCCCCAGCAGCAAGAAATCCTTTGACAGATTAAATGTCGTTGTTTCCACCAGAGATACATTTATCAAAAGGCAGGCCGACAGCACAGTACGCGTTCTCGTTAAAGCTGCTGACCGAGCCCAGCTTCAACCATCCATCCCAGGTGCCGCCGTGATTCAGACGCAAGCACTGGGTGCCGCAGATTTTCCCATTCTCCGCGTTCTGGATGTACTTCGCAACAGCATCTTGAATAGTAGCTTGCTGGGCCGCCGTATCGCAGTGCTGGCCAGTAGCAGAGAACGACCACTTGACATTATCAAAGGTGCCAGTCATATGTCGACAACTGTGCTGCTGATCCGAAAGGCCCTTGATCACGCCTGCAAGTCCCGGGGAATAGTCGATAACGTGGCTCAGGATGCCCAGACATGCTACCGTGACGAGGACAGCCTGACCCACATTGCTGGGGGTGCGCTTGTCAAGGGCTCGTCTTTGATGCCGGGCGAAGGCAAGGAAGGCGCAAATTTCGAGATTGGCACGAAGTAGGTGATTAGGAACACAGTCTTCGCGAGTAACGTAGTAATGGAGGGCGTTGAGAACGATAAGAGTGTATAGGAGGATCGGGGGAAGAGTTCGGATGCAAAAGATATGGAAGTCCTGGAAGCTAGGCATTTGGGGAGAAGATTTTGCTGCTTTCAATGTGAGGAATTCTGAATGTGTTTCGTTTTAAGATGCGAGAAGCTCTGAGTTGGTGATGAGATGGTCCACCGGTGCACTAGTCATTCGCTGAAGTTTGAGTGGATCAGAGTCGACTGCTGAAAAGAGAATAAGAGTGTCTTGAGTATTCGATGTCCCTACTGAGTATTTAATATCCTTAGAGAGGTATATGCTGTTTAATATTTGTGGAGGTAGTGGCAGTAGGTAATACGTGCGGTGAACAGTAAAAAAAGTGATGTGTCCTTTTTGTATAAATAGTCCGCCATAAAGATAGACCGTCGACTTTTGTCTCACTCTTAGTCTGTCCAGGCCTCCAGGGGTGAATCTAGGGCGGACACTGGTATCTTGTTTCCTACTTTTACTACGCCGTATATAGTTCTCTGGACAGACTGAAAATGTCTAATTAAGCCTCGTCTAATATCCATTAGCCACCCTGCCATGGGTTCTTTGAGAAAATGCTCGGCTCATTATAACTCAAACTGTGGAGGCTACCAAGATTCAGATGCCAACTCCAATGTTTCTCCTGCCCAGGCACCCCCTCGTTAATACCACGACCAGTAGAGGTACCTCCACTGAGACTGATAATCCGATACGAATGTAAGAGAAAGTATCTCCTTCTCAGTCGAGTGATTGGCATCCTTGGGTGGTGATCATGGCTATCATCTAGAGGCATTTCACTTTGATCTTTTATTAGAAAAACTGCTTATTGCTTTTATTTTTACACTCCAGGGCAGCACTAGACTTATGTGCTCCTGAACAGGTTTGTGATCATCACTTCACAAAGTGTAATACTGACTTCTTCGGGCTAGTCACTTTTCCCAGCTTCTTCACACTGGGGACTATGGGATTAAGCGGAATGCAATGGTCACCATGATTAACCCGTCAAACAGCAGATAGAAGAAGACAGCGGCGAGGCATGCGGTCTACCGATAATCAGGGCTCTGCCACGTAGTGGCGTACACCTCCCCGATGCCCATGGCACCAAATATCCTTCTCATGTCGCATCCCAACTGTCAGTCTAGGTAGGTCCATGATGTCCAAGGCGACAATGGGATAGAATTCTTTTAAAAGGCTCTCAACTGCGACATTGAAGTAGCCTTTGAAATCCCGACCAAAAACATCTTCATCTTCTTCTCCAGGCGTGAGCTCAGATCGTGGATAATGAGCAGCCCTCGAGACCGCAACCACAAAGGGGAGCTGCTCCCGATCTCTCAAGGGCGCCGACGAGGGAAGTGGTGAGTTGAAGACCGACTCCAGAGCCGCAGGAGTGACCATAAGACAGGCCGTGGTGGCAAGTCCACACGGAAGCTCCCTCCACATCTCGTCGAAGCGCCTTTGATGGTAATCACATTCCTGTCAGCTGAAATACTCTGACCAGAAAGAAAGACTAGCTCTTACCGAGCAACCTCAACCGGCGACGCGCAGTCCAATGAGGGATCCTCCACCCAACGAAACCGCAGCAATTCAATAGCCCGATCTGACTTGGGATGAAACCCGCGCTCGTCCGCATAATCATCCTCAATGATCTGGTCCCAGCGCCGGCGATATTCGGCCCACCGGGCATCATGCTCGGGCCCGTACGGTGTAGCGCGGAATATCACAAACCCCCATTCCGACCATCCACCTTGGTGGAATTTGAAGACATTCTTCAGGGTGTCGATGTAGGGAGCCCAGATTTCGCGATCTGCAAGTTTCTGCTCGTCTGTTTTGGTGGCTTCTTCCGCCAGCCGTTGGGCCTCTAGGGCCTCCCTGACTCCCTTGTGCACTTTATCTGCGAAAGCCTGGTATAGGCCTGCCTCCTTGAGGCCGTTCAACAGGGTGGTGTGTTGTTCCTCGGTGAGAGTCTCGAAATCCTCGGCCGCGCAGTTCATCACGCGCTCGTAGTCCCAGCCAGGAGGATAGAATGACATGGTTAAGATGCCTTGTCAAGTCGTGGTTGAGAGACTGTCGGACTGAGCGATATCGGATTGACGGAGGGGCAAATCCAGTGCGGACACTAGAGTCAATCCAGTCAAGACTCAAGGCGCTATTGGGCGATAATCAAGAGTCAAGACTCCAGAGTCATCCTCTAGATGCCGAATATCTTTATCAATGCTTCATCTCAAACAACCACCCATCATAAATTTACTCATCTTCAGAGGGCAGCTCATCCAATGGCCAAAGCAGAGCAAATGATGCAGAGGGATTGGGGACGGAGAATGTAAGTCCTAAATATTGATTTACTAGTTATTCTCAAAGCAAGGGAATCTTTTCTCTGGCTGTCTCTTTAATATCTGTATCCAAGAGGAGTACTATACTCCGCATTCTCTGGGGGAAAATTGCCTGATTCGAGTGAGGGGACAAACCCCGCATACCCTATCCGTAAAGAGGGATAAATGCCCGTCGATAATTTGCTACATGGTCTCTGCTATCCACACCTCTATACAGAATAGCAGTCTGAGAACGCGTTTCTGCATACGAATAGCAGGAAGAACAGCATGTCAGCCCCGCACGCAGCCACAACAGCTTATAAAAGCTCAATGCTCCCAACCAGCACTGCCCCAAGACAATCCTCACTCTTCTCAGCTCAATAATCGAGTCTTCCGCCACCATCACAAACACAACATGACTGTCACAGCACCCAAAAAGCTCAAAGTCGCCATTGCTGGCCTGGGCCGGATGGGCGCCCGACACGCCCACCATTTCTACGCCTTGACCCCCCGCGCCGAGGTCATAGCCGTCTCCACGCCCAAGCAGGAGGAACTCGACTGGGCAGCTACCAACATCGAAGGGGCAAGACGGTACCTCAGCTACGATGAGATGCTAGACAGTGAGAAAGATCTCCAGGCTGTGGTGATTGCCTCGGCGACAAGCGTGCATGCCGAACAGGCGATCAAGGCGATCGAACGCGGTCTGCATGTTCTCTGCGAAAAGCCGTTGAGTATCAGTGTTGAGCAGGTAATGCATCCCCCTTTCAGCACTTGAAGAGGTCACTTGAGTTGATGGCGGTTGATCGGATGTATAGTCCCAAGCCGTCGTCGACGCGTACAACAAGTCCAAGAAGAGGTACCCCTCGCAAAAGGTCATCTGCGGTTTCTCCCGCCGCTTCGATGCCTCCTACCGTGACGCCTTCCAGAAGGTTCAAGAGGGCCTGATCGGTCGGCCTAGTGTGTTCCGCTCGCAAACATGCGACAAGCTCGACCCCACTGGCTTCTTTGTCGAGTATGCGCAGTTCTCCGGGGGAATCTTCGTCGAGGACTCGGTGGTCAAGTCCGTTTCTGCGGTGGGTATCACGGCTGTATCGCCGGAGCTGAGAAAGTATAATGATCGGGATAATGCGTTTGGGATACTGGAGTTCTATGATGGGAAGATCGCGCAGTTGTTCTGCAGTCGGATGATGGCTGCGGGACAGGAGGATAGTAAGTTCTTTTCTTGGCCCTCGACTCGAATCTCTGAACTTTACGAGGCAGTATCTGACCCGGGATAGGTACCGAAATCACCGGCACCACGGGCAAGCTCGCGGTCAATACTCAGCCTGCCCTGAATCTCGTCAACATCTTCGAGCCGACGGGTATCCGACGAGAGATTCCCCCACACTATTACGGTCGCTTCCGGGATGCATTCATCACAGAAGCAAACGAGTTCACAGCCTGCTGTCTGGATGATACCGAGCCGCCAATGAAGCTCGAGGGAGCGGTTTCGGCCGTGAGGATAGGGGCCGCATTGCAGGAGAGTCTCATCACTAGGAAGAAGATTGAGTTTGACGAGCAGGGGCAGCGAATTTAATGCATTTGATGGCTTGTAGTCAGTTTCAGGTACACGTCGCTTGATAGAACACACGAAACTTTAGTCTCATTTAGAGTGGACCAAGAGGCCAAGCTGCCTTCATCGTAGCATTGAAGCCAAGAAGAACAGCACCGATGAGTCAAAGGGATCCTGGGTTTATGGATCTCACTATTTGTCTTGTGTATCGTCATTGGTGGGATGCCGATGGAGCTCGTATTCGCCCAATATAGTGTTGCCTGGATTCATCAACGACAATCTCATCAAGTAGTTATGCTTATCTCGACGCCTTCATCAATCCATCGGTATCATCGTCACATTCACGGGGAACTTGGTTTGATCTCTAGTATATGCTCAATGGATATCCAAGCGCAAGGGGAGTCCAGGTCTTCCGCGTTGCGTCTTCCAGACCTCGAGGCTTCAAATAAGGCCAAGTTCCCATCTCGGCAGAAGTTACAAATACAATCGGAAGAACAAGGAAAAATCATGACTAATCAGAGACACAAACGACCGCATACCAAGTCTCGCTGGGGTTGCTACAACTGCAGAGCGAGGAGGGTGAAGGTACGTTTGATCCACAGAGTTCGGGAACGATGTTCATGTAATGAGTGCAGTGTCAAGAAACCAAGCCGGCATGCGAGAACTGCATGTACCGAGACATGGAATGTGTATATCCATCCAAAGTCCGGGAATGGGTTGGTGCAGGGAAGCAAACGGCCTCGCGACGGGATGCTTTGGTGGTATCTTCACAGGTTGGCAAGCAGGTGTCGCTCTCTCAAGGACTCTCTGTCAGTCCATTCAGTGGTGATGACCTGCGATACTTCCATCATTTCCTCGTCGTTGCGCGCCCCCATCTGCCCTTCGGGAGCGAGGGTACATGGACGACCGAAGTACCCAGATATGCGCATGAGGTGATTATCTTGCCGAGGTCTCATGAGCTCATAACTGATGCTTCCACGGTAGTATCCCCATCTGATGCACGCGATCCTCTCCCTAGGAGCTACTCACTACTCCCTCGTCTCGCCTAATGGATCGGAATACTCCCCTACGGCGATCGTCCACAGAGGAAAGGCACTGAAAGCGTTATCCGCGGCGATAGCAGAAGGGCCAGAATGCACAAAAACCGACATGGACGTCATATTGGCCACATGCTATGCCCTTGTATTCCAAGCATATCACATGAACGACGGCCTAGTCGACTTCGCCGTGATGGTCCGCGGCTGTGGACTCATCACCTACTGCATCCTTGACAAATACAAAACAAGCCAGCTATTCCGTCTCCAGACAGAGGATGAGGCTCTCGAGATGGTCTCGGGACTTGCCGACGAACCCGTCAGCAGTCCCCTCATGATCAACAGCCTTCTCGTCGCAATAGACATGGTACAACCGCTCCTGCAAAGCACCACACATCACCACTTCTTTCGAGCGTTGCGGGAGACACTTGCAGCCCTAGGAGTCTCCAACAGGACAGCGTTTATCAACCTCACCAAGATCTATGCCGTGTGGTACCAAGCCGAGAACCGAGAATTTCTCACGTTCATCGCGCCCGTGAACCACGTCTCGCGTGCGTTGTTCATGTATTTCCTTGCCATAGAGCTCATGATGCAGCCGGTTTATGGCAGGCTGCGTGAGCTGAGCGGCACCACGTTCCTGACAACTGACACGGTCGTACATCAGTGGGCTGATAGCATATACCGCGAGCTGCCAGCTTCGATACGCGAATTGGTAAAGTTACCGATGCAGATCATAGCTGCAGATGGAAACTCTACGAGGAGTGGCGGCGGTACGCGGTCTGAAGGTGCATTCCGCAATCTGCATGCTGAATTCTTTGACATGGAGACGAGTGCGTGGCTAGGGTGCGTAAACCCTGCAGGTGTTTCGGCAGTAGAATGAACTCCGTTGATGCAGCAGTATTGAGCAGTACATGTCATCTAGTAACAGCTTCTAAACAAACAACACAATAATCAGTCGAATATCATAGACATCATTGCATAGTTGCCCTCCATATGAACCCAAGGCATGAGATCTACAGTCAGAGTCCTACACCATGCCTTCAAGCTAGAGATTGCTCTTCGGTGTCTCGTCGTCTGCCAGACTTGCGCAGGGAATATGTTTGCCCCTCCTCCAGCCGAGGCATTGTCAACCATCGTGCCGGGTGGAACCAGCCCAAGACCATCAAGGCGACGAGCATGGGAACAGCCTCGAGCACATACAACGGCCATTCATGCGTAAACGTGTACGAATCGATGCCAAACGCAAACTCAAAGATTCGATAGATAGAGCGGACCTTTGACCGTCAGCATGTGCACCATACCAAAATGGCCTTGCCTGGCTAGCATTAAACCCAGCACTCACCATGATGAAGAACCCAGCAATATAAATCCCCACCATCACCATCCTAACACCATGCAGCAGCTGCTCACCCTCCACCACCGCCCTCCAATGAAACCAGCCCACAATAACCAGGTACACGGCAAACGTAACAACCTGCAACACCAACCCCCCAATCAACACCCCAATCCCCGCATCCTTCGTCGACCCTTCCCAGTTCCCCGAGGACGCAATCCCACTCCCCGATCCCTGCGTGAGTACACTGACAATGTCCAACGTCACAAAGATCCGCGGTAGCCATCTCACCGGAAACCCACCCAGGAAGCTCGCGGGTTTCTTGCTGCTCCCGTCCGCGGAGCTGGTCTCCAGCTTCCCAAGGAGCATGTAGAGACTCGCGCAGACGAAGACCGGTGCGATGACGATGATGGTATTGGAGACGGCGTACAGGCCGATATCCTCTGGTTTCCGGATGCTGGCGCATCGGAGCGCGTACCCTGCTACTTCGAGCGCGGCGCCGATGACGGCGGGGATGAAGTAGTTGGTCCGTGGAGATTGCGCTTTCCGCGGGAGGATGAATGTCATGTACGACTGATAGATGAGTGGGATGATGTAGATGATTGTGAAGAGGATGGATGCGCCGAGGGAGGGATCGTAGAAGTAGATTTTGTTTCCCTTGTCCGAGGCCATGGCGATACGGGGTTTTCCTTGTGACTGAGAGAAGACGATGAAGCTGAAATAATTGACAATCTCGTAAGAGCCCTGCCCTGAGCTGGATTTTATTTCTTGAAGCGTTTATGGACATGGAATTGAGGCAAATATATGTAGCGAAATCTTCCAGCCATTTCACCTGGTTCCGGTCTAATAACAAACGGCATACTCAATGCTGCTGCCTTGGGACATCCAATTCAAGTCGTTCAATACACGTACTCGCATTCGCTCTCATTCTTGAGATTTCACCCCCGTTCAGGGCGATTCCGCTCCCTACTGCGCTGGATTCCTTCATCCGCGACAAGGCGGAGCGCAGAAAACACGAGGGATGCGAAAAACTGTAATATACAGTAACAAGATCAGCCTAGCTGTATTGCTTAGCAAGTAATCATTGGCTGTAGAGGAATAAGCTCATGCAGCTATGCCAAATCAAGCTCGACTTATATCTTGGCATACCGTCAGGGCTCTGGCCTATATTTACCTACTCTTGGCATAGAGCCAATGTAGCAGTCGAGTCAGGCTGGCTTGTGATTAGGCAGTAATGTTTTCTTGCCTCGCCTAGCATACTGGTGTGTCGATTGATAGATGGTTCCAAGCAAGTCAGGCCTGGGCCTCATGAAGCGCACAAAGTGGACCTTAATGTCATGTCTCTTACTGTCTTACCTGTCTGTAGAACAGAGCAGTATGCTGCTAGTTGTGGACAATATGCCGAAGAAAAGACTCAGCAAGTGCTTATAGATGGCTAGGCCATCTAGGAAAAATGAGTGAGGATATCTGCTAAGTGGGACATGGGAGTAGGCCGAGGAAGCGAACTATAGATGGCCTAAGCCATCTCGAAGGCAAGCTTTGTTCGGTCTTCTTAAGATGCGGCGTAAGAGTCTCGGCTAGAATTGGTGTTCTTGCGGCAGTTATCCCTCTCCACTGTCGTCCCGTTTGCCTGATGGAAAAGTCAGGAAATATCCCCGAAGTGCTTGGATGGAGTCAAACTCGCAGGCTGCATGTGTTGCCTCGGCGCGAAGCACCACCTTCATTGTCAATTCTCATTGATCGATAAAGGGGTCAATCAATGGTTTCTAGCTATCCTCGTCGTTGATGTTTCAATTCGTTGGTTTGACGCATTTATCTGTTCGTCATCGCTGCCAGTGACAGGTGGATTTGCGATCAACCTGGAGAGAAGTGGAAACAAGACAACAAAATATCCGAACTCAGCTATTCTCCCAGTACCATGGGCGATTTGCTTCTTGGAGGCAAGCGCACCGCAATCATGTGTTGATTTGACCTTCATGTGTCTTGATGATTACCATGTCACTCATCTGACCAGTTTAATCATCTTCACGTCTTTATCGTCGATCAAGGGGCCCTAGAAGGACCTTCCTGCCTCCTGCGTAGAGGAGCGAGTGTTGCTAGAAGAGAAATGCCGTGATTTTTGCATGGTGACGAGGAAAGTAGACTGTGTGTTTATATTCCTTGCCGAGGATTATGTTTACAAAGAGTACTTGATAGCCACACACATTGCAGTAACAAGATAACGATACTACGGTGAGCTCCTTTACTGTTTTATCTATGCCAATAGAAGGCTGCATGGTTGACTGTTTTCAGGCATGGTGCATAGCTGACAACTGCTCATCCAATTCCAGGACTAGATAGATAACCGGTTAGCAGAACAGATTGCCGGTCGAAGAACATCATGCAGGAACTAATTTCCATGATAACCTGTTTCGTCCGAGGTGGTGCACCAAGGCTAAATCTGATCGGGGTCGCCGTAATTTTCAAAACACGAATGCAAATCCTACTCAGAGGGGATGGGCTCAAAGTGTAAACTCCTACTGCAGAACCAGGAAAAGAGCGATTGCCAGGTATCCATTCTTTCCAGTCGATCCGGTAGGGTCTGAATTTCTCTATGATTGTTAATAACCATGGGTTCCTGTAACCACTCTTCTAAGCAACCGCGTCCTTTTTTTCTGTACATTGCAGTTTTCCATAGCAGTCAGTCATGGGGCTTGATTATCTATTTGTGTGAGTATCTCGAGATTTGCCAGTTGCAATCAATTGATACTGACAGACATCTCCATATCAGACATGTCAAATTCAACCTTCCACCGGCACTGGTGATGACCGGTCTGTACTGGCCATTCTTCACCCGACTAGACTTTTGCAGGATTACCTTCTTAATATCGGTGTGTCCTTCACTGGGGACATTCGAATGATATCTGGGAGTAACTGACTTGAACAGGTTGCGCTCATAGCCACCACTCCATGGGACTCGTATCTCATCCGTCACAATGTCTGGACCTACCCGTCTACCGCAGTAATAGGAAAGACAATATTCTCCGTCCCGGTTGAGGAAGTCTTCTTCTTTATCATTCAGACCTACAATACCAGCCTGCTTTATGTGATCCTGACCAAGCGCTTCGTCCTGCCAATGTACCTGCGAGAGGCGGGCACCAAGTTTTCGATCCGGGTGCGCAATTCAGGCATGCTCGTCTTGGGTGTGATGCTCGGTCTCGGTATGGCGTGTACGTGGTTGCAGGGGAGATACACCTATCTCGGTTTGATCCTGACTTGGGTTATGCCCGTTGTGATGCTTCAATGGCGAGTCTCGTTCACGTTGGCCGCTTACACCGACTGACGGGATTCAGGGTCATCGCATATCAGTTTATGGTTGCACTGCCTCGGAGAGAGATCCTGCTGTCCATCGGTATCCCTACATTGTACCTGTGGTATGTGGATCGGTTGTCACTGCAGCGTGGGACATGGGTCATTGAGAGCGGCACAAAGCTCGGAATTCAACTATGGGATCACCTCGACGTAGAGTATGTATCACAATTCTCCCCATTATCGGCATCACTGACCACTGGCCTGCACAGGGAGGCGCTCTTCTTCCTCCTCACAAACACCATGATCGTTCTGGGCCTTGTGGCGGTCGACCATGCCGTTGCAATTGCGCAGTACGAGATTGCCAGTGGATCTACGTCGTCGAGCGAAATGCCGTCGTTTCAGAAACTGTTCTCCATGTACATGATTGACAGACGCATGGAGCACGACGAGCGTTTTCTGGAGTCCCTGGCCGATGCTGTGCAGCGCGTCGCGTCTCGCAGCCAGAGTATGTACATGGGCAGCGCCATGTTCCAGGGTCAATTGCGGATTGACCTGATCTTCCTGTATGTGTTGCCTGCATTCCTGCATCGTGCAATGTGCTCATGACAACCAGGTACTCCTTCTGTCGCATCATCGACGACCTGGTCGACGAAGCGCCAGACCGGGAGACTGCCCGTCGCTCCATCCAAGAGTGTTCGCGTCTGCTCCATCTCCGCTTCAACCAGGTCTCCCTATCCGACAAAGAACCAGCATCCACGGGATCGCTGGTCTCCTCCATCGAGCTGCTACCTGTCTCGCGCCTCTCCATCCAACCGCTCCTCGGTCTCCTCCAAGGCATGCGAACCGATCTCACCTTCGACAGCGACAAGAACGTCCACCCGATCGCGACCGAAGCCGACCTCGAGACCTACGCCTACCACGTCGCCGGCACCGTCGCCGCCTCCGTTTTCGAACTGATCTTCAGCCACTACGGCTACCAATCCGGCACCGATCCCGCATCCAGTCGCCAGATCATCGCCGCCGGCGAGCGCATGGGCCAGGCCCTGCAATACGTCAACATCGCCCGCGACGTCGACCGCGACGCGCAGATCGGCCGCGTCTACCTCCCCACAACCTGGCTAGGCGAATTCGGCCTGACCCCCGCAGATGTTCTCGCCGACCCGACGAACCCCGCCCTCGATCACCTGAAGCGCCGGCTGCTAGATAAAGCCGACGACTACTACCGCGACACGGTGGATGCGATCGACCGGCTGCCGAACGAGGTCCGGGGTCCGATCAAGACCACGCTGCAGAGCTACATGGGGATCGGGCGCGCTATCCGCGAGGGGCGATACAGACACCGGGGGAAGAAGCTCAAGGTCCCTCTGTGGAGGCGCCTGGTGATTGCTTATTCGGCTATGTCGTGAGGACTCCGTTGTCAGGCTTTGCGATAGATAGATAGATAGCATTGTATGCTTGTCATGTTAGGCTGTGCAATCAGACTTCCATTGCATAGTAGCTTCATCGATCGATCTATGACTCCAATTCTCTGTTGATATGATTGTTATCGCAAGACGCGACAATGACGTATTCGCGCGGGAACGCCCTTGATGGCGCGACTGATTTCTGGTTCGAGTGCACAACCGAGAGTCAATCTCAGCGATCGCGCAGTGCCAATGGACGATCGGGATCGAGGTGGTGGAATATAGACATTGTAGTGCACGTAATTTTCAATCGTTGAGGCGCAGTCATGACGTATTGACCGATTGCACCGATCTTGAGGTCGATCACTGCGTAGACACATTCGATCGCCAATGAACTCTGTGTATTTAGCTGTCCATCTCGATCTTCATCTTTGTACTGTATCCACGACCCACGTGCTGATTCCACTTGGGTCTCTCACGCCTCCAAACCCCGATCATACCGATCTCCATTCCCCAATCCCCAGCATATTTGGCATGGACAACCATGCCACCACAGCTGTAGCTCGATCTGCTGCCCTTATACTATACGACCATAGACTACTCCCGTCGAGGATCAGACAAATGCATAGGTTGTTCTGGATGGAGAGAAAGTCTTCCCGTCCCCGAATGAACTCTGGATTGCACAGGTCTAGACCACCAGTGCTGACTCGGTGAGCTGTCGGCGTAAACCTGGTTTTGATATTCGAAAACTTTATTAGCAGTGTAGGATGCAATGCCTCGAACCCTTGCGCTGGTTGGATCATATACAGATCTTCGAGCGTGCAAGGCACAGTACTAGATCAAGGGTTGGGTTTGGAATAAGACTTGCTAGAACTACCTTTTTGGATCGATTGGACTTTTCGTCTATATGATAATATGACTATGGGGCGCATAAAATACCCATTGATCAAGTTGATGTGCTGGATGCTGCAAGCGGCAGGTTGTAGAGATTGGGTAGAGATTGGAACCACCAGGCCGTAATTTATAATTCCATTCTGCAGATGTTGAAATTTGCAATCAAGAGCTACCTACAGCCATTTCCACTTTCAGTTGATCGATTGCAACTAGCTGCGCTGGAATTATCTGCTTGCATGCGATGCTCGTTCTGATAAAATGTCAGGGACCCATCTTCTCAGCTTTCTTTCTCTTCCTCGGAGTGAGAGTGCGTGGATTAACGCGAGACTGGAATATAACTATTGATCTGGACTGTCAGAAATATCCAGACTCTCCATAGCGGCCGGAAATATGCCCCCCTCCGTCATTGTCATCGGTTGGTAGCAGTCCGATATCCATATGGCCATCACTGAATTCTCTAGGCGCCGGCGCAGGAGGCATCACCACCGCCGCCCACCTCGCAAAGCACGGCTTCAAAGTCACCGTCGTCGAAAAGTGCAGCGATGTCGGGGGCCGGTGTTCCCTCATTTACAACAATGGCTACGTCTGTCCATGCGATTCGCCTCGCAGTGAGAAGCAAAGTTAACAGCTGGTAGAGATTCGACCAAGGCCCCTCCCTCCTCCTGATGCCCGAAGTCTTCATCAAAACCTTCCACGATCTCGGCACATGCCTCGAGGCCGAGGGCGTCAACCTCCTCAAATGCGCCCCCAACTACCGCATCTGGTTCTCCGACGGCGACAGCTTCCAGCAGTCCACCGACCTGGCGCAGATGAAATCCGAGATCGAGCGCTACGAGGGCAAGGAGGGGTTCCTGCGCTTCCTGGCGTTCATGCAGGAGGCCGGGAGACACTACGAGTCCTCGCTGACGCATGTGCTGCGGAAGAATTTCCCCGGCTTTGCGAGTATGCTGCGGCCGGAGTTGCTGGCTGCGTTCCTGCGGATGCATCCGTTTGAGAGTATCTGGGCCCGAGTGAGTCGGTACTTCGAGTCCGATAAGCTGCGGCGGGTGTTTACCTTTGCGAGTATGTATCTGGGGATGAATCCGTTTGAGGCGCCGGGGACGTATTCGCTGCTGCAGTATTCGGAGGTGGCGGATGGGATTTGGTATCCTGAGGGGGGGTTTCAGAAGGTCTGCTGCATCCGTCTAGGATTTACAACAGTTGGCTGACCTCTCAGGTCCTGGCAGCATTAGCGACGGTAGGTAAACGTTTAGGCGTCGACTACCGGCTCAACTCGCCCGTCGATAAAGTCCTGCTGTCAGAAAGACAAGACAGAGTAACAGGCGTCCGACTCGCCTCGGGAGAGGAGCTCCACGCCGATATCGTCGTCGTCAACGCGGACCTCATCTACGCCTACAACAACCTCCTCCCGCAGACATCCTACGCCCGCAGTCTCCAGAAACGCCCCGCCTCATGCAGCAGCATCTCCTTCTTCTGGTCGTTCGACCGCATCATCCCGGAACTACAGCAGCACAACATCTTTCTCGCAGACGAGTACCAAGAGAGCTTCGACGCGATCTTCAAGCGCCAGGAGTTACCCAAGGATCCATCCTTCTACGTCAACGTGCCGAGTCGGCTGGATCCCACGGCGGCACCGGAGGGCAAAGACTCGGTGATCGTGCTGGTGCCCATTGGCCATTTGACGCAGGGCCCTGCCTCGGCTCTGAGCACCAGCCCCGAGAATCTGGATGCGCTGGTGCATCGCGCGAGGGAGTGCGTCTTCGCCACGATCGAGGCGCGGACGGGCGCGAAGAATCTGAGAGAGCGCCTGGTGCACGAGTACGTCGAGACCCCGCTGACCTGGAAGTCCAAGTTCAATCTCGACCGCGGCGCGATTCTCGGGCTGTCGCATTCGTTCTTTAATGTGCTGAGCTTCCGGCCGAAGACGAAGCATGTTGATATTCATGGGCTGTACTTTGTGGGGGCGAGTACGCATCCCGGGACGGGTGTGCCGGTTTGTCTTTCTGGTGGGAAGGTAGTGAGTGATCAGATTGTTGGCGAGTGGGCTGAGGGGAAGAGGTCACGGCTGTTGTCGCATCTGGAATCGATACTGTTCCTTCTGATGCCGTTGCTGTTGTGTGGCGGGTTGTACCTGATGCAGTTGTCTTCCTGACCTCCTACAGTTGATGTAATCTACCTCTAGAAGATATATCCTGGACTTGAATTCAAAGTAACTGTAACCATTTTCACGAATGTATACAATGCTATAAAGATAGCATCGGGTACTTGGCGTCGAAGTATGATACAGTCCAAACGACGTGAAGCTATCTACATTTGATGCCCGTCAACTGAACAACTCGGAGCACCAACACGCCCATACCTAATCACCCAGAGGATAACAATGCAAAATCTGTCCATCTGTACGAGAGTGAGTACTGGTAACACGCTTCCAAGTGAGGAACTTTCAAACTTACAATAAAGCGAAGCATCCGCACTCGCCAGGAAAACGAAGCTCGTCGCTACCTCGCTGGGCTCGCCCGGACGACCCAGGGGATGCTGCGAACCCCATCCCTCCATCTGGTCTGCGTCTCGAGTATCAACCTGAATCGGGGTATAGATAGCCCCGGGACTATTCAATCAGCACCGTCACCGCGCAGGTAGAAGGCTACTCACGCGACAGCATTCACTCTGATGCCCTTGGGGATCAACTGCGCCGCCAATGACCTGGTAAACCCGACAATCGCGCCCTTGGTCGCGGCGTAGTCGACCATACTGCTCGAGCCGCGGAATGTCGTCACGGAGGTATTGTTGATAATCCTAGAAACCTTCAGCTCCATCTTGGTGCCATTGTAGCTGTAGACGTACGAATCACCCTTGGCCATATGCGGCAGCGCAAACTTCGTCACCGCAATCATCTGAATGATGTTACTCTTGAACACGTCCTCGACTTGATCCAGGTCGATCTGCGCAAAGTCCTTGCACATGTATTGCTTCGAGGCGTTGTTCACGAGCACATGGATGTGTCCGTATCTGTCCCTATTAGTCTGGATCCCACAGAGCCGCAGAGCACAACATACCGCTGGACATGCGCCTCCACAGCCCTGCGACACGTCTCGCGGTCCCTCAAGTCCCCGGAAAACAACACGCACTCCTTGTTCTCGCCTTCGACCAGCCTCTTGGTCTCCTGGGCGTCCTCTTCCTCCTCTGGTAGGTAGACGATGGTGATGTTGGCGCCTTCGCGGGCCATGAGCGCCGCCACGGCGCGGCCGATGCCTGAACTGTTTGCGTTTACCGTGAGATTCGTGATGGATTTCCTGCCAGGAGGTGGATGCATACTCTCCGCCAGTGATCAAGACCGACTTGCCCTTGAGTTTCCCGGAGCCGACGTACTCTTTGAAGCCACCCTGTGATTCGAGCTTGGTGGGTTCGCTGGGTGGCATCATCTCTTTTTCAAGCCTGGCGTCGTAAATGTACTTCAATTCAACATACTGGACTTGCATACCCCGGTTTCTCCTGGCTTTGAGCCTTGTCCGGGGCTCGGAAGGTGGTGTCTTTGCCCATTTGTGACATTTTGGTGAGCTTTGAATTCAATTGAGTTGAGGATGATTGAACTTGGATTATAGACACTAATTGATTGTGAGATATATACAACGACGACGACAATGGCTGTGTATCCAGAGATGTACCTCTCTATAAAACAGGGTCAGAACATGCATACATCATCGTGTGGTAAGCCCATCTTCACCGAATTGAGTTCAGTCGCAAGTGGCGAGTTGTTCGTCCATGCTCTTGCAGTGACATCACTTTCCTTACATGATCCACATTATTCTTTGCTGTTGATTAATATTGACTCTTGGAGGGCGTTGCCCATTCTTCTGCTATTACTGCCGTCGGCAAGGGCCAATAAGCGTACACAATTCCTTACAAGGATGTTCCTGAGTACCAGACAGTGGCTGACAGCAGAAGACTTGCATATGATGAAAGCGCTCATCCTGATAAAGCTGAAGACAGACAGGCTTCGACTCAGCGAGGACAGCGCAAGCATGATTAAATATTATGTAAAATTTCTATAAACACATGGTCATACCCTCGTTGAACTCCGGACATCAAGTCACATGCGGAAAGACCCAGCGAGGAACTCATGACAAATCTATATGCAAAATGTCGTATCTATACAGGAAGCATGTATATGCAGAGATGCCAACAACAAACAGGAACAGTGTGATGGGAATCGTTAAGGAGTGATGGTGGTTTGGGTTAGGGCTTGGAGAGTTGCTCTCTGCGGAAGAAGAGGAGGAATCCAGCACTGCAACGATAATCAGTCATGACTCGCAGGGAGAGAGATAGACCGAGAAGAGAAACTTACCAGATGAGCAGCTGGAAGATCAGGGCGATCCAGAACCACGCGTTCGCCACGGCACTCGCGCCGAAGGTGGGATCGGGCGAGATAGGGCCCGGCCCGACGTTGTTTGGCGCAAAGGCTCGGGCGCAGATGGTGGCGATGGAACCCAGCACTTGGCACACGATGAGGGTGAAGCACATGTGCATGCGGGTCAGGGTCTGCAGCAGGATCATACCGAAGCCCAGGCCCTGGATTGCGTCCAGAACGCCCAGCCACAGCCAGACGCTGCGGGATGCCAGGGCGCCGCCCGTGTACCCGCCTCCGACCCAGGGGAGGTAGTAGCCGATGCCAGAGATGCCCCACCAGATCTGGGCCCAGCGAGGGGCTCCGAGACCGCAGGCGAACACGGGGAGGATCCAGCTGTGTTGTTTGGAGAGGTGGCTGAGGATGAAGAGGAAGGCAGCCCAGACGAAACCGAAGAAGACGACGCAGAGAATGACGATTTGCCAGGTCTTCGCGTGGGATGAACTCCAGAGAACTGCAAGAGGCATCAGTACAATTCACTGGGATGGATAAAGGAGGTTGACTTACAACTCCAGTTACGACCGTACGGAGCACTGAGGAAGAAGTTCTGGATGATGACGACGGCAAAGTTCCAGAGGACAATCTTGCGGCGGAACACCGAGCGATAGAAGGACGGGACCTTGCCAGGGCTCTGGCGATAGTAGTTGGGAAGGCCAAAGAACATGAGAAGACCGACGGCCCACAGGAACACGGCAATGGGCACACAGATGGCGGTCATCTTCCAGGTGTTGGCGATGTTGGTCTCGGAGGTGAGCATGCCCTGGCTCGAGGCCTTGGTGAGCGTCGAACCCCAGTACCATAGCGCAATGACATATGCTTGCTGCGTGCCTTGGATGACACAGGCACGGAAGACCCATTCTTTGACCGGCGCACCGCTTTCATCCCCAAAGTTGAGGGCGAAGAAAATCGAACCGCTGGACGAAGCGGCGGCATAGAAGCCACTGCCGACGTTCTGGATCCAGCCCCGGCTGAACTCATTGTGCTCGAAATGGGCGAAGCCAATGAGCAGAAATGCCAGGCCGTAGAAGAACCAGGGGACCGAAAGACAGACGACCGACTTGAAGTAACGGAAGACAAACCACCACAGAATCGAGGTAATCAGGTACGTGGTCGCGATTCCGTACAGCTTCTCCGCGGTTTGACCAACCTCGCCAGTCAGCAAGGTGATCTGGTACGAATTGGCCGCAATGATCTGGCCCAGACCCAGGAAGAGGGAGTAGACCGGCCAGTCTCCGATGCGCAGCTGCATCCACTTGCGCAGACCGGTCGGAGGGACGTAGTCCTTGCCCAGGAGAAATTCGTCATCCTCCTGGGACTGCTCATCGTCGGGACTCATGCGCGACGAGGCGTCATCCCCGTAGTAGGAATCCACAGGCGAAGGACCACGCTTACCGCGGAAGACAGATGGAGCGGGCGAGGCCAGACGGCCCAGCTTGGCATCACGGAACTTGTCGAACCATTCCTTTTCACTCTTGACCAGGAACTCCTCGATGCAGAGCTGCGACTCGGAGTTGGACCCGTTCAGGATTTCCAGACTCTTTTCGAATGAGCGAGCGTAGTCGCCATGGCTATCAGTGAAGAAAGGATCCACCTTTTGCAGCTTGAAGTCCTTCTTGTCACCAACGATGGAATCGACGGACAGCACCGAGGCACTGCTCATACGATTGCCAGCTTCCAAGAATGGGCGGGTGGGGGGAGCCAGGCCCATATCGGAATGAATCGAGGGGCTCGAGGGGAATTGCGCGGAGCGGGTAAGTTCTCTCGGAGTGGCGCGTCCGCTTTGGGACAGGGGATTGTTCTGAAGACGACGACCTTCCTCGGCCTGTTCGGGAGTGAGAGTGTATTCATCCTCGCCATAGTAGGCGTCAATGTAGTCATCGTCACTCTCCTCCTCGATGTCGGAAACATCACCGCCGTCTCTGCGATCGGGGACAGCGAGGTCCTGTTGTCCATGCCGACCAGGCCGGTTGAGGTGACCAGGACCGGAACGGACACCAAGCGACAGTTTACGGCTCAATCCCGGAGCAGGTTTCTCAGTCATCTCCCGGCCCGTGTTGGTGTTGTTGCTGTAGGAAATGATGGTGTCCCGCTGCTGTGGGCCAATCTCTGCCAATTGCTTCAGGTTCACGTAGCTGGCTTCGCGAGAGTGCATGCCAACTGGAGTCTGGGTTCCACTGGCGGGTAGAGATGGGCTCATGGCACCCAGTCCACGAGGAGTCATGGGGCCGCTAGGGGTCATGGGACGATTATGAGACTTGGCAGCCTCCTTGTTGTGGATACGGATTGAGGTAGACTGCAGGATCTCAAGATCCTCGATCCACTGAGCGACAGGGAACCGCTGCTTGGCTGAACGAGCGCGCATCTTAGCGCGGACCTCTGGCTTTGAGTTCAAGGCACCCTCGATCGCAAGCTTAAATTGATGGAGCAGATGAGCAGTGGTCATTGACTCCACGTTAAACCACCAACCAGGCATCTGACCGAGACCACCGACGCGTGCACCGATACCAAGAGCACCCTTACGGCCGAACTCGACAGCGACCAGACCGAACGGTTCGTCACGGGACGGAATGAGGGCGAACTCGGCACCGGAGAAAATGTAGGGGGGCAAAGCAGTGAACTGCGGACGAGAGAAGACACGGCCGGGATAGACCTTCATCATACGATCCAGCTTGAGGGCGGCAAACTTGCCGTACAGATCGATGACAGGGCCGACACAGATCAGTTGGACGTTAGGGCGAGCCTCAAGAACAGCGGGCATGACATCCGCAATCAGATCCACACCCTTCTGCATGGACCATCTACCAACAAACACGAGGAGATCAGCGTCCGGGTTTTGCTCCAGGCCAGCCCATTCTTGAGCCTGGCGTTTGAGCTCCGCACGACCAGCTTCGAATTCCGCATCGACAGGAGGGTCTTCACCCTTGGCGAGGGCCTGCTCCCTGTTCCACTCGCCAATATCCGATGGATCCGGGTTGGGCAAATTGCCGACCTTCTTGAGACCCCAGAAGATGGGGTAGCGAGCGTACGACCGTTTACCGTATTTCTTGGACACACCGACGGCACCAAATCCTTGCTGGTGGACACGCAGATAACTGGCACCGGCGTGGAGCAGATTGAAAACCTCACCGAACTGAACGTAGCGACGGGTGGTTTCCTTGTCCAGGTTGAAGACGGAGCAAACCTCTTCCTTTTCCTTCTCGGTCCGCATAGGCCAGAGACCCTGGAACTCGGCGTTGTGGAGAGACAGACAGGCGGGGATTGTTTGCGGTAGGAGGTAGAGAGGCGCCAGGGATCCGTGGTAGTCATTGATATGGTACAGGTCGATGGGGAACCGCTTGATAGTCTGCGCAATGCACTGGTTCCACGCGGAATAGTAGATGGCACTGTCCAGGTCATCCATGCGCGCTGGGTAGGGTTCCGACTTGGACTGCTGGCGGAAAACAGGGGCGTCCAGCAAGACGTAAGTGATATTCTGCAAGGTGTGGTATTGCACCTGGACTTCATACGGCTTGCCCAGAATGGTGACGATCATGGGTTCCGCTGGCCGGTCGACGGGGTAGTCCACTCCGCCGACGCAGGGAACGACCCAGATGAGATCCTGATGCCCGAGGGTCTTGCCCATCAATTGTGCCATGACACCGAGACCACCGATCTTGATCTTGATGGCCCAGTCTTCGATATCATATTCCATGGTGGCAATGAGCACCATGCGTCGTTTGGAAGTCGCAGCGGCGCCCGCCAGATCCGTCGAGCTCTGGATGAAACCGGACTTGTTGGCCAGACGCATCAGGGGGTTCAATGCCTCACCGTCGCCATTGCGAGCACGCTTCAGCTTCCGGCGGAGGGCCAGGGGAATGACGGAGCGCTTCTCGCTGACGCCGACCTGGTTGAACTTGATCTGGTAGAAGGATTTCATGAAGACATAGACGCATGCCGCGCCTGTGAGCAGGGGCACAATCCAGAAGAGAATGTACATGGCCATCTGCGTGGCTTGATTCCCGGCGGGGATCAGCTCATACCGCATGGTCGCGTCGTTGATGGAGATAATCCAGGAGAGGTGAGGTGAGGGCGGAGGTTCGGTAAAATTGATCATGGTCGCAGACAGAGACGACGGGGGCATGCGGTCCAAGACATGGTCACCGTCGACGTCGCCCAGGACCCAGCTCTGGTCCGGCTTGCCATCGGGGTTGATCCCCCAGACGTTGATCTGTCCCTGAGCGGGCCACTCGTAGGTGAAGTGGTGCTTCCAGAATCCACTGCTGGTGTCTAGCTTGGCCTTATTGTCGAGGCCGCCATCGTAACCGAACTGGTTGTAAGGACCGTTGAAATGGATATGCGGGAATCGTCGGGGCACCTTGTGGTTCCAGCCCACATCGCCTTCCTGGTAGTAGTCGCTGCTACCGGTCAAGCCGCTCCAGTATTCCACGCGGACGTGTTTGCCTTGCCAGCGTTGGTCTTTGGTTCCGTGCCACTCCAGTTCCTGGATGGTGTCGTTACCGCCATTGTATGTAGTCCAGCTCGACCAGGTCGTGCCCCAGTTGGTCGAGTAGCGGTATTTATCCGCGCCTGCGGCGTGGTGCTGGATGAACAGCGTCCCGTTGTCATTTTCATGGAGCAAACTAGTCGAGTAGTTGGCAGTGGTAAAGATCATCGGATTGTCGACCTGGCCAATGCGGAACAGGAAGTGGTCCGTGGCGTTGGTTGAGGCGTTTCCATTCACAGTCTTGACATCCTTCACGGTAACTCGGTGGACGCCGTTGTAGACGTTGGTCAAAGTGGCTGCCCACATCCATGCGCTGGGGATCTGAGCCGTCCACGAGGTGGTGGCGTTGGAAATGGATTTGCAAGAGACGGAGCCAGAGGCGATGGACGGGACTTTGCGCGACTCGGTGGAGGACGTCAGGGAAATAGAATTGGTGACCCCATCGCAATCCATCTCCTCAGAGAAATACAGCTCAATGGGCACGTTCTCAGAGGCATCAGGTGCAACAGTAGAAGCAATTGGACGGTCGTGCCCAGGGGTGAAGCCGGTGATCATCGGGCGGGGCATGACATGCAACTCCTTGGGTACGTAGGCCTTGAACTCGAACGCATTGAGGGTCAGATTGGGATAACAGCCCACGGCTGATGTGGCATTCCCAAAAGTTCGTTCAGACGGGCCGGCGGTCAGTTCCAACTCATCGAAGGGGTAAAACAAGTTCTTGACGCGCGTGTTGGCAGGGAAGGGAGCGATCAAAGCCTTCTTGGAGTCGGTGCAAGTGAATTTGTAATCGACCGTGTGGTTGTTATTCTGATAGACCATCCAGACAGGCGAGTTCTTCGCATCGGACCCGAAATCCTGCACATCGAGATCGACTTCTCGACTGACAGACCACATTCCCGTCTCGGTGGCGGTTTCGTTGGAACCCGGGTAGTAGACGTCAACGGTGGACTTGGACAGGTTGTTCAGGGTATACCCGTCATTGAGAACAGGGAATTGCTCACGCAACTGATACATGTGCTTGAAGACATTGCGCACCGGGTGCGAAGGGTCCCGGTGGTCATAGGCGACTGTATCATCGTGACAACCGTTCCTGCCATCGACAATCGGCCAATTGTAGTACTGGGAGGAATTCAAAGCAAAGCAGCCGTGGTCTCTCCAGGCAGTTGCCGGGGACATGGCCTGACGACCGTAAATATAGTTGGAAGCGGTGGCATCAAGCACATAGAAGGCCTGCTCCTCACCCCAGAGCATTAGAGGGATACCGGGCAGCAGCAGCGTCGTGATATAACTACCCAACAGCTGCCGCTCAACTCCCCATTGCACAGTTGGCCAACGGAAGACATCCTGGTTGGTCGCACCGTACATGTGCCGGGGGTCGAATTTGCCCGTGTTAGCATTGACGAGGTCGTTCGACCGCAGCATCTGCCGCCACATGTCGACCCAATCCAGGGGGACATCGTAACCCGCGGCGAGATTACCATCCATCCCCAGGAAACGGGTCAGGGTTCGGTAAACGGAATAGTGGAACGCAGCACTATCCAGGGCTTCATGACCCGCCTCGCGCAGGAAATTCTGGGCGCTGGACTCGTTCGTCATCTTGGGCCCGTCGGCCGGGTTAGAGAGCCACTGGTTCTGCTGCCTGCCTCGTCCCAGGTAGATCGAGCCGAAATAATCACCACCCGTGATTTCTCCGGAGATGAAGAAGTTGTCCTTACCCACGGCGCGCGCGCATTCCCGGTAGGCCATGGACATCTCGCCGAGAGCATCGACCGTCGCCTGGGTGGCTTTATCGTACCGGAATCCGTCAATATCGAGGGAGGCGATGATCATGCACGAGTGACGGATCAGCCGCTCTCGCACGCTGGGGTACCATTCTCGCAGACGATCCTGCACGGACGCGAACTTGGCCAGCTGACGTTGCCAGTCAGGGAACACACCGAACGCTTCAATGTCTCCGTACTGGTCAAAATCGCTGTTGTAGCAGCCCACCAGCTGATCGGCATACTCCGCGGCAAGCGGGAGACCGTCTTCGTACCAGAAACGGGGGTAATCGCACGTCGCGTTGTAGTCATTGCCGATGTCAAAGTCAACATACCGACGATCGGTTTTCCACAACGCCTGGTGCTCCTTGACCGAGAATGGGGTGGTGGTGTTGAGGTAGCCGTCGAACCCAATGAGATCACCGAGGCTTGTATCGTGTCAGTCCGGATGCAGGAACTTTCAGATCCAGGAAGAAGATCCAGGAAGACTTACGTAGCGATAGTGTTATCGAATATCACATACATCCCCCGGTTGTGTATTTCAGTGATGGCGTCACGCCAGACTTGAAGGTCACCAAAATGCTGGTCCAGGAGAGTTGTATCCAACGCAGAGTAACCATCCGCGCCCCAGGGCTGGTTCATGAGGATCGTTCCAGCAAGATAGATGCCCTGTCGACGTCAGCATCTCTCGTCCCGCCAGCTATCACATTCTAGCAGGAAAACCCACCTTGATCCCCATTCCCTGTAAATAGTCCAAAGTAGCGACCAACCCGGCGACATCACCGCCATGGCGCATCTGGTTGGAACTGATATCATGCTCGAATTGCGTCCCGTTGATATTATCATTCTCCGGGTCACCGTTTACGAATCGATCCAAAAACAGTGTATATACAGGAAACCGCCAGTTCTTGGGGGAGGGGAAGTATTTGCCCTTATGGTCCGGCCATTCTCCCCAGTACTCCGCCGGGTTTGTCGCGGCTTTATTCTCGTTGAGGTTGTACCTGACCAGACTCTCGTCGTATGGCCAGCATGATGCGGTTGTCGTCAACCAGGCCAGCAACGCCCCGGTCCATCCCCACTTCATCGTGGGTGGTGGATTCTGTTCGCTGCTTCTGAGGAATGCGGTGGATAAGGATATGTGGGAATCGACTCATGCACAGGAGGCGGGGGATCGCGATATGGATATCGTTATATACGTAATGTGGTTTTTTCTTCTCTTGTGACCTTCAGTTCTGATCTTGTCGAATTTCTCCTGCGATTTTTCTGTCTTTTTCCGTTTGGATCGTGGAGGTCGGATGAGCTGCTTATTGTACTGATAACGAGCGATCGACAAGGCGATAACGGCGGGTTTAGCAAGGCAGCGAAAATGGACAACCGACGGAACGAAAGGCTGGATGGGAAGCGAGTGAGTATTCCTCTCCAAAAGACAGAAACAACAGAAAACGAGAGACAGAAAACAACGAGGGTTAGGAGACGGAGGAGGGGAGCTGAGGAGGATGAGGGATAGGAATGGGAGAAGAAACGGAGAGACGAGGTTTCTAAAAAAGAAAGCGATCAAACAAATAATCGGGATTTCAATGGGGAAATAATAATAAAACAAAACAGACAGACAGAAGACACACTGACCAAGCGAAATTGCTTTCAATAGACTATTAATATCATCGCGAACTAAGATGGTGATGGGATTAGTGTAGCTGGTAGTAGTATCTCGTCGTATTGCGACTACACTATCTCTCCTATTACTCTGATCCCCCCAGTGGCTACGACTTTGTCTCTCCAGCGAACTGGGTCTTGGAGCCGTTATCAACTTGGAAGTAGGAGTAGCAAAGAAAGAATCAAGAAGAAGAGGGGGTTCAGGCTTCAGCACATGGTTATGGTGTCTTACTTGTATGAGCTGTCCTGCTCCATATAAGATCCCCTGGACCTTCTCTTCTGCTCTTCGCATCGTTACAGTCTTTTCAGTTTTCAGCCTCGTTGGGTCCCTCTTTTTCTCACTCCCACGTTTACTTTTTCTTTTTTCTTTTTTTTTTCCTCTCTAACTTGAATCCTGTAGGGTGGGTGCGAGCGGCTCCAACCGTCTATCGGTTCAAGGTTGATAGAGGTCGTGGACCATGAAAGCCACAAGGCAGAGCCCCAGCAGACAACCAATCCGACTGTTCGGACTTCTGGAGACTATCTTACAAGAGAGGACAGAGGCTGAGAGCTGAACGCTCAATCCAAAGAAACAGAGCTGCCAAGGACCAAACAAGCCAGAAACCACAAAAAGCAATCCAGAAACCCACCCGGAGAGCTCAGCCTTTTTTAGCGAGGACGGAGCCAGTCAATCTCGTAAATCTTACCACATCCACAGACCCTTCGATGGGCTCTTCCTTGGGTCAGTGTGGGTATGGAGTGGAGCCCAACGGTGATATCTTCGAGTATGGTCCGAGATTTGGCTCTAGGTTCATGGGTTGTGTCCAATGAGCTCAAGCCACTTATAAGGCGCAGAATCGCTTCTCAATACCGCTCCGTACGGATACTAAAAATACTTTTTCTACCTATTCAAGGTCGTCGAGGGTTTTTTCCCTTTTGTGATGTGATGAGTGATCGCTGAATCTTCGGTGATGGCTGTTCCGGCCGATCCGTTGTGTAACTTTTTCCGGGAGAGAACCCTTCGTTTAGCTGAGCTGAGTTGCGTCCATTTTTCGTTCAGATTACAGCATGTGGACTATTTCCTCAGATCGTCGATGTTGATTGAGAGTGAAGGAATAGATTCTCTACTATGTCCATGACAGAGAACATTGGGGACTTTGAGTCCGAAAGATTGAAATGAATGTCTTACAGTAATGTCCTGGAAGATATGACGGGCTTTCCTATTGGACTTTGACGTACGAGTCTGCAATGACAGCGCACATATCTTGGAAGATGGATGTCCGCTTGTCTCATTATCAGGTCCATAACCACGAATCATGGTGAGAGGTGAGGTTGAACAGCAGCTTCGGGTTTCAATCAGGGGTAATGCTGGTCTGGCAGTCCAATGAGATGGGGAGAACAAGGGCTGCCAAGCCTGTTATCTTGTCATCGTTGCATCCTCTGTATCATATTATTGAGTCGATTATCCAGATACATTCAGGGGTACCTCAGCTTTGCAAGAGATGCGTTTTATATTGAGTCTTTCCTGAGCATACCTTGGAAATGGACTGCCTTCTGGGAGGCATGTTTTCATGAGACATCTGGAGCAATAATTGTTTATCAACCGGATCTCCGTGTCCAAGTCGTCTAGGGCCTACAATACAATTGTTATCAGGGACCACATTGACTAATTCACTAATTGGTTGTGGCGTGACGGTGGCGTCAGAGTCGGTCAATGTGTCAACTCCAGACCCTAGCTCTCATAGTCTGTTCGTATCTTGAGTTCGATGGGTGCCACAGACTACTATCTCGGCTACTTTTCCTCCGTACAGTATTCTAGGCTAAGGAACCTTTGCAGGTTTAATTTCCCATGACTGTCGACATTTGAACCATACAAACTTTCTATGGGATCTCAAAGACTCAAATACAAGATCTGGATCCTCTGTGGAACCGAGAAAGCCGAGCTTCGGTCCGAAGTGGATCCTGGTGAATCATTTCTCAGACATTTGTAAATAGTTGCAGAATTTTTCCAAAGTTGACCTGGTCATAGGAACACTAGGACAGGATGGGAAAGAGGTAATCTTGTAACTTACCATACACCCAGCACACATATCAAGATGTCACCTAAATGGTTGGTTCATCGGCTGATACTGGAGTATCTCATTGTATTGTATCAGATGGTTTCGACTTGTCATCATACAGTACAGGAACAAGAGGATTGACTATGCTTGACTGAGCTTAGCCTAGTAATTTTGTCTTGACTATTAATAACATAAATTAAGAGCAGTTCCTCCCTTGCTGGGGGTAAACTCCTCCTCTCAGCAATTATTATGCACATTCTTTGGGGATAGATGACAGAGATGATGCATCATGATGACGAGCACTCTGGAGATGTAGAAAAAATTCAGGAGAGCCAGCAGAAGATATATATTCCTCATAGTTAACACCAGGATTGACTTCATGGCCCAAAAGAACTCGCTATGACTAATCATCTGAGACATTGTTTCTTGTCTTAAGACTCAATGTCTGATGAGATACTTTTAACTGCCAACTCCTTCCAGGTTATCATGCTTCTCTCCTCTTTCTAGCCAAGATTTATGTTCCTGAACATCCCATCCATACTGGTGCGCTTAGGCTCAGTGTGATGATGTGATTACTTATGTGACACGACAGTAGAGCCTTCTCTGATTGACTGACAGATAAACAAACAGCCAGGTACGGATACTCAGGTTAGAGTCAGGTACCAAGTAGTTTTTGCCACAGTGGACATCACGGACTTCAGCCACTGACATGCTCTATGTAGTATGTACGGAGTAGTAGACTAAGGTATCATTCGACCACTGAGTGAGAATGACTTGGATGTGATCGAATGAGGTGACTTGCGGGAATTGCTAGCCACAAGAGGAAATGTGGGCGTGGGACTCGAGCCATCTGGAGACGGAGAACTCGCCTTGGATTCATAAGGTATGATCTCCTGATGCGGATAGGATCTGCTATTGGACAATCAGTGGTTCATGAACACCCGACTGTCAGGAAACAAGAGTACAAGACGGACAAACGGAGTACCCCGTCACGAGCACAATCAACGATCAGGTTATCCAACATTCTTAAACAATCTTCCACTGCTTCTCTCTAGTTTCTTCAGGTGCTCTAAATTGAAATAACTACACTACTCTGCGGAGGTGCTCCGAGTCAACATAGCTTAAGACTATATTAAGAAATCGAATTCTGGTCCGGGTATGCGGGTTTCTCCCGGCAGACCCAAGACATGTTTTGGCAGGACTCAGGTACCACTGTCCAGGCACCGAGCGTGCTTTGATCGTCCTCTCCTCTGCATCAATAGTGGATAGATATGATAGAGCTCAAATTGAATACACACCAGTCCTCCGTACTATGTAAAGGAAGTCTGAAGAGGCAATACAACATCCTCAACTCTGGCAAAAAGATCACATGTCCATCATCGGCCCAGTGCGCCATGGACCAAGAATCCTGGAGAAAAATCGATAGTCATAGAGGGTTCTGATGGGTTCCCCCACAATTCCACTCTTTTAATCTAAAGTTTCTGCAGACAAGCAAGCAAGCAAGCAGGAAATACTCCCGTCCGACTCTCCTTTCCGTTTCCTCCCCCTCTTTCGCTCCCTTCAATCCTGCGTTCGAGACCCTCTTTTGCCCTGTTATCTCTCTTTCTTCTTCTACCTACCATCGTCGTTCGTTCTGTATCCTGCCTGTGATCAGGCCTGTCGTTCTTTACTCTATCGTCCCTCGTTATTTGAGTCTATTCTTACAAGTTCTTCTTTCGCCTTTTCTTCTAATTTTCTAGCCTTCATAGCCATATCCGTCTGCGCCAGTGGTCCTGGGACATCTCGACGAAAATCACCGATTGATTCAACATTATTGCATCCAACGTGTCTGGAACTTGCCAAATAGGGGAGGATCTGATTTTATTGTGGGACTTTTGGATTTCAATCGAAACGAGACACTGTCGCGCCAAGGCTCAGAACATCGCCATTCGTTGCATGATACCCCATCACTGAGTCAGCCTTCAGATTAATGTTCCGATCATGAGTTCGCTTTCGGTATCACGGCGGTGCATGCACCTCCTCTCTCTTACTCTCCTGGTCGCCTCGTCGCTCGCAGCAAACACGGCGCAATGGAAACCCAGAGCCATCTATCAGACCATGACGGATCGGTTCGCCCGCACTGATGGGTCGACGACGTCGCCATGCGATCCGCGCGAGAACCTCTTTTGCGGTGGGTCATGGCGAGGAACGATTAACCATCTGGATTACATCCAGGGGATGGGCTTTGATGCTATCATGATCTCGCCGGTCATTAAGAATGTGGAGGGCCGGGTGTGGTACGGCGAAGCCTACCACGGATATTGGCCGCAGGACATCAACAGCCTCAACCCGCATTTCGGCACGCAGCAGGATCTGCTGGACCTGAGTGCAGAAGTGCATAAGCGAGGCATGTTCCTCATGATGGACACGGTCATCAACAACATGGCCTACATCACGAACGGCAGCGACCCGGCCACCCATATCGACTACTCGACGCTGACGCCGTTCGACAGCTCCAGCTACTACCACCCCTACTGTAAAATCATCAACTGGAATAATTTCACCGAAGCGCAACTGTGTCAGACTGGTGATGAATTTGTGGCGCTGCCCGATCTCTTCACCGAACATGATGAGGTCCAGAGCATGCTTGAGAAGTGGGCGCAAGACATGATATCAACCTACTCGATTGACGGACTGCGCATCGACGCGGCCAAGCACGTCAACACGGGCTTCCTGGCCAACTTCGGCAAGGCCCTCAACAACACCTTCATGACCGGGGAGGTGTACCAGAAAGAAGTGGACATCATCTGCGACTACAAGAACAACTACATCACCAGCGTTCCCAACTTCCCTGTCTACTATTCCGCACTGAAGACCTTCACCGACGGCAACACGAGTGCCCTGGCAAACACAGTAGAAGTGATGAAGAACAGCTGTAACGACGTCACATCCATGACCACCTTCATTGAGAGCCACGACGTAAGCCGTTTTGCCAATTTCACCGAAGACATGGCGGTAGGGACCGACCCATCCCCCCAAAGACCCCGCCCTCCCAGCTGATGGACTGAACCCTCTGTTTAGCTCGCAAAGAACGCGCTCACGTTCAACATTCTCTTTGACGGCATCCCGATCGTGTACCAGGGGCAGGAGCAGCACTTTCACGGAAACTATAACAACAACAACAGCAACCGCGAAGCCGTCTGGCTGTCCGGGTACAACACCGACGCCGAGCTGTACAAGCTGGCCGGCAAACTCAACCGGATCCGCAAACACGCATACAACCTGGACAACGGCTATGTCGATATACAGTCCTACCCGATCTACCAGAGCGACCGCGAGCTCGCCTTCCGCAAGGGCGTCGAGGGCCGCCAGACCATCATGCTCCTCACCGCGCAGGGCTCCAACAGCAATTTTTTCAACATGACCATGCCCGTAAGCTATAACCCCGGCGTAGTGGCGATGGATGTCCTCAACTGCGTCAACTACACCGTTGACGGGGCCGGCCAGCTCACCGTCTCCATGGACAAGGGCGAGCCCCGCGTTTTCTTCCCCGCGAACCTCATGGCCGGCAGTGGACTGTGCGGCTACGCCGAGTCCAACATCAGCTATGTACAGCTGAAGACGGGCAAGCCGGCAGCGTCGGTATCGTCCGGTTCTGCAGGTGTGTTGTCGATGGTGACGGCGGGGACGCCTCTGACGATCCTGTTCTCTGTTTTTGTGTCAATAGTCACTGGGTTGGGGTTCTTGGGATGATTTCAGCATTTGATTGTGCATACCTTGTCTATTTATTCTTTTTCTCAGGGCAGTGTAGTATGGTAATGTTCTGTAAATGCATGTTTCTATCTTATTTAAAGGAACATACGGAGGTATATCCACAAATCCTTTCAGCCGCACCCTCGTTGCCTATCTATTGGACAAATCCCTCACCGAACCTCGTATAGATACTTTCACTCGCAGCCTCATCTGGCCCAGGCTCACAATCAATGTGCTGAGGGCTTGGTCACCCTCGTGTTCCAGCGGCCCGGATTCAATCTCGCCGAGAAGGATCCGACTTCGACTAGATTGCCTGATCAGGCTCCATCAGGGCCGTCGAATCACAGCAGAGTGATACTGTCTTGCATGTTGGCCAATCACTGGCATCTACCTACTCGTATCGTATCTATACCATACCAGCTCGTACATGTAATACCGTGTCGGGTATCTCACCCGCTCCGTCCTTGCTTATTGGATCCCTGCAAGCCTCTCGTATTCAAGCAATACCTACCTATCATTATCTGTCCTCTTATGAATATGATACCGACCTAGCCGCACAAATAGTTTTATCGCACCCGGTTAGATAATGATTACGTAGCTGACAATGGTGCTGAATCTACTCCGTGACAGACAACTAAGGTATCTAGGTACCAGGTACACCCCTGCATAAGGTAACTCCTTGCATGACCTCGAAACAGGAGTCGTACAGTCTGTGCCCAGGACAAGGGGCCCGAGGACCGTAGTACAATACAATACAAGACAATACATCAGTGAGATGGTCGACGAATCCATCACTTCGGCTAGTCTATCACCGGACCGGATTGGACCGCGCAAGGGCAAGCGAATATTGCACTGCATTAATTATGTGGATGGTAGGGACAGACAGTCTAATGCGAATTGCAGATCCTCATATACGTACAAAGCAGGTACGGTACACGGTACACTTCCAGTCAGGGAGCTGTGTTCTTATCTACTGCAGCTACTGCAGCTACTGCAGCTACTGCAGGCGACTAGGCGTAGTATGTAGCTGCCAATCTGAAATCAACGTTCACAGCGCCAGAATAGCGAGACCCATGAGCAGAGAGCCGGCGGGGATGGCGAGCGAGCCGGCACCGTTGGAGAGGGTGGTGCTGGGGCTGCTGGTTCCCGAGGCGGTGGAGGAGGCGTTCTCCTTGCTCGTGGTGGAAGACTTGGTGATGGAAGCTGCGGAATGAGAATGTTAGCAGAGTCGTAGGAAGAAGGGCAGGCGACTAACCAGTACCGGAGGCGGAGGTGGTCATGGTGGAGGCGGTCGCGGAGGTGCTGGAGGCATTGGAGGTGGTGGTAGAGGCCTTACCGGTGCTAGAGGAAGAGGATGAAGTCGAGGTCTCGGTAGCGGTGGTGGTAGAAGCAGAGCTGGAGGAGGTCGAGGAGCCGGAGGACTCGACGGTGAACTGCTGGGACTGGGCGAGGATGCCGGTGTTCTGGGGGTCCTTGGAGACAAAGTTGACCTGGTAGCCGGAGCTGATGAAGATCAGTATTTGGAGGGTGTATGGTGAGGAGGAGAGACGTACCCGCTGTCCACGGAGAGACCGTCAATGGTGTAGGAGCCGTCGCTGGTCTTGACGTTCTCGGCGACCAGCTTGTTCACTGGCGGGTAGGAGTTCATCTTGACGAGGTAGATGTCGAAGGAGGAGGGATCGGAGCTAATCCTTGTGAGTATCCAACCCGGGATAACAATGGAGATTTGACCTACCTGACAGAGCTCCATTCGACGGTGGTCTTCTCGCTCAGGTCAACATCCTGATCCTTCTTGGGAGAGGTGATGGACAGAGCGGCAGCAGAGCCGACCAAGGCAGTGAGAGTCAGAGCGAAACGCATTGTGATGGTGGTGTGTGGTTGAAGAAAGTCTATCCGGATGTATTAAAATTAGATATAGCTGTGGTAGACAAACGAGTGACTGGTGGTGAAGTGGTGAAGTGGTGAAGAAACTGAGAGAGCCGAGGACAAAGGGAATTTGATATGTTATATCCAGCATCGAGTGGTAGCACCGTAGCAGTATCCAAATTTATAAATAGCAGAGACACCCATGATTATCTAGCCATGTCTTACTCCTACGACTCTGCAAGCCCTATCACAGCATCAGGAACCAAGGGTGAGTCAAGCTGTGAACCACTCCTCTTATCGAGGGAGGTATCCATCCATTGTGATAGTTGAGATGCAATCGTTGGATCTGATGGAAATCAATCAGAGGTCTGTTTTCAGTATGTTTAATTTGCATACAGAAAGCCAACTCATGCTTACAGAACCTCCATCATATGTCCGATTAGTAGACCCTGAATGTATCCACAGGGCGTTTATCCATCAAGATCCTTGCTTAATGACCCTCGTCCCCTTCAACATCCTTCGATTGCATCATAATCGCCGGCAAAAAACCCTCGCGTGTACTAGGGCACTACAGGATTCCTCCATGCTGTCGACAAATTTCCGAACCTCCGGCCACGAACTAACAGCAGCTGCAGGATTTCGCGTAACAAGGGGTCGGGTTACCGCGTCTTGCCTCTTCAATCAAGAGCAGTGCATCAAACAATGTCTTACAATGACTACTATCAACAAGGGCTGTCAGCGAACACCTGGCTCCAATGCTCCACTCTATCCTGTGTCCTGTTCTGCCCGGACTGTCAGTGGGGATTGGATCCTGATTAAATGATGTTCCACAACGGATTACCAGATTGGTACAGAGTATACTAGGGCTCAAGGGTCTGTGGGATATGCGACAATAATAAGGCAATCATCGATTTGCTTGGTTCCTTTTTGAGGACTATTATCCTTTCGGACAGTGAGACAAGACCAATGAAAAACCTAGTCCTGCCCAGTTTTGGGCTGCCAAGAGCCAGCTATTTTCCGACCCACACTTTGCAGTTAGCAATGATCGAGATGCAGAGATTTCTTCGAAGATACAGAGTCTTGAGTATGAGAGAATACTGACGGACTAATCCGTACAGTTTCCAAGGTCGTAATCATAGCTCTAAGCCTCTAAGGAGTAAGCACTGTTTATCATGCTTATGCAGGGTATCTTGATTGAGTTGCTCGATATCAAGTATCCGTTGAACTACGATTGTGTCTTGGTTTAACCATTATTATTGCGCTATTGATGATCAATAAACTGATAATTCTTACATCGAGGCAGTAGTGTGTAGAAAAACTTGGATAAACTGAGAGCCCTGCGATAGTGCATAGGGCACACAATGCGACCTATTTATGGAGGCGATCTTCTGGTACTCCGTACGTTCCGAAGATTGAAACCCTTCAGTGGCTCAGTATTATTATTACGATTGGATGCTCCACCAGTCAATTTTCAGGTGCAAAGTGCAAACAGTAGTTTCCAGGTACATCCGCAGTTCTTCGGGCTATCCGTGTGGCAACTGCCAACTTGCGAATTTCGAACACCTTTTCTGTGGCGGTTCCTTTCGGCTTATTCCGCCTTCAATCGATATCTCCTGTAGGACCTGTCCAGTCAACTGTTTGAGGCTGAGATGGAATTTTCGGAGTAGACTCGGCCGCGTGCTTGCTCAAAATGGATACCGAAATAGCTGTATAAGCAACTAGAGTTGGCTTCTTTGCCACGATGACATTCTTCGGACAGAGGGGTGTTACTGCAAAGTGAGAGATCAAGTCAGGGACTGTGCAAATCCCCGGTCTATGCTGGTTGATTATAGAGTTGTTGACGAAGACTGGACTAATGACTACCGAACATGGCCATGCCTGTCATGGAACTGCGGAACAAGTATTCTAGAAACTGATACTCGCCTGCTCACCATGATTTGATGCCATTCTTCCATGCTCACTTCACTGACTGGCCAGTGAGCCAGATCTCAATATAGTATTGGATTATGCCGTTCCAGCTGCTGTAATGATAAAAGAACCAGAGATTCGAGATATTGCGACTTTTTTGATAAGAAAAGTTGTGGCTATTGAGCTGTATTCCTGCTACTGATGCTATGGGATGAAATATATATTGATGCATCTTTCAAGACGCTTTCCAAGGATGCTCAAAGCATTTGCACCCATGGCCATTCAAGAGGACATTGACATGATAAATTAAATGCATATGCTGGTAACCATGTCTCTATGCGACAGAGGACAAAATTCATTATTCTATCTGACGCACGCGAAGGCATTCCCAGGTGTATAATGAGGGGTTTTGACAGTCCTCTAGAGGATCTCGGACCAGTCGGTTATCTTGGCACTGATTGATGGTGTGCTGCCTGTTGTCCTCGTACCATTACAATGAGCAACACTCATCAAAGAGTCCGGAGTACATGATTCAAACCACTGTCCCTTTTGAAAACAGGAATCAAGAATCACAATGTCTTCGTCCATTCCACCACTCCCTCCAAACTATCATCTCCATGACGGCTACCCCGCAGTCCCAGATTATCTCCACCTCCGCGCCGCTTCAGGCCTCACCCCCAAGACCATGGCACAAGGGACCGCTGCTGTCCAGGGCAGCTGGTACGGCTGCTACGTGACATTTGAAGATGAATCATCAGGAACCTCGACTCCCGTGGGGATGGGCCGCATTATCGGTGATGGCGGGTGGTATTTCCACATCGCCGACATGGCCGTCCTGCCTGATCATCAGCGGAAAGGATTGGGAGATATCATTCTCAAGACGCTTCTGGCGAAGATCCGCAGTGAAGCACCCGAGGGGAAGCCATATGTGAACCTGCTTGCTGATCCACCGGGGAGAAAGTTGTACGCGAAGAATGGGTTTGTGGAGTCGGCGCCGAAGGAGGTCGGGATGATGATGGTTATGGAGAGGAATGAACTATCGAAGTGATTGAGAGCTCTTGCATGTGGGTAACTGCCTATAAATGAAATGGCAATGTTTGCTGATCCCGAAAGGTCTCTTTGGTCTCCCCATTTCGAGCTCATTGTAGAGATCGTGGACGTTGTGAATCTGTTTTGTTTCCAACTGGCTAGCCCAAGGGAAAATGTCAATATCTCAATACTAGAAGCCGATTAGCTGTTATATTCTGTCCACGTTCTGGGAAATTATGGACGGCTTGCTGTCAAATTGGCCAGTGATGAGTAGATACAAGAATCCAAATCGACACCGTCAAGTGCCAGGGGTTAGGACAGCAATCTATGCTCCAGGAAGAGGTGACCGACACAAAGGTGGCAATGGTTTGGAAAGCATACCATAGACAACACAGCGGTCGCCCAGTGGGAGGTCAACAGCCTTAAATCGAAAGGCTTCACGCAGGCATGGGACTCCATACTCACGCCCAGTTCAGCAAATTTGGCAACCCTGACGTCCCAAAAAAACAGTCTGAAGCTGCACCTCTTCCGGCTATTCGTGATGCTACCGACCACCCGTGAATCTGTCTTGCTGCTCATGTTCCTCTCCACAGCACTAGATGCACTTTGCTTCATTGGCCGAGGAGGCCACATGTCCCACGCTGTAGATATCTCCGTTCCTTTCCTAGATAGCTTCGCAATCCAGAGGACACTCGCTCCGTTTGTTTTTCCCTGCATAATGCAATCGATGATATATTCAGCGCTGATTCAGCCATTCAGCACCCGCCCGCTCCAGTCAACTCTCGATTGGTGATCTGAGAAGCGCATTCCATGTGCTCTACACAAAGCAAACCGATGCACCGTTTCCCGGCAGCTCAGTAAACGAGCAGGATAATCTCGCCTGCAGCGAGTTGCAATCCACACAAGACGCAGGTCCAACAAATCTGACGATCTGTCGGCAAACATATACACCTATACCCCCTAGAGTATGCGATACTCACCGCGGCCAACCGCGCCATCCATGACCCCCCGGAACGTAACGCTAATATTTGTTTTGGCGGCTCCAGGATTTCCTCCCAGCAGTCAATAGAGATTATTTCGAGGCCCAAGTTAGTGAAAGTTGAACCATGCACACATTTCTTGCCTCCAGTCCTCGAACCTCCAGCTGCGGGCCCGCTAAACCCCGCAATATATCAAGATCAGCAACCCATTCTCCCTCATCAATCATGGCTACTTTGGTCTCTAGGTAGTACGCCTCCATCTCACGATAACTGGAGGATTCAAGTGTGGTGCTAGAGCGAGGTTCGCTTCACCTACTGCATGGACTGCTGCTGCTGCGATGCGCTGGATAGAGGCCGACATGTTGAATAGAGTGGGGTGTTGAGCTTGACGACGGAAGATTTCGATCGAGAGCATTTTACGGCGACCTGATGTTATTTGGCGACTTGTGGCTGTGCTCATTCCAGCGCTTAGCGGAGCAGGGACAGAAAGCATTCTGATGCTGATAGACAAGGCTGACATAAATTGGCTACACATATAGCAATATCATTAGTCTTCATTTTGGGCGCTATACTACTATTCATGAGTAATTCATCCATAACTTCACAACAAAGAACTGGGACTTTGCATAGGCATAGGGTTATCAATGATCACTAGGAAGACGTCTTTAGCATTTTAGTTATTTAATCGTTCCATGTTTAGAATGGTGGCTATCGCCCCAAAAGCCCTGCTAGTGTTCATGATAGAGCTTTGATCAACCTACAGGATGTGTAGTAGGAAATATATACCCAACACCACGTCACCTTGGCTGTATTACTCAAGAGAGAACCAATATCTAGCCACTTTGGGTCACCAATCCAAGAAGTATACAGCTCTTTATCCTCACAGCAGAAGCTATACAGGCTCTCAAGGCACGCCAAGTGGGTTGACGTAGTATCTATGATCAGGGATATATACCTTATTAAGGAATCTTGCTGCGTAGCCTGAGCTAACAGGCAAAGCCGCCTTTCCACAGTAGATCCAGTTTTCTGCACTAGATCAAGGACTACATAGTTGAACATCATATGAAGATAGAGGCG